CCAATCTTCTGACCTTGTAAATAGGTTCCGAGGGAAGTGCTTTGAGCTCATGTCTTCGGCTCAAAAAGGCCGAATCGGTCACCACGACTTTCGAAGTATAACAGTCCTGCGATCAAGAGGAAAATGAGAATGTTGATGGTAGTAGGCACAACCAGCTACACCGAAATGAAAACAATGTATAAGCTTACTTGTTACATGTCCCCAAGTCCCTCAGTACTCAGCACTCAGTATCTAGTTGTTCCGTTAACACGTTCGCTTGATGGGCATTGGTGAACAAGTTAGCCGCGATGTTGACCCAGGAAAGAAAGTACACTAGCTTACGTAATAAACCGGAACATGCTCTGGCTTGACTGAATCAACCTTCATGGAGTCTATATTTAAAATTATCAGTTTATCATAGTAGCACGCATGCTTCCTGCAATGTGAACTGCGGCAAGCCCTGTTCTGCATTGTCAGTCCGCAAATATTCATGTATGATGAACTTGAAAGTGGGAGTAAAGTAATATGGCAGACTATTAATAGTCTACTTATTCACTGGTATCGCTGTAGTTCTGTGTCAATGTCTAGAATCTAATCCTTAGCGTGTTCTTTGTGCAGTCTTTGTCGAATTGTAAGAAAGAAGACTCGTGACTGTTCTGTATCATGTACATTTTTGAGAGGTGAGGAATTTCGTGGTTATCACTGTGATATAAGCTGGGCTGATCTCTAGCCCAGTAGCAAGAGAGCTAATCTTGATCGAGCCGTCCCCTCAACGCCTGAGAAAAAGTGTTTGTAAGGGGAGTAGTCACGCTGAGTCTAGGAGAGCGCTTACAAGGCAGAATCTCGAAGTAGCGTCAGGTCACTATATACCCTGACATTACCTGCAGATTCTGCCTAATGGAGCTTGGATGGGTACGAACTGCAAGGGAAATCCAAGACCAACTTGAAACCTCTATAGCGGGAGGCTACGGCTCCATCTACGCCAGACTGACGACAACACAGCGCAGGGTTACGGACTACGAATGATGACGCCTAGCACTTCCGAGCATGAAAAGCAGGGTAAAGTTGCAATGCGCATAATGATGGTATATTACGGCGTCGCATAATACATTCGGCCGGCATAAGATAGATGGATCTCACTGAAGACTGAATCGTGCGCCATGGAATTCTGAACCGTCGGCTTCTTTGAGAATGCGCATGTACTAGTTCCCTGATTAGCATGAACAGGATTTCAAGCCAATAGAATTGCTTACAAGAAATGCTCAACGTGCTCCTCGGAAGAGATTCAGGCCTAAAAAACGAATATTAATGAAAGTGTGAGATAAATATCGTCCCGGGGAGCCGCAACGTCCTCGATATTTGACTCATCAGGCCACGACCCATGGGCCAATAATAGTGAGCGCAGCTCTAAGCTTCTGCTCACCGTCTGTGAGATGGTTTCACACAGCACTTCTTGTGTTCGTGGCTGAGATGACCGTGCCGTATTGGTCCTTGATAATGAACCAGGGCCAACATCGATAAAAATCGCTCGTCCGAGATATAAGATAATTCATTGGCCAAGATGGTGAGCCCGGCTCTGCCAAACTACGCGGTGGTCACTGGTCAAGTCGCTGAGGTACCTGTCACCGTGTCGTGTGACTGCACCATTGCTACCGATCAGAACCGGCGGATGATGCCGAGCCAACTTCATGCAAATTCCAAATTTGTGGTCGAGAAGCTTCAGTTGCTCTCACTAGGTTAGGTATTCGCTAGGGCACTGACTGCCTTACGCCACGTTCGTTCGCAGTAGACACCGAAGCCTGGAGAGGCACCATGGCAGCACAATCAGTTTGCAAAGGAACGGGGTCAGAGATCGGTAATTTAAATTTTAAGTTGCCTTGGACCAGCTGATTTTTCACTAGACTTCAGCTACTTCGGTGGTGCTGAATCTTTTACGGAAGGGAAACGTTCTCCACGTCGGACAACTGTTGTTTCCCCTTCTGAACAAGATGATGGTGTATCCTACCCAGGTCCTCCGCAAGACCCCACAGATTTTCTGTGGATAATGACAGAGGAACCTCACCGCTCGCGACGTATGGCAATCATGAAAGCGCACCCTGAAGTTACGAAGCTTATGGGCTACGAACCTCTCACAAAATACGTCGTACTGGCTGTCGTGTCACTGCAGCTCTACCTTGCCATATCTCTCCGACACACCCATCCACTCTCTCTCCGCTTCTTGTTTCTCGCGTATGCTATAGGCGGCACCACGAACCAGAATCTTTTCCTCGCTATTCATGAGATCACGCATAACTTAGCATTCAAGGGCATCAATGCAAACAAGGCCCTGGCTGTTTTCGCGAACTTACCCATCGGTGTACCCTATTTTGCCGCATTTAAGGTGTGTAACGCATGTGTGAGAGCAAACGTTGGTTGACAGGTACTGCGAATGTGCCCAGAAATATCACATAGAGCATCACAAACATCTTGGAGAGGATGGGATAGACACTGATCTGCCAACAAATTTCGAACTGCTTTGTCTCAATAACGTTCTTGGAAAGACATTTTTCGCGTGAGTTCAGTGTCGCATTTAGCATGTAACTTAACTCACCTATATATTAGGACGTTCCAGATATTCTTTTATGCTCTGAGACCTGGCTTTGTCAGGATGCAGAAGCCCACTCGATGGCATTTGTACAATGTGATTGTGCAGCTTCTCTTCAATTACATCCTGGTGCACACCTTCGGCATACGCCCCCTGCTATACATGCTCTTCTCGAGCTTCTTTGCCGGAAGTCTACATCCATGCGCAGGCCACTTCATTGCCGAGCATTATGTATGGGATGGCCTCAACCAGGAGACCTATAGCTATTATGGTCCCCTGAACATCCTGGCTTACAACGTACGTCTTTCTACAAATGATTTCGCCTACATTAATTATGGCGCGTAGGTTGGCTACCACAACGAGCATCATGACTTTCCTTCTATACCGTGGACGCGTCTTCCAGCATTGCGAGCACTGGCACCAGAGTTTTATGACACTCTTCCATCACATCCTAGCTGGCCGATGGTCATCGTGAACTTTATTCGGGATAAGGAAGTTGGCATCTTCGCACGCGCCAAGAGGATGGCCAAGAACAGCAAACAAAGGCATGAGAGTTCAAGCTCAAGCAGTGATCGGGAGTGAAGGGGTCGAAGGACATTTAGGTGTTTTCTTAATGGACGCTGTATATACATCGCCATACGATAATTAATTGACTTTGCAGAAAGGAATGCAATTTGGTATTCGCCTTCGATGGGTATCTCTAGAGTGATATATACCTAGTGCTCTTCTCTCCTTTCTCGTGATAATTCACTTCTCTGGCCTCGTGGAAATACTGAACTTCTTTTTTTTTGTGTAAACCTTGACGTTCCCAGTCAACGTCATTTCATCACTGAGGAAAAGAAACACCAGAAAAGATTCGGCAACCTACGCATTAAAGATCCAGTAAACGCTGTATAAGATTCATAGTACTATCTTACCAGCAAAGGACGTGAGAAAAAGTGGATGATGCACTTGAGTCAAATTGTAAAGTTTCCTGTTTGTCGATTTCCTATATCATCATGTACGATATAGCCTAGCACGCCAGCTTTAACTGCTGAGGCCTGAGCGGTGCAGACTAATGTTTCCTTGCTTCTGACGCTCTTCCTGATGCTATATACTTTCAACTCCAAAGAGATCTCTATACAGCTCTATACCAAGTCCAGATTGTTGCTGAGCCTACTCAGGCTGATGTCGAACCTTCACCGTGCATGACAGATTTTGCAATCAGAGGTCCTAGCACTCAAATGCTACCATTCATCTCCTTTCGCTCTTATTTTATTGTTTGCTCATACCACGAGTCGTGCTCTGACGCGGTCCAGCGTGAGCAAACACGATCACCGTCCACTGCGGCCTGCCATGTTCACCCGCGTCATCGCAACTACCTGCCGTCTACATCAGCTACCACCACGGATCTCGCCATCTATTTTAACCACCGTCAGGTCAATCTCTCCGTTCTAGTCCTTTGAAGGGAGGACATTGCAGCCGTAAATTGGGACTGGAGACAAGATGGTGTTAGCATGCGAGTAGGAAATAGGCAACGGGGGGAATAGTGAACAGAGAGGCAAGCGTGAGAGACTTGCGGGGATCAGAGGGATGGAGCCCCAGGCCTGAGACTCGGTGGAATGCAATATTGACATCGCGCGGCGGCCTTAACAAACTTCCCAGCACCTTCTGAATCCCAGCAACCCACTAGCGGGATAGAAGTCTGCATCCAGTTTGCATAGACCTCACGCAGACCGGCCAAATTTCTGAGATGATCGAAGTCTCGGACTCCAAATTGGGGTTTAAGGGCCGTTCATTTGACGAGGGCGAGCAGGCGACGTTCACTTCCTGGAAAAGAAGACTTAGTCACAGTCTGACCACACTTGTGAGCAAACGACTGTTCCGGTGATTTGACTTGCAACTACTGGTACACGTGAGTATTTCTAAATTACAGGTCATGTTCAAGTTTGCAGCCACCAGTGGGTTGGTCTTGGCGGTTGTGTAGCTGTTGGATATCTGCTATGTGGTCAGTGGAAATGTGTGTGAAAGGGTGCGACAAAACTTGTGGGTGCCATCGTTCAAGCTCAAGTTGGCGGCCACCGGTTGGCTGATCTTGTCAGTTGTGTAGTTGCCAGACTCATCTGCTTTGTGGACATCATAAATGCATGTGAAACGGTGTAATAAAACTTTGTCTGTGAGCAAGTATGGGTAATAAGCATCGTTTTGGAAGTAATCACACTGATGTCATTCGAACAGACCCACACCGCAGATCATATGACACCAGACGCGAGATTTATGGGATCTCACCGCATTCCCAATCGTGCCTGAAGGCCTGAAGCAGCTTGCATATAAGAGCGATTGTCAAGTCAAAGGCGTGCTGGGCAATTGAAACAAGTTTCAAACAACTACATCGTGTACGTTTTCATTGTGCGATCCCTTTGTTGATATATCTGACGGTGAACACTCCAGTGCAACCATGGTTCGTTTTGTATTGGCTGCTGTTTCATTGCTCCTTGCACTCGGCACGGGAGTTAGTGCAGAATGCGAGGCCTGTCCTAATTGCGATTATGAGCGAATCAGTATTGAGCAAGGGGATGCATGTCTTAACCACTGGACATGCTCAGGCGATACTATTACATGCTATTACCCCTCTGTTGCAAATCCGGGAACGTGGAATGCCTGTGCGTATGCTCCAGCGAATGTAAGTAATTTTCTCTCGCATCGTGCCCACACACTCACGGATTTTTTGGGAAATACCAGGATTGGGCACTCGTATCTGGCCCCAGTGGAATCTGTTTCCCGTATGCGGGACTCAACTCGAAATGTCAACCTGGGAATGACCCGTACAACCTTGGCATCCCAGGTTGCACCGCTTCGTATGGGTTTGTGAATGAGACCAACAGTCAGCTGCTATGAAGTAAATGGATCAAGGAGACAAGGAGCCTAGTATAGCACAGGCTACCTTTACCTTATCACAGATGCATAAACTACGATTTTTGATTGTTTATTGTCTGTTGGGGCGGGGCCCTGTAGTAGACAATACCCACAGATGTACCATGTCCATTGTCTACTAGGACTGATCGCGGTGAAATTGACGGTGCGGGAAGGGTTTGTCACATAGAATGGAGCCCGTCTCAGTTGTCAAAAAGTTTGTTTTATTTCCTTAATCATGTACTCATTCAATTATTCTTTCTTGCATGTATTTTCACGAAATGATTTTGTAGTAACTAGTTTCTGAGATTTGAACTCGGATCCGGTTTTGAACGGAGCCTGATCAATTTTCTGGAAGACAGGCTTATGGAGCCGCCGGTTGTTCTTTAAGGTTACCCGCGTGTAGTTCGGCATCTGTCTTGCCTTCATCATTAGGGTAGATCGAAAGACCATCGGGAGGACGAGGACATGCAGGAAATGGCTAGTCTGTATCAAACTTAAGTCTGCACAGACTCCACGCAAAACTCTGGGGGACATGTCTAAAGTTCGGGGCGCTGAGAGGTCTGTCTGTTTGGTCTGTTGTCTCAGTGCTGCATCATCGCAACGACTCTGCCTTCTACATCAGCCACCATCCCCCATCCCGTCATCTATATCAACCACTGTCATGTCAATCTCATCATCCTTGTCAGCTTGCCGTCGCGGTTCTAGTCCCTTGGAAGGAGGACATGGCAGCTGCAGACTAGGAGCTGCAGACGACGACATGGTGACAGTTGTTGGCAGGCGAGTAGGAAATAGGCAAACATGAAGGAAGTAGTGGAAAGACAGGTAAGTGTGAGATACTCACAGGGATTAGAAGGGACGGAGGTAAAGACCTTGATGGCAGGCGGGCGGGATGGGGCTTGAGACGGTGCCAGTTGGGCGGGATGCAATAATGACATCGTGCGGCGGCCTTGACTGACTTTATGAATCCCAGCAACCCACTGACAGGACACAAATCTGCATCCCGTTTGGCATAGACCTCACTAATATTGCTTTGATCGAATCTACCATCTCTTCTGATATTTGATATTAATGTGAAGTTGTCCGTGATCCGCGTCGGCTTTGCTCCCAATCACTCATGACTTGTGATATCCGACAGTCTTTGACAGAGGGCTGCTCGTACATCTCTAGTTGCCTTCTACCACGACGGAGAAGGTGCTCTATAGCTGCAACTTCGCGAGGTGATACAGAAGATGCTTGTGTGTGAAAGTTGTAGCGCACGAAGAGGAGGAATTTTGCCTGGGTCAAAGCTGGTTTGGTACGGACCATACGTAATGCACTAGAGAATTCATCAAAAAGGTTTGCATTCTATCCCGACTGTCACCTACCGTCTATAGAGTGCTAAGACCTCTTTTTGAAGTCCTGACTTTCTCAATGACATCGCGGCCAGTTGTACTACTGCCAGTGTGGAAGCAGATGATAACTCTGTCGAGTCCGGTAACTCATGAAATGTTGAAGTTTAGTTGCCGGATCACTCTACATTTTGTCACCTCGGAGCCGTGACCATATTACCACTGTCACTTCGTTCTCATTGTCTGCAGAGATTAAGTTCTTGCCGCTGGCTTCATACAGGTTCAGCTTTGCATTCTGAGGCTGGTGCTTCCAATCCAACCGAATACTGCAAAGACTTGGTACGAAAACATGACTATGAAGGTCATTTGACCTCCCAGCTATATCCTAAACGATTTCAAGGTGGGTATTCAGCACTGAGAGCATTCTATGTACGTGTGACGCTTTGTCGGTGTTTAATTGTCTTTGACTCTCTTTAGATTGAGCTTGCCACGATGCGGGAAGCGGTATCCCAGACTACCTTGGGTCAGGTACGCCTAATGTTCTGGAGAGATGCTATGAAAGACATTTACAATGTGGGAGGCACTTTTTTGGATACCCTAAACATCTCATGGTCCCCGTTAATGATAGGATAAGCCTCCGCGTCATCCGATTGCCCTTGCGATCCATGAAGCAGCACGGGATAACTATTTGTCTCTGTATCACTTTAATAGGATAATCGAAGCAAGAGTAAGCGAGTCGTTCATGCGTTCACATATGGCCCTTATTGTCGTCTAACTTGAAGGAACAAGAACTTCATAAACAGACACACCTTACTCTAGAGTCCATGACATCATATGCGGAGTCTACTTCATCGACCGTTTCCTCTATCTTCTGTTGGAAATGTTGAAACTCCCCTCCTCCACACTTGCGCACGCAGCTTCGCATCTTGGGGTAGCCCAATCATTGACGACCCTTTTACGAGCTTTGCCTTTTCATGCTAGCAAAGGGCGTCATGATCATACCTGCGGAGATCACTGCCAAGCATAACGTCAATCAGCAAGAAATTTTCACCAAGGGACAATCGTCCCACGGGCTAGAGAATGCAATGTTTGAACGCGGTGTTTGAACTCGCAACTGTTGCGAATGATCATTTGCTCACCGCACGCGACATGTTCAAGGAGTCCGGGGGCAGGGTCCCACCAGACGCCATGCCTTGTTTTCCGCCACTGTACGTCGGATTTTTCGGATTAGTGTGGTTTTTTGCCCAAATTTTTCCAGATACCAGTGGTATATATTCTATCAACAGACCGGGCAAATCCTGCGCTTGAGTCACTTCTGATATCATCGAACTCTCAGGCTCTAAGGGCCGTTCACTTGACAAGGACGAGCAGGACGACGTTTACTTATTACTTCCTGGGAAACATAGTCACAGTTTGATCACACTTGTGAGCAAACGACTATTCCGGTGACTTGACTTGCAACTACTAGTAGTACACGTGAGTATTTTTAAATTATGTTCCGTTTTCAAGTTAGCCGCCACCAGTGGGCCGGTCTTGATAATTGTATAGTTGTTGGATATCTGCTATGTGAAAACTGGAAATGCATGTCAAACGGCCGCACAAAGCTTCGTGGGTGAGCAAGTATGGGTAATAGACATTACTTTGGAAGTAATCACACTAATATCATTCGAACAGACCCACACCACGGATCATATGACACCAAACGCGAGATTTATGGGATCTCACCGCATCCCCAATCGTGTCTGAAGCAACTGTATATAAGAGCGATTGTTTAGCCAAAGACTTGCTGTGCAGTTGAAACAAGTTTCAAACAACTACATCGTGTACATTTTTGTCACGCGATCCCCTTGTTACTAGATCTAACAGTCAACACTCCAGTGCAGCTATGGTTGGTTTTGTACTGTCTGCCGTTTTGTTGCTTCTTGCGCTTGGCAAGGGAGTTAGTGCAGCTTGCGAGGCCTGTCCTAATTGCGATACGGAGCGGATCAGTATTGAGCAAGGAAATGCATGTCTCAATTACTGGACGTGCTCAGGCGATACTATCACCTGCTATTACCCTTCTGTTGCAAATCCGGGAACGTTCAATGGCTGCTCATACAGTGAATCGGCTGTAAGTAACTGTCTCTCCCAACGGTGTATGCACACTCACATATTTTTCGGAAATGCCAGAGTTGGGCACTCGTATCTGGCCCCAGTGATATCTGTCTCTCGGAAGCGGGACTCAACTCGAAATGTGAACCTGGGAATGACCCTTACAACGATAACACAGGCTGCACCGCTTCATATGGGCTTGTCAATGGAACCAACGGTCAACTGCTATAAAGTAAATGGATCGAGTTAAAGAGCCTGGTGCAGCACAGGCTGCCTCTACCTTATTACGGTCGCAGCGGTATGGTGATTCAGAGTAGCAAAGCGTAGACCTTAGACCACGATGCGAGTTTTCGGCGTGTAGTTTGGATGCGGTTAAAACGTAGACATGGAATGGAAGAGTTCATAGTAGACCCTGTAAGGAGCTCGAGCAAACAAAGAACCCAGCTCAGGTCATTCACCACGAAAAGATCAGACTCTGCTCAACACCTTAACGTTAAGCTTCAGCTTAATCAATTTATCCGAATCGTACACTATGTACATTGTACATAGTAACCAGTGTTGTAGGGCTAGTTAAAAGGGTCGTGCAACGATATAGGGCATGTTCGGATGGACTGGACCATGCCTTGGGAGAATTTTTATGATATTGATATTGGCTTCAGTTAATGCATATAAAGTGACCGGGCTTCCAAACTTACCATCTGCCATGCCCGCAGGAGATTTCTTCAGGCAGAACCACTTTGATCAAAATAGTTCTGCCCATAACACTAACTCCGCCGTCGTGTATTGACAATTACTTTTCAAATATGCAGTTTGGTCATCGAATCTAGGCTAAGGAATGAGGCTGAGGATGAACAGGACCTCATCTGTATTGGCTGATGCATGAGGCATGAGGATTAACAGGAATTCCGTGGAATCTATGAGGAAGTTGCCCGCTGTCTGTGTATAAAAGTGAAGTGGTCACTGTTCATAGAGAACATCATCTAACCCTCTCCTTCGAACACGAAGCAACAATCATGAAGTTCATCTCACTCACCATTATGATGATGTCTGCTGCAATGCCAGTACTGTCGGGCACAATGACAGCACAACAAAACCCCAACGGCATGGCATGCGACAAGGCTGGTGAATACCTTCAGCATACGTGTCTTGACCTCACACCGCGTACTAAGTACGGGCGCTTACAGAACAGTTCGAGTGCTCAACTCTCGCGGGTTATAACAGCGGCAATGCGTTTGTGATTTACTGTGATAAAGAAAACACAGCAGGTGTCATTGTGAATTGCAAATGTCTGCATTGCTGTGACTCCAAGAAAGCAAATGAAGACGGCGGGGCCATGGGCTGCACAACCTCATAGCAAGAGAAAAATGTTTAACTTCAGCTTAATCAATTCATCCGAATCGCATACTATGTACAAAGTGTCGTGCAATGATATAGGGCATGTTCGGATGAACTGGACCATACCTTGGAAGAATTTTTATGATAATGGCTGGAGTTCATGCATATAAAGTGACCGGGCTTCCATACTTACCATCTGTCATGCTCGTAGAACATTCCTTCAGGCAGAACCACTTTGATCATAATAGTTCTGCCCATAACACTAACTCCGCCGTCGCGTGTCGACAATTACTTTTGTTATCGAATCTAGGCTAAGGAATGAGGCTGAGGATGAACAGGACCTCATCTGTATTGGCTAATGCATGAGGCATGAGGATTAACAGGAATTCCGTGGAACCTATGAAGAATTTGCCCGCTGTCTGTGTATAAAAGCGAAGTGATCACTGATAGAGAACATCATCTAACACTCTCCTTCGAACACGAAGCAACAATCATGAAGTTCATCTCACTCACCATTATGATGATGTCTGCTGCAATGCCAGTACTGTCGGGCACAATGACAGCACAAGAAGACCCCAACAGAATGTCATGCGGCAGGCCTGGTAAGTACCTTCACCATACGTGTTTTGACCTCAGACCGCGTACTAAGTACGGGTGCTTGCAGGACAGTACGAGTGCGGATATTTCTCGAGTTATAACAACGGCAATTCGTTTGTGTTTTTCTGTTCTGAAGACAAGAAAACAAGTGTCGTTGTGAAATGTGACAAGTGTCCGCAGTGCTGTGACGTCGGTAAAGCAAGTAAAGACGCCATGAACTGCACAGCCTCATAGAGAGAAAATTATTGTTTGCACCTGTGACTCCCACGTTACTAAATAGGTGATGGTAGATGGCACCGCAAGGCAGATCTGACAAAATGTTTGAGTGCGTGCGTCAGCGCTGCACAGCACGACGGGTTGGACATGATTGACGCCGAGCCGACGGTATCTCGTGCTTATGTATATGTAGATGTACCAAGTGCAATTTTTGATCGTTCCTTTTGTGTTCAGCGATGTTGTCCGTTGGGGCGGGGCCCGTGCCGTATATTGATTTCTGCCTTGTACGTGGTGGCGGGTGACTGTTCTGATGGTAGGTATCTATGATTTAAGCAAATGTATGCTGATGCGGTAGGGACAAATGGTTTACGGCTCTTCAGACTTTGAGTTAGCTGTCGTGGAGCGGACTTGGTTAGCAGTAACGAGAATGAAAGGAAATTTGAAGCTGATAGTTTTTCGGCTGGAGGCTCCGATGGCGGCCCCCAACCTGTGCGAGAGAGAGCCGAGGTGGGCTGCGAGGGCGGGTGGCAGGTCTAGGTACCAGCCACCCGGCGGGCCCCAGGAAGAGGTATGTCGTACTAGTATGTGGTTAAAGTTGACTACTTTTAGGTGCCGGTTTCAATGTGGGCTGCGAGGATAAGGGAGTGGTGGGTGGGGAAAAGAAAATCAGAATGCAGCAGGCAGGTTTGAGCCTGCTAGCTAAGCGTGGTGCGGAGACAAGAGAGGTCACGTGCTGCACTGCCGCTGCCACAAAGTCCTAATTCTAACCCCACGCTTGTACCTTGCTTCGGGGTATAATCTGGTATAATATCAATCCAATTTATTACAGAGCCCATCTGCACCAGCCCCTGTCTAGCGTCATTTCTGTGTTACGGTGAACCTTTTACATGACGCGCAGTACTGTTCCTTTCTCGCCTTTTCCTTTGCCGTCCTCCAGCGGTTGAGGCCACATCGATCGATCGGGTTGAAGGAATCAGATTTTTAAAGGTATCGTGTATCCAGATATTATACAGGCGCGACTTCAGTCTGGGTTGCATGGTTATCATCATACCAGTGTCTCTTTCCTGTCAACCTTCGATAATGACGCAAGAGTACCACGACATCCGAAGTCATCAGAAAATTATTGATGCTGAGAACCTATCGACTGCCGTCAGACATGCAACATTTTCAAATTTATTTGCACGTACGAGGAGCCATGTCCTTAAAGCAGCGACCCCAGCAGCTCGGTCTATCATCTTCCAATTGTCGTTGATGAACGTCTCCGTTCCTTTGAAAAAATCCGCGACGAATTTGTTCCTGCCACCCAGTTGACATATGTCAGATCTTCGCGTTAAGTTAAACGTACCGATTGAGAAATATCCAGCGGAACCAAAGCGCCTGCATGACCTTGTCTTCATCTCTCACGTTGTCCATCTCGAAGATCTCTTCTTCTCTATCGAGGATAACCCATGCGAGGACACCAAACTCATCCAGTGGTAGTGTGCTTAGAAGATCGTATAGTCGGGGACCGCCCACGCGACATGAATGGATGCCATCAGACTCAAGTAGGTATGGATACTGCGCTGCAGGCCCTAGGGGGTCAGATCGGGGAGGGGGTGTTGGCCTTCCAGAGGCGTGACTGGAGGGTGCACGAGATAGCGTGCGAGATGATACAGAACTACTGCGCGTACTAGTCGACAATGCCAATGAACTTGTACGAAGTATTGGATTATGCCACTTTGGTTTGACTGTCAAGTTTATCTGTGTCAATAAAAGCTTGAGATGCAACAGAGGTATTTCGTGATGGAGGCTGTGTAGTCGCTGGAGTGGATTCGTCATTGTGAAAATTAGATGAGAAGTCAGTAATCTCTGTCGAAGTAGTTCTTGTCGAAGTTGTTGTCATCGCACGTGGATGGGGCAATCTGTGAAGCAGGAATCGTCGCTGATCTTCAGGCCCTGAGCATGAAATATTTAGAGAAAAAACTTACAGTGGAACATGCCTACTGGCAGGCAACGCAGCTGGTAATGCAACATGTCTTGTCAGTGGAAGTTCAACCCACAAAGTATAGTTATCCTGCATGAATTTGGTCAGCTTTGAATCTTCCGTTGCTGCATATAACCTACCATATCCCAACAGCAATCTACTCCTGAATGGTCCCATTGAAGATGAGCATTGAGAATTGTCTGCGAGGGAAATATTCCGTGAAGTCCGCAAAGTGGACATCGCCAATCTGTCATTGTCGTCCGAGTCTGGTGTCGTTTTGGATATCTATCCTCGGCTATTTGCGCTACGCACTTGTATACAACCGTGACGGGTTTAGAAGGCGGAATACTATGAGACGGATCAATTCCAAGGGACTTGCATCGACTGAGAAATCCTTTGCGGAGGTGTCGTAGCATGAAGGGAAGACGGCGTAATTGTACCAGCCGGATGGTCGTCAGTGAAATGTTTTCTAAAGCCTCAATAAGAGCATCTGAGGGAATTTCCGCAGCTGCTTCATCCTTTTCTGCAACGTCAGATTCTGAGGATGATCCTCTCCGCTTGCGAGCAACGTCCTGAGGGGAGAGGTCCACATATTCCAGTTCCTCGCTATCTTCGCGCGCAGGAGCGGGTATCGGAGATTCGTCATTGTCAGACGATTCGCTGCTTTGGGAATTCACAGGAGTGACAGAACGTCGTATCTCGGGTGCAACCCTCGTCGATTTGAGTCCAAATTGAAATTTTCTAGCTGCTTTCACTTGGGCACTGGCCTTTCTACATAATCGCTGTCAGACAGTACCCGACGGTTGCCGTCAGTCAAAACTCACTTGACAATCTCAACAGATTTGCCTGAAGATTTGCCCCTGCTCGTTTTGGACAACTTCAAACCAACATCGACATAGTTTGCACTCCCGCTGCTATGTTCACTTGAGCTGTCAACAAGATGGCCCTGGTTACCACCCCTGTTTGTGCTGGACATACGAGGCACACGTGAATTTGTCCTTCCGCCTATGCCCTCAAACTTTCGCGCGTATTTTCCAGAGAATGACTCCGTATGTATGTGAAGGCGCATTTGTTGCGATTTAGTGGCACGGTGCTGGTCAACTAAGGGACATTGAGCAGAGTAATGATGATATAGTAATTTGGATACGCTTACATGCATTGATGGTTGATTGTCTACCAAGATCCCTACGTGGGACTAGTCGATGTGAGGCGCAAGGTTGTTGGAGACGTGCTCATTGTACGTACCATCTGTTGACGATTTCCTTGGAGCACCAACTCGGGAGGATCTCTCGGGAAAGAAGGAAACTGATTGAGACGGAAGCTCTTCTCTTCTCTCTGAGGTACCAGATGAACCATGACCTGGAGTGGACCGTCCAAGGTTCTGCCCAACCCTATTACGAGCAACAGGACGCCGCTCCACGGGCAGTGGGAAGTCTTCGATACTGAAAGTAACTTTCTTTGGACCTCTGACAGCAACATCATTTTGCTGCAGAGGGTTGTTGATAACTACATTTCGAGCAACATCGATGAAAGCGATAATGTCATTCATTCACCGTCAGCTAGTTTAAGTTTATTTTACTCACCAGGTCGTGATGAATTTCTACTGACTGGTCTCGCGTTCAACTCTTGGTCTCTAGTATTATGAGCATCGATTCTTGTGTCAGTGGTTGCAGGTCTTAGAGCGGGAACTTTTGCTGCGAGACGATCGCCAGGCCTTGCATTATTGGTGGCAGTTTTTGCAGCAACAAGCCTTGTAGGATTATCGAGTCTTTGATCGGTTGCAAGTCTGTGGGCGGGGGCCTGTGTTGCAATGCGACCGTCTGTCCTTGAGCTGTTGGTGACAGTTTTTGCAGCAATACTGGTACTTGGTCTTCTAGTGTTATCAAGCCTCGGCTCGGTGAGTTTGCGGGCACTCTTGACGATGCGAGGGAGAGGAGGTGCTCGATCCCGTGGATCTGACATACCAGTACCATGAAGATGGATATCGATGAAGCCAATGGTATACTAATCAGTATCATATTGTCGCTTGTCGCTGTTGTGAGCAAGTGTGACGATGAGTGGCTTCGATAACACGTGGGCGTGACAATTCGTATTCTCGCAAGTTTTCTTGCAATTTGTGTCCATCATGGTCGAGGATGATATCCTATGTACATAGGACATTACTTCAAGTTTCTAATCTATTGGACCCCCAGTTTCGCTTCTGCTCTCTGAAGTCGCGACAGATGCCCTGATGCTGAGATGTAACTGTGGCAAATTAGCAGCAGCGAGCAACTAGTAAGTAAGACAGTAGATTGTCTTGGTTTTCTCCTGGCTTAATGATTTAACTACCAAGTGCTAGACCCTCAGCCTCGCGGGGGAGTCTGCGCAAGCAATGTGTCTCCACTGGTTCTAGCCGTCTGCAATCGTCGGTCCCAAATAAAACAAATGCGCCCACTGACGACGCCCCTCCCCATCACTGTTACCTCCTTGCCGACTGGGGCCCAACTGAGGATTCTTATCCAACGTTGTGATGGATCGTTGAACTAAACGAAGGGTTTGTATGAAATATTTGGTATATAATTATTTAATTAATAGTTCTATGAAAATTCGGAGGTTTGACACTGACATGATGTTGAGAAATCTACTATGATACCGCGGCGGGCATGAACCACGATCGGAGGACATTGAATGTCGCCGACGGCGGTACCTGGCTGTGCCATAGCCAACCCGATCACTTCAATTCCGAGTCTTGGACTGCCCCGTACCCTTCCCCTGTCTCTGGCTGTGCATAACTCCTCTGTTCTTTGAAGCTGAGCGCACTGTTTGACGATCTGAGCGCCATCACGCGCACGGACCATGATGATGTAATATATGTCTTAGTAAGTTCTCTTGCCTTTATATTAGATTACATAAGTTTACCGGCCCGCAGCGAGATTTTCAAATCGGATATCCCGATTGGGAGATCTGAGACATCCGGTGAGTCATCCATAGGGGTACCAATTCATTGCAACTTGATCAATTGAATTGAGAGTTCCGCTCAGGCTCTCGGGTACCAATATGACGTCTCCTCTGTTCAGTATAAAAGGACCTTGGATTTTCGCAGTAACCTCAATCAATTCACAATCATCTCACAATCAACCAACTCACAATCAACTCTCACCAAATAATCATGTACTCGAAATTCATCAGTGTCGCATTCGTCCTCGCTGCCACTTTGGCTCCTACCGGTGCAGTGGTCTTCCCAAGGGCCAATATTGCTCGTGATTCTGCTACTCCATCTCCCACTATCACGTCTACTGTTGTCCCTACTACTATCGCCACAGTGCCCACCACTACGTCGTCGTCTTCCACCGGCACGACTTCCACTTCGCCTACGATGTCCACCTCACCTACGACTTCTATTACGCCCCCGCCCTCTACCCATCCAACAATCACCCCGTCCACTACCCTGGTTACGCCTACCACCTCCTTGACGCCCACAACCTCGCTGACGCCTAAACCTCCCACTACCACACCAACGCCCTCAGCGACTGTGACGCCCACCGTGACGCCAACCCAGACCGTCAAACCTTCTGGTCAGCCGAACAAGGGGCCGTCTCCATCCGTGTCATCTTTGTCGTGTGATGGCTTCCAGCCATGGCAGGCTAATCTCGCAGTAAGTTGTATCTTCGCCCTAGTTGTCCTTCCGCTCACATCCGGTTCAGTACAGCGCAGGCGCTCAGGTTATCTTTAACAACCAATTGTGGACCGCTAGTCAATGGAGCTATAACAACAACCCAGAGTCTGCCGCTGGCGCATGGACTTTGAATGGGCCTTGCAACCAACCGATCAGCAACAAAGTCGATTGCACCGGAATTCCTGCTTGGAACAAGGCCACTGCTTACTCCGGGGGTTCCAAAGTAACCTTCAATGGTCATCTCTGGATTTCTACGCAGTGGACTCAGAGCAACAGTCCTGGTGACACTTCTGGAACTTGGAAGGATTTGGGGGCTTGCAACTAATACAATAATTTGGACAATTTAGACATTTATGACATTCATACGAAGGACTTTGCATCATGGACATTGCTTTGTTACTAGGACTATTTTATGGACTTGATTAGATTTCTTGTATTTTCGCTATGAATCAATTGCTTTAACTCCAATTATTTTTTTTCGATTGAATCGGATTTTCCGATTTGTTTGCAGTTTGCACCAGGGGGTATTAAGCAACATACAATAATAGCAAAGATTCCCCAACGTTCTTAGACTTTGAAACGCCGTTGGATCCGTGTCCACATATAGCGGACACTCGACTCAAGTGCTGAGGTCATCGACCTCCTATCTTTGTCCTATCTCATATTCTCAATGCAAGACTCGCGAGTCGAATGAAGGATTGATTAAAACTGCCTAAACGAACGTATCATTAATGCGCAAAACGGAAATCAAGTCTTCTGTTCCCAACATCCTTGGTCGTGCTCAGATAGTGTGCACGTTCCTATCATATAACTACTCTTTAGTGCCAGAACCCTAGCTCTTTGGTGAACTCACCTGTGTTGTCATTGCATCCCAAATCCTGGCTCGTTGTCGGTTGCGCCAGATATAATATGCTTTCGTACCTGGGTACAGAAAACAGATGTTGATGCAGCAGATGATGATGAGGATCTTATTGCCGCGTCGATCTATGTGCGTGGATGAGTGTGACAATTATGTTGCCTGGGAAAGAAATGAGGAGTGACATACATCTGGGAGCATCGCTGGCCACGTAGATCTGTGAGGATATGATTGCACTGGCTTGCACGAACCTAGCGGAACGTGAGTATGTCTACAGTTTTGATATGGAGAATTCTATACATGTTGTATAACGACGCGTTGACTGTTCGACTTGCCACTGCCCCGGCGTTACGAGAGCACCACCCCACCTGAAACAAGAGATGAGTACTATTTGACTGGAAAATCGTTTTAAGCAGTACCTGGATTGGATGGGTATATCTGGTAACACGAGGCGAGGACGTCAAGAATGGTCTTCAAGAACACTAATGCTGACAATTTCGAACTTACGGATATGACAACAAACCAGTCACCACAACCTGAACAGTGGAGTAAACCTCGTATAAGGTGCTGCGCAAAACGCACTACTCACAAAAAATACCCAAGGGTTAGGGCTGCTGGGCAACGCATACAGTGCAACGAGGAAAGGCAACGTCCAGAGGTCCTCCATCATCGACACAATAGAACGCTCGTTAACAAACTCTGAGACAATCGTGATCAGAAACATAGTGACCATTCCGAGAGCCTGAGAGGGTATTGTAAGGAGGTTGGTTTGAAATGTGTTAAATCTGCGTTCCTGGCCTTGAGTGTGTCAAAACGAAGGGATACTCGTGATACCTACCCGATATCCCTAAGTAGTAAAGTGAGATATGTCGATGGGGGAGTGTTTGGGATGCCAAACATGAGGCCGCTGCGTTTCATGAGGTCCAACTCTTACAAAGATCAGGGGAAAGGCGTACATGATGTAAATTGGCCAAAGGTCATAGTCGCACATTGCTGTCCACAGGCGACGCAATGTAAGGCCCTCGCGGTTGTGCATGTCACCCTGAGGGAGAGTGTTAGTTACAGTGCTTAACGAGACTGGGACATAATCACTCACCTTGGTGGGATCATCACGAAGTATTCGGTTGACCATAATGATCTCTTCTCTTTCCGTGAACCAACCGTTTGGCCGGAACCATGTTTTTGTCTGCGTTGGCGATGGAGGCATGCGGAAAAAAGATAAAAATCCTATAAGAAGAGTGAGGAGTCCCCTGTGGGAGGGTCGAGTTCGCGCGTCTTATGTTATTGGAAAGAAACGGACGCACTCAATCATGAACAACCACCTTGTATCGAGTCAGGTTTTTGCGAAATGAGCATCAAACTTTTACTGACCTCCATCCCGCAGCGCCAGCCACACCACCCATGTGAAGCGTGCCATAGGCTATGAAACTAGCAATGATAGCGCAGAAATTCGAAGACATCCAGAACAGGGCGAGGCGGACGGGTAGTTCCGTCTTCGTGTAAAAATCTGTCCGAAAGGTCAGCAATATAAGTCGAGGTAGAAATTAACTGACATACAAGATAGATATAATATCAGGTCAGGGATATAGCTATGAAATGTGAACAAAATGTACTCGAGCGCGCGCAGGAGTCAGACTTACCCGCCTTGTAATGCGCTGAAGTGACTGATCAGTGACAAGCTTTGAGACAGTAATTATATGGTATTACCCAAGAAGCGCTCGGCAGACTAGGAACGAGGTCCTACCGGTCAGCCAGAATTGTGACAGAGACACGACACCTATGGCCTATCGATAAGAACAGTTTTGATGCAGTTGTTCTGCTACATACTCCAGAGGCAGATCTGCGTTGGGATCCAACGATCCGGGCCAACCTTCAATGCGATCATAGGTCACACGAAAAAATCTAGAGTAAATACACGTACTCGCTTCGAGACAAGCTGTGACGGTAGTTCTGCGCATAAAAATGCCAACCTGAACACAGTATTTCCGAGGTTGAAGTCTGGATAGCTAAGTCGGGATATTATTCAAATGGCAATCGAACAAACTTGCCGTTTGTAGTCAATCCAAGATCCTGCAAAAGAGAGTCCGAGTTTGCCTGGCTGATGTTGCTTCTGTCCAGGTTCAAAGCGGAAAATCCTACAGCTGCCATAAGCATGATCTTCCAGTCCAACTTGCGGACCAGGGCCTTCCTCCCATTTAACATGAATTAAATCATGATAAGTATGAAAACTGACCCTTTCCTCCCCGTACGTCCACCGAGTGGCTGGATCAAACCTGTGGAGATTCTCGTAGTCCTTCTTAGGCCAATAGTGCGGTGCAAGGTCAGGATCATCAAAAACAGAGCGTCTAGTCGCGATTGCATCAGGGTCAGGGTGGACAATCTGCTCTCGACGAAAGATGGCTGTTGTCCATGAGAACTGTTCCCCTGCATCATCCACCAGATCATCATTTGGTAAAGAGGAACTTCTTTTGCCAACAGAAGACAGTAAAGATACGGACCGACTGATGCCGTCCGTCGTCGGAGTCTGCTGCCCTGGGGTAGCACTCACAGAGGTTATCATCTCGATGGGAGAAAACCACTGGTATAGAAGAACGGAAGAAGAATCCACCTATAAAAGCACTCAGGACAGGCACAGCTGAGCAACCAACTATCCCAACTCGCATGCAACTCGGAGTTGTGCGAGTGAGTGGTATCACCTTCCTGATGGATTGCGCAAGGTCCTGTTCTAACAATAGGCAGAACTATGCACTTGACCTACAAATTTTGTTATCGGTTTTTTGTTATCGCTTGAACGGAAATGCAGCGTAACTTTAACGAGTGCCACGACTATCCTGGAGCGTTCGCCTAAGTCAGTACTTGCAGAGACAGCATGTTCATCCCATTGTACTCAATGAACTGTAATGATCGGGTTGCCGGTTATGTTCATGAGTACATTTATACGCCTGAAGTCCCAAAGTGGCTGTCAGAAACCAAGAGCACCGACAGGGATGTCACTAAAGATGTTATCATGCATATGGTGCACTTCATAAAATGGCAGAGGTGGGGAAAAACGACTACGTACTCAGGACACCATGCACATGCATCATGGGGCAGCTAGCAGTGAGTGATATCACGTATGAATGGCGATATCTAGCACGACCGTCTACTATGGCGTCTGTGGCCCAGTCAACTGTCACTGCGTTACCATAAATTTCTCGACATAAGGTCAAACGCCAACTTCTGGAGAACCGTTCAAACTTCACGTGGCTTACTAATTTCGGTCGTCTCAGGCATTGGGGTGCTGCTGCTGTACCACTTATCCGCCAGCTTTCCAGTTGGTTCCCGTAGCAATGAAGTTCACAAAACCTGCATAGGTTATGCACAAGGGTAAGTATTGAAGTGTAAGGAATAGTTGTTTGAACTTGTTTCTTAACTATTTTCTATTAAACAGATAGTTCCAACAGATAGTTCCAAAACCAACCACGACACGAAGCGCCTTTCCATATTTTCCGTTCATATTCATCCCGATGGTTCACGCATAGCGACATGAGGGTTAGATGCCAAAATTCGTATCTGGAGCACGAAACCCATTCTTAATCATGCATCCGAAATGAGCAATCGACCACCGAAGTCTTTGTGCACGCTGAGTATGCATACAGGTCCCGTCTTGACGGCATTCCTGGGAGGTGGTTTGCAAGTGGGAGTGATGACGAGATTGTGATGATATGGGACCTTGATCCGTGAGTTCGGTGAATGACTTTGATGTGCTTCTGAAACATTCATCTGTGCTTCTCTCCTTTAGATACAGATTGGTTAGGGGCAAGGTCTTTGGTTCCAATGAAGTCAATGTAGAAGGATGGAAACCAGTGAAGCGACTTCCAGGCCACGAAAGCGGTGAATTGGCTTTGCTCGCTTGTTTTTCTATTTGCACTAAATAACTACTAGACATTACTAACCTAGCATGGGCGCCAGGGAATCGTTACCTTGCCTCAGTTGGCCTTGATTCTGTCGTTTTAGTTTGGTGTGGATATACTCTGGAGTCTGGATGAGTTGGATGAACCCAACACTATCACGGGTGCTGCCAGTGTTTGTACAAAACATACCGAAGTGCCAGTCAAGCTCAAACAAGTGCAGGAGGTATACTAGGGACTGACGGGTATTATGTAGGATCGTAATCTATATATATGCATGTACCATCTTCGCTAGAAACGATTTAATCCACATTTCGAACAACGTCCTCACAGCGGGGACATAAATCATGCTCCTCTTCACGAGTATACGTCCAGCACCGTGGACACTTGCTCGAAGACGCGGGTCTAACGCGAATTGACAGCTCAAAGTCCGAGTCTACGTAGAAGAAATAAGGCGAATGAATACCAGAAACAGCTTTTAAAAACACAGAACATACCGGGTACATCCATTGAAGAAACATAGGACCACGCGAATGAACTTGTACCAAGAGAGTCTTCATCCGTGATAGTGGCATTAGAGACGATGAAAAGCGTCTTCAGGAACGTCTCTACGCGCAAATACCGTTCACTTACGAAAAGCGGGAAGATCAAGCTGCTCACCTTCGCGTTTGATCAACTGTAGTAAGTATGGTTGCACAGATATATTGTTGGGCAAGATGATATCGAGCTCAGCTTCTAGAGAGCTCTTGAGATGCCTACATCGAAACATGCTCGGACTATGAACGCAAAAAAGAATTGGGCACTCACTTGTCTCCTCGAGCCTTTTCCAAAAGAGATAGCACGGCGCTGCGCATCCTCAGCAAATTAGCCATGTCTTGTTCGGCATGCGGATCACTCCACTCAGTGCTCTATTTGGTTCAAGAGAATGTTAGGGAAAGTACAAACTGCGACATCACTACTCACGACAGGAGTCCACTTCTTCGCAAAGACAGATAGCTGGGACACAGCTTCATCACCTTCATGGAGAGCAGTGTGAATTTCCTCTGCCAGGTAAGGGAGCACTGGGGCCATTACAGAGGTCATATAGTCGAGGACCTGGTGAGAACATCAGTTCAACCGTATAATCTCACTGGATAGCGCTCACTTTGGCAAGAATTGTCACAACTGCCCGTCTCTCGACACTTTGAATGTCGTTGGCATAGAGGCAGTCTTTCGTAATATCAAAGTAGAGCGATGACAACGTGAGGTTTGCAAAGTTGGTCAAGGAAGTCATGACTAGCGCGGGGTGAGCATGTAAATTCCATGAACACGATGAGCTCCCACCTTTTGGGAAGTTATAGTTTGCATATCCTTCTGCAGCAATTTGATCGAGCTTGTAAAGCTCGTTCATCACAAAGCGCTCAGCCTGTCGCAAGAATCAAATATGGTATTAGACATCAATTGAATGCGTGAACTGACCAAGCCCAGTTCGCTGCGTTCAACCGGAACAAAGTGCTTTCGTTGAGCAGTTGTACCAATATTTCCAAGAATAAACCGAGCAGAATTACGGATTCTTCTCATAGATTCCGCACACTGAGCAAGAACTGTGGGTCCAATGGACATATCCCGCCAGTACTCGACAGTTGCTACCCATAAGCGGAGGACATCGGTGCCGTACGCAGGTTCTTTCTTCTTATCCTGTCGACCGCAAAAATTCAGCGAACTATATGCGTAAAATAAACAATGACTGACCTTGCCACCGTGGATGATTGTCATCGGGCTGACAATGTTTCCCAGGGATTTACTCATCTTCTTGCCTGCCTCATCAAGTACCATACCATGCGTAATCAGCGTTCCGTATGGGCTCACTGGCCTTGCAGCACTTTGTCCGGAACTAACGCCCACTGAGGTTAACAACTGACTCTGGAACCACCCACGATGCTGGTCTGTGCCTTCAAGACATACGTCCGCCCGATGTTTTCTCCCACCTGTGGGGGCGCTCAGTGTACTCCAATTTGACCCGCTATCAAACCAGACGTCCATCGTGTCCGTGCCTTTGCGCCAAGCTTCAGGCCCACCTGCAAATTTGGCGAGTAGCTCTGGTGTAAGGAAGTCTTCAACTGGACCTTCCCACCAATGAGCCACGCCCCGTTCAGACAAAACACGTAATATGTGGGTGAGGGATTCGGATGAGAGGATGGCGGTATCCGTTGGGGTGTGGTATAAAGCCGGGATGGGGACACCCCACACTCGCTGGCGAGAAATGCACCATTCAGAACGTGAGCGAACGAATGACTCTAGTCTATTGCGGGCTGTGATCAAACAAACTTAGAATATAATACCAAGGACAGAAGGGGAACGTACACGAGGGCGGATAGAACTGTACATCCTGCAGCGCGTGAAGTGCATCATCCTTGATACCGTCCAGATTGGCAAACCATTGGGAGGTAGCCCTATTCGACTACGTAAGCACCGAAGTAGGCCTATCTCGCCGGGCGCAACTTACGTTACAATGATAGGTTCACCAGTCTTCCAATCATACGGATAGCGATGCTTGATCCTCTGCACTTTCACAAGGGACCCGGTGGACTCCAGCAGGTTGACGATAGCCTTGTTTCCACCCTTGAGTACCTCTTGTCCTACTAGTGTTTGCGCAGCTTCTTCGCCTACGACATGAGCAACATCAGGAGAAAATTTGCCAGCATCGTCGACGTGACAAATAATATCCGTGGGGCCCTGCAGAAGACCTAGCGATCGGAATGCCAGGTAATCTTCTGCACCATGTGCGGGAGCGCAGTGCACCAGACCGGATCCAGACTCTGATGTGACATGAGCCGCCGCAATAATCTTTGCGCTCATCGAGCCAGACGGATGGATCGAAGAGAAGACGGAGCGGAATTGTGCGCCCACCAGATCTGCGCCCTTGATTTCAGCAATAACTTCATAGGGTCCAATGATGTGCTCCAGCGAGACGAGACGATCTTTAGCAACAACGAAAGCATCCTCCTTGACAGATGAGCGCACGAAACTGTAAATCAATTCAGGATGAACGGCAATGCCCTAACGAAAGAATATCTATGAGGATGTTAAGATTGATGTAACTCATCCATACCATGTTTGCTGTTAGAGTCCAAGGTGTAGTAGTCCATACTAGCAAACTTGCCGAAGGCTCCTTGGCTAAGACTTCTCGGAGCGCAATGTTCGCGATTGTAGTCTGCGAGTCCAACGGAAAGGTCACATAGGCTGAATGCGAGACATGATCATCGTTATAAACGAGCTCCGCTTCCGCAAGAGCGGAATGCGACGAGGGAGAGTAATGTACTGGTCGGTAGTGCCGGTAAATAAGACCTACGCGATATATGAATGAACAATAGAGTTGTGTGCCAGGAGACGAGAAATCGTATACCTTGCTCAACCATTCGTTGAAATACCTGAAGCTGACGAATCTCATAATCATGGTCTTCAGGAAGAGGTCTGTAAGTCAAAATATAGCCATAGATGCGTCTCAAGTCATACCAAGTGTACGAAAGGTCGTGTTTGGGCTCCAGTCAGCCATTATACAAAATTGCTCGAATTCTTCCTGCTGCGTCGTCATTTCGCGCTCTGCCGTTTCTCTGGCTGCGGCGCGTATGACATTGGGTGGTAATGAAAGAGCATCCTTCTAGATTTCATATTCATTCGACGCGACATCGCTAGAGGGAAAGAACTACGTGCCTTTAACTCCTGTAGTGCCTTATTTTCAATGGGTAAACCATGACAGTCCCAGCCAGGGTGGTAGCTTCGACAGATGAGCGTTACTATTCAATAGTAGGAAGGAAGAACTCACTGTACTTGATGACCTGTCAAGACTTGGTACCTGTTAATGATGTCCTTTATGATTTTATTTAAAGCATGTCCTGGAAATGAAATATTGTTATTGCGGATTTCATATGATGTTCTTTGCATACCCATGTGAAGGTGACCGTTCGCATAAGGAGGGCCGTCGAGCAGGACGAAGAGTGGTCTGTGCACATTTTGCGCCTACTTACTGCTGCAGTTAACAAGAAGCATCGAAGAGTTTGAGCGACGCACCTGCCACCGATATAGCTCTTCGCAAGTCTTCTTTTTATATAACGACTCGGATTTTGCTGAGTCTGCCCAGAGCGGAAACGAAGTCTTTGGCAAGAGAAGAGTCTTTGAATAGGCTTTGAGGTCTGTGCTAGCGTTCTTCAAAGATTGGGAAAAATGGCGACTTTTGGATGACTTGAACACATGCGGGCGAACTGGCCTCGTGGCGATTCGTCCAACCACCAGACACATGAAGCTAGGAACGCAGTCAACCCAATTCATCAAAATTCTTCAAATGTCACAACACGTAACATTACCTAATTAGGAATTGTGGAAAACGCTGCGCGTGCTCTTCGTGCTCTCTCGGATTCCTGGTTCTCCTCTCTGCTTCACTTTCGCACCCACCCACCTGTATCGCTGGGTCTGTTTGGGGTGTCCGAGTCCGTGTTCTACCTGTCGAGCCGTTTAGGGTACCAGTCTTCGTGGCCTCATTGCAGTGCTTCCGCCTCCTGTGACTCCGACAATCGATCAATTGAACATCGGATCGCCAACGGACCTTTTGATTGGTGCTGGCTATTTACTGAGGCTGACATAGGGCTACGAAAGGCTTGATTTGAACTTGGAGGCTTCATTCCAATCACAATGCTAATAGAAACTCGACTGGTCTTTGGAGACAACTCATGAGGAGTCCGACCTTATGTGTGGGTCGTGGAGAACGCTGTACTGCTATTCCCCGAGCTGGTATTGTCATACCAGCCTAGTCGGATCGATCACATGAAGGACTGTCTCGCACCCCCTCTCTGCCTGCATACTTCTAAGTTCACGCAGCATTGTCTCACCGACTCGGAGAGTCCAAACAATGTGAGCGCAACGTCATATTTTTTGGTTGGCATCGGACTCATTAAGCACAAGGCAGTCTTGCAGATCCGAGTTGCGATCTTGACCGATCAGCGACACCCATTGAAAACATTCATTCGGACTTATATATAATATAATATTCTGGCTCTAGGAAGGGCCTAGGATATGCCCCCTCGGTGTGCAGGTGTAGTTCGAGTATGACCACATTTTTGCTCAACTCTTCACCGACCTCATCTCATCCCAGCACATGATGTACTCGAGGTCCATTGCTGTCACGTTCATCTTCGCTTGCGTCCTTTGCTCTTACGGGTGCAGTCAACGTCACCAGAGACAGCGGTAGAGGGCCGTCCATCTGGTCCCATCTTGACGCGTATCTCTCAATTTATTTCTAATTCCTTTGGCTAACTATATTCTGTGCCTTTCGCTCCGGCAAACCACAGCTCTTCAGCTGGGGACACTGGGCTTGTCGAATACAACTGTTTTTCGGTGGACACTTGAGCTCAAGTGCTGAGGGTATCTTCCTATCTCTTACTCTTAATGCAAGACTCGCAAGTCGAATAAATAGTTGTTTAAAGTTGCGTAAGTGAACGTATCGTTAATGCGCAAAACGGAAATCAAGTCTTCTGTTCCCAACATCCTTGGTCGTGCTCAGATAGTGTGCACGTTCCTATCATATAAGAAGTCTTTAGCGTCGGAGCTCTAGCTCTTTAGAAGTCCACGATGAACTCACCTGTGTTGTCATTGCATCCCAAATCCTGGCTCGTTGTCGGTTGCGCCAGATGTAATATGCTTTCGTACCTGGGTACAGAAAACAGATGTTGATGCAGCAGATGATGATGAGAATTTTATTGCCGCGTCGATCTATGTGCGTGGATGAGTGTGACAATTATGTCGCCTGGGAAAGGAAATGAGGAGTGACATACATCTGGGAGCATCGCTGGCCACGTAGATCTGTGAGGATATGATTGCACTTACTTGCACGAACCTAGCGGAACGTGAGTATGTCTACAGTTTGGATATGAAGAATTCTATACATGTTGTATAACGACGCGTTAACTGTTCGACTTGCCACTGCCCCGGCGTTACGAGAGCACCACCCTACCTGAAATAAGAGATGAGTATTTCGCTCGAAGATCGTTTTCAGCAGTACCTGGATTGGATGGGTATATCTGGTAACACGAAGACGTCAAGAGTGGTCTTCAAGAACACTAATGCTCACAAGTTCGAACTTACGGATATGACAACAAACCAGTCACCACGACCTGAACAGTGGAGTAAATTCCATGTAATGTGCTGCGCAAAACGCGTTGCTCACAAAAAATATCCAAGGGTTAGGGCTGCTGGGCAACGCATACAGTGCAACGAGGAAAGGCAACGTCCAGAGGTCCTCCATCATCGACACAATAGAACGCTCGTTAACAAACTCTGAGACAATCGTGATCAGAAACATAGTGACCATTCCGAGAGCCTGAGACGGTATTGTGAGGAGGTTGGTATGCAAATGTGTTGAATCTGTGTTGCCTGGCCTTGAGTGTGTCAAACCGAAGGGATACTCGTGATACCTACCCGATGTCCCTGAGTAGTAAAGTGAGATACGTTGATGGGGGAGTGTTCGGGATACCAAACATGAGGCCGCTGCGTTTCATGAGGTCCAATTCTTACAAAGATCAGGGGAAAGGCGTACATGATGTAAATTGGCCAAAGGTCATAATCACACATTGCTGTCCACAGGCGACGCAATGTAAGGCCCTCGCGGTTGTGCATATCACCCTGAGAAATAGAGTTAGTCACAGCGTCTAACGAGACTGGGACATAATCACTTACCTTAGTAGGATCATCACGAAGTATTCGGTTGACCATAATAATCTCTTCTCTTTCCGTGAACCAACCGTTTGGCCGGAACCATGTTTTTGTCTGCGTTGGCGATGGAGGCATACGGAAAAAAGATAAAAATCCTATAAGAAGAGTGAGGAGTCCCCTGTGGGAGGGTCGAGTTCGCGCGTCTTATGTCATTGGAAATAAATGGACACACTCAATCATGAACAACCACCTTGTATCAAGTCAGGTTTTTGCGAAGTGAGCATCAAACTTTTACTGACCTCCATCCAGCAGCGCCCGCTACACCATCCATGTGAAGCGTGCCATAGGCTATAAAACTAGCAATGATGGCGCAGAAATTCATAGACATCCAGAACAGGGCGAGGCGGACGGGTAGTTCCGTCTTCGTGTAAAAATCTGTCCGAAAGGTCAGCAATATAAATTGAGGTAGAAGTTAACTGACATACAAGATAGATATAATATCAGGTCAGGGATATAGCTATGGATTGTAAACAAAGTGTACTCAAGCGCGTGCAGGAATTAGACTTACCCGCCTTGCAAGGCGCTGAAATGACTGGTCAGCGACAAGAAGCTTTGGGACAGCAATTACATGGTGTTACCCAAGAAGCGCTCGGCAGACTAGGAACGAGGTCCTACCGGTCAGCCAGAATTGTGACAGAGACACGACACCTATGGCCTATCGATAAGAACAGTTTTGATGCAGTTGTTCTGCTACATACTCCAGAGGCAGATCTGCGTTGGGATCCAACGATCCGGGCCAATCTTCAATGCGATCATAAGTCACGAAAAAATCTAGAGTAAATACACGTACTCGCTTCGAGACAAGCTGTGACGGTAGTTCTGCGCATAAAAATGCCAACCTGAACACAGTATTTCCGAGGTTGAAGTCTGGATAGCTAAGTCGGAATATTATTCAAATGGCAATCGAACAAACTTACCGTCTGTAGTCAATCCAAGATCCTGCAAAAAAGAGTCCGAGTTTGCTTGGCTGATGTTGTTCCTGTCCAGGTTCAAAGCGGAAAATCCTCCAGCTGCCATAAGCATGATCTTCCAGTCCAACTTGCGGACCAGGGCCTTCTTCCCATTTAACATGAATTAAATCATGATAAGTATGAAAACTGACCCTTTCCTCCCCGTACGTCCAACGAGCGGCTGGATCGAACCTGTGGAGATTCTCGTAGTCCTTCTTAGGCCAATAGTGCGGTGCAAGGTCAGGATCATCAAAAACAGCGCGTTTAGTCGCGATTGCATCAGGGTCAGGGTGGACAATCTGCTTTCGACGAAAGATGGCTGTTGTCCATGAGAACTGTTCCTCTTCCTCATCCACCAGATCGTCACTTGGTAAAGAAGATCTTATTTTGTCAACCGAAGACAGTAAAGAGACGGGGCGACTAATGTTGTCCGTCGTCGGGGTTGGCTGCTCTGGGGCAGCACTCACAGAGGTTGTCATCTCAATGAGAGAAAACAATGAGTATGGAAGAACCGAAGAAGAATCCGTCTATATAAAAAGCACTGAAGACAGGCACGGCTGAACAACCAACTACCCCCACTAAGTAGTATGCATCACGGAGTTGTGCGAGTGGTATCACCTTCCTGATCAATTGCGCAAGAGCCTGTTCTAAGAATATGCGGGACTATGCACTTGACCTATAAATTTGTTATTGCGAGTCGGTTGAGCGGAAATGCGACTTGAGTACATTTAGACGCCTGGCATCCCAAAGTAGCTGTCAGAAGACCCAGAACCAAGAACACATCGCCAGGGATGTCACTAAAGATGTTATCATGCATATGGTGGGGGAAAACAACTATGTACTCACCGGACATCATGTATCATGGGGCAGTTGAGTGATCTCACGCATGAATTACGATATCTGGCGCGACCGTCTACTTGTACTAGTAGCGGCGACTTGGACTGTAGCCGGTCATAGACGTGGCACTTCATAACTTCTGAGGAACCACGTGGCTTACTAATTTTGGTCTCAGGCATTGGGCCGCTCAGGCAGCGGCGCTGCTGTAGTGCTCATCCGCCAGCGACCTTTCCAGTTGGTCACCGTAGCAATGAAGTTCACAAAACCTGCTTGGGTTATGCACAAGGGTAAGTATTGAAGTGTAAAGAATAGTTGCTTCTGAACTGTCTTCTGCCAAACAGATAGTTCCAAAACCGACCACGACACGAAGCGCCTCTCCATATTTTCTGTTCATGTTCATCCCGATGGTTCGCGCATAGCGACAGGAGGGTTAGATGCCAAAATTCGTATCTGGAGCACGAAACCCATTCTTAATCATGCATCCGAAATGAGCAATCGACCACCGAAGTCTTTGTGTACGCTGAGTATGCATACAGGTCCCGTCTTGACGGTCAGATGGGCACATTCTGGGAGGTGGCTTGCAAGTGGGAGTGATGACGAGATTGTGATGATATGGGACCTTGATCCGTGAGTTTGGTATATGACTTTGATGTGCTTTTGAAACATTCATCTGTGCTTCTCTCCTTTAAATACAGATCCGGTAGGGGCAAGGTCTTTGGTTCCAATGAAATCAATGTAGAAGGATGGAAACCAATGAAGCGACTTCCAGGCCACGAAAGCGGTGAATTGGCTTTGCTCACTTGTGTTTCTATTTGCGCTGAACAACTGCTAGACGTTACTGACCTAGCATGGGCGCCAGGGGATCGTTACCTTGCCTCAGTTGGCCTTGATTCTGTCGTTTTAGTTTGGTGTGGATACACTCTGGGTGAGTTGGATTTTCACTTTTGTTTGCACCGTCCGCAGCTGTCGGTTTATTTCACACTTCGGTAATTGGCACTTCCAAACGTCTTCGAGCATTTCTTTTTAGCTTCAGTAGTTCAGCGCGAGAGGTTCACTACTCACACTGCTTTCAGAACGTCTTAGAAAGCTGGATCAACATCAAGGATTTGTCAAAGGTGTTTGTTGGGATCCTGTAGGCGAATTTATGGCCACTCAGTCCGACGACAAGTCCGTAAAAATATGGAGAACGACTGATTGGCAGCTCGAGGCGGAAATCAGAAAACCCTTCGAAGACTCTCCTGGTAGCACATTTTTCCGCCGTCTTAGGTGAGTGTCACTGGTCGCATCTATTAAATCGTTTTCTTACAGAGTTTTGCAGTTGGTCGCCTGATGGTGCTCACATCACTGCTTCGAATGCAACGAACAATAAAGGCTTTGTTTTTATTGCAGCAGTTATAACTCGTGGGACATGGACTTCTGAGATCAGTCTGGTTGGTCACGAGAACACAGTCGAGGTTGCGGTACGTGCTGACGGTGTATAAAGTGTTACCATTCTCATGCACAGTACAGGCCTACAATCCCCATATCTTTCTGCGAAATCCCGCATCGCCTATAGCTACATCTAACATATGCTCTGTAGTTGCTCTTGGCGCGGACGATAGATCCATATCCATCTGGCAGACTAAATCTGCACGACCTCTCATCGTCGCGCGTGAAGTTTTTGAACGACAGATCATGGATCTCAGCTGGTAAGTGGTAAGCTTTTCTTGACCTCCGTTGAGAATCTGATTCATTCTTTATGAAGGTCCTGGGATGGTCTGACACTCTATGCTGCATCCTCAGACGGAACGATAGCCGTTTTCCATTTTGAGCCCGAAGAATTGGAGGGCATTGCTCCTCATTCTGCTCAAGAGCAATATTTACACAAGTTTGGCTTTGTACCGCCACCAACTCCCAAAGGATTCTCGCACGGCACTTTCAACCACAGTACAAATGCTGCTTCAGCATCGAGGATCACGCCGCCACCCTCCCCAAACCGTGCTCAATCGCAATCTGGTTTTGGTACATCGAATGGGATTAATGGTGCTGAGCACATTAACAAGCTCGTTGCAAAGAAGAGCAATAAGAAGAGAGTACAACCTGTGCTTATGTCGTCTGTGCCTTCTGCGTCGACGTCACGCTCAGCTGTCGTATCAACTTCAGCGTTACCGCTTTCAGCAAGTGGTCTCGGACCACGTGCATTCCAAGTGCCAGAGATCTCCCGATCACGCCAGGCATCACACTCTGCATCACCCGTGCCAAGCCCACGAACTTATGACGCTGATATCGAGATGGGAGGACCAATGGATATGGATGTTCCCATCGATGCTCTCGATACGAGTATGTCAAGTGGAAACAAGGGCAAGCGGAAAGCGTCGGTTTTTGATACGTCTGAGGACCGGCCATCTAAGCCCCGTACCCTTGGTGGTGACCGACCAAGGGAAACAGTTGTAGTGCGAGAAATCACATCGACGAGTTTAGTCTCGACGCGCCCGCATCTATTTGAGGGTGCAAATCTACTACCTGTCCCCCCACTGTTGACATTCTTAAGTGCCAATGTGGAGGGAAGTGACTTTGTTTTCGAGGCCCGAAATTCAGAAGGAGATGGTTCGTTAGACCTTCGACTTGTTTCAATTTGGCTAATGTTTCTCCCAGGGGCCACGGAAGTCACGTTTGCTGATGGAAAGCAAACACTATGGCTGGATTATTTACCATCTCCTGCGCTCGCGTTGACTGCATCTACAACGTTTTGTGCGGCTGCTTCGCAAGACGGTTCTGTCAATGTGTATTCACACACAGGTCGCAGGTTTGTGGTAGAACGGAAGTCTCATCGCTATCTTAATAATGTTTGGCAGATTAATGGCGACTCTAAGCTTTGGGTCACCTTGCGCGATGATGCACGGCTGCAAGTTGGCATTAATGATACTCACAACTTCTGGTCAGCTAACCTCGATGTAAGTTGCATGGATTCCTGTGTTCCCTAGTGCTTACCCTCCTTAGAAATGTGAAGAATGTTGCATCCTTCTTTCCGCCCACATCCGTTGCACCCCTCCTCTCTTCTTCGCCAAATTGCACGATATTGTCTGCCACTGTTCGACATAATGGGGCACCAATGATTCATTGCTCTTCCGGTATTGCATATACTTACGATGTTCAACTTTTTTCTTGGACAAAACTAAGTGAGCGCTGGTGGGCAGAGGGCTCGGATGTATGGCAAGGCCGTCAACGAGCGAACAAAGACAAAGATGTTGTAGCTTCCATTGAGGGTGCAATCGGCAGCACGAGCATTCCGGCGCCTCACAAAGAACGTCCCGCATGGTGGAATACAGCGCTCACACTCGGTCACCTGGAAAGCAAGTTGCACGCGGCCAAAGCCCTTGATAGCGGTCTTGAATATAAGCAAGCACTTTTGATTTATGCAAGGAAACTAGCAGATGAGGGCTTCAGGGCGAAGGCAGAGGAGCTCATCAAGGAGCTTTTTGGCCCCATATTTTGGTAGATTGCACCTCTTGGAAGTTTTGACATGAATTGCTTACTGTCTATCTAGGCGACCTGGTGGAAGGGACGACTCTTGGACCCCTGTCGTGGCATGCATGGCCAAGCGCGATCTTTTGCGCGAAGTTTTGTCGGTCTTTGGTCAGTCATTCTGTCGAGACCATCCCTCAGATTACTGAATTTATGTACAGTTCGGAGCAAGACCCTTACCAAATTAGCATTAGACTGGCAAGATACTCTCAAAAAGGCATCGAGCGATGATCAGCTATGACAATGCTTTGGTTGTGATTCAGCTTCGCCACTGGGCAGACTGTTTGTTTACTTAACATGTGCATTTTAGCTGGCGCTTCACTAGAGAATAGGCAGTATTTATTTTACGGGGATCTTTGGTTCTGCATCTTGCAACATGCGTTTCCCGATGCCCACTTTAGTAGGAGTGTTTTTTATTGCCACGAATATTCTGAAGTTCAAACAACGCTGTACCGAGTCGAAAAAGTGTTTCGTGTACCTTAGGCCGTAGCTCGGAATGGAGCTCTCGATTTCAAATGGAGTGGGAGTGCATGTCATTCCCACGAGGAGTCCTGTCCCCTGAAATCATTATGCATCACGTCACTCTGAACCTGCACTACCATGAGTGATATTGTCGTTCGAGAGGTCAGTTGTCGAAATTTACCTGTGTACAGATAATTCTCTAATTAAGTTTCCCTGTAGGTCACAAAAGATGTCTGGATCTTCTCCAGGTAGGGCTCACTCATGAAATTACTCTGCCAATTCCCGCTACTACGTTAACTCAATAGACCCTTTGCACGACTTGGAATATTCCCTATGGGAGGACGATCTACTGCTATCAAATTGCGACAGGGAGGCGTTTGGGTACTTGCATCGACTCCGCTGACACAAGATACGCGCAATAAGATAGATGAACTCGGTGAAGTCAAGTGAGCATCATTCAGTCATGTTCGTGCTGTCTTACATCTAAATTTTCAAGATACATCATAGGTGCCGACGCTGTTCACCACCTCTTCCTTGGTTCGCTCGTTCTCTGCTGAATTACTTGGCGTCGTCAAGGTTTTGTCTGACCAATTACGACAGGAGAGTTCAAAAGGGCTTACCCCAATGCAAAGTTGATTGGCGTTGAAGGTGCCATAAATAATATGAGCGACAAGACCCTCCAATTTGATGGTTGTATGTCATTGCAGTCCTTTTTTCTTTAGTCATTGAAATTAGATCTTAGTGTGGGGCCGTGACCCTCCCGGCACAAACTATGGCTTCGAGGACGAGGTAGGCAGATTTATCATGGTGTTCATTGGCACAAAGTGATATTGTATCTACCTACATATAGATTCAACATTGGTACGTGCTTTTCTACTCACAAGGATCACCGACTCAATTCTTTGCAGCTATTTTTCAGGTTTTAGAAACAAAGACGTGGCTTTTCTGCATATGCCATCAAAGTCACTTATTGAAGCAGATTTACTTCTAAATCTACCAGCTAATGAACAAGTCGGGCACTTTTCTTGTCGGTCATGCGTATTTGTTAACATCTCAATTAGTATTCAAAGTCATCCTCTTCGGCCTATGGTAACATCAAGCCGGACTCGTGGATACATAGGGCCATTATCAAGGGCACAACTGTTGACGCCGAGTTTGTATATCATTCCTCGTTCCTATTTGACACTAACACATACGCAGAGCTATGCGCCGCGATGCAACGACAGTTGCTAACTGGGACTTCGATCGAATCATCCCTTGTCACGGTGTGAGAACGACTGCCATGAAAATTTGTGTGACGATTGACGATTGATTTGCAGGATGTAATCGACACAGACGGCAATAGGATGTGGAGAGCCTTGTACAACGCATTCATCAACTGAAAATCAAACTATTCTTGACAAAGCTCATCTACTAGTTCTCGTATGCATATCTTACTGGTCCAGAATACAAAACGAGATAGCTCGTTCAGAAAACCCGGTGTTTCGTTCGCAGCCTATCTACAAGCAGCCGCGTGGGCTATTGACGTCACAAGCTTGACCTCCGCGGATCTTATTATGATCAAGGAGTTCATTGTTGCATGCTAATATGATCGTGGTTGGTCATTCAGTTCGCAAATTCACTTGTTCTCGGTACTCATTCCCAGACCAGTGATACGCTAGAGCAAGGCGGCAACTGAGGTGAGATCTTCTCTTTACAACGCATTATTCCTGAGACTATCATCTGCAAAACACCGACTTAAGATGGACGCGAGCATGTCCCAGACATGTTCATCTGAGGCTGGTGCACCGTTACTCAACAGATTCTGTCCAAACGTGCGCTCGGATGTCAGACATGACTTGTGCTCCTCAGTTCCAATAAACTCGCACCAAGGACATCCGCGCTGAATAGAAATACTCTCACAATGCATGCGACCAGGATGCTGGACGCTGGCGCTCACTAATGTCGAACAGGTCTACAACGATTATTATCTGAGATGGAACCCAACATTCAAATCACTGACCTAGTTGTGCCTAAAACAATGCTGATAGTATCTATGAGCGAATAATCGACTATCCAATAAATGTGTGGTTGAAAGTTCAACCTAGTACGTACCCCTGATCACGCCATTCGCGTTGCTGCTACTGATCTGACGATCAGCAGGCTAGTGTGATATACTGTCCAAATCAAGACGGGTCCTGTGCTAGCCGCTCCACTCATGTTTTTTCCGCCATCATGGAAGTGAATGCTGACTGCGAGGCCTGATTGCGATCGGGAGGGAATCAGTAGGGCATGCGTGTCTCAATTACTGGATCAGGCGACACCGTGACTATTACCCCTCTGGTACAAACCCAGGAACATACACGGGGTACTCATATAGTACTTCGGTAAGTATCTCACCCACGATGCACGCAATCTCGGAAATCTCAGAGTTGGAGACTAGGGACTGAACTCAAAGTGTCAAGCTTCAAATTTACAACCTTGTCCTTCCAGGCTACACCGCTTCATACAGGTATGTCGGTGAGGTGAACAATGTATTATTGTGAAGGAAACTCGGTATTGATTAACATATAGGTACAAAGCGTTTTTTTAAGGCTGACATACAACTTGGTGTGGTAGCCAGAGTTCTGTCTCTTACGGTCGAGGGTGCATTGGGAGGTAATCAAAGAGGTGATGCATGTCAACAAGGGGCACACACCGCATGGGGGTCCACTGGTCTTTCAGTGCCACACTCATCAAGTTCATGAAGTAGTTGCAAAGAACATTCTTCCTTACTGCCTGATCGATGATCGATGATGATCTGCTATACTGATCTGCACGCCTAAGTTGTGTTTTCTACTGTATCATTGTCACATTAAGTCTCGACTCGACTCTGGACTTCGTTTTCACCCTTGATCACGGTCAGCTGCTGTCCACTTTCTACTGTGTACGTAGCACGTTGCTTCCGCATGGCTACCTCAGGTGATTTCCATTGATCGTTCTGAAACCATCTCACTTTCGTAGATGGCGATCCATTCCTACTAATTGTGGTGGTGCTGAACTTGATCATGAAGTGTTAGAGCACGCTTGCCCCGTACATTGTCAAACAACTATTATTAGGCAGAAAGAAGGCTCGACTTACGAAGTCACGCCAAACAGGCATTGCTTCCAAGTTTGACCCACGCTTCCAGAAGGAGTCCGCCTTCGCCGCTAACATGTGTCAAAGTCGTGTGCCAGTGCAGGCAGTCGTGTCTATGTATAAGACGTGGTGGGATAGTCGACTCCGCATAATTTCCATTCAACTCTCCAACAAGTTATTCCAGCGATATGCCATTTTGTCCATTATGCCCGCCTGGTCAGGCAATCATCCCAGGCTTACTAACTGCGTTAGAAGCGGTGAGCAGCAATTTGATTCCGATGATTCGATTGATGTACTGATTGTATTCGCTTGCACCAAGCACATCAAAACGAAGCATGTAGTAGCGGGAATAAGTTGTCAACTCTGCCAGCAAGATTTCAAGAATAATGCTGCGCTGATTCAACATCTTGCATCTAAGAGGCACCACAAGTGCAAAGCGGGATGTTCTCAGACATTTATGACAACCACCGAGCTCAGCACGCACATCAAGGCGGATCACAATGCAGGATCTAAGGTCCCTCCTGCAGCTGCCAGTGCCAGTAAAGCCAACACCACAATCCCGGTCACATTCCCCTGTGGTACCTGTGCTATGCAGTTTGTCAGTTCCGAAACGCTCCAGCATCACATGCGCGTAGACCATTCACCTAATAAAAACCCATGTCCATCTTGTTATCAGAGCTTCTCCACACCTAGCGCTCTTGAGGAACACAAGTCGATCAGCCATCCTGTTCCCAAAGTACAAGCCAGCGTTTTGGGATGTCCCATGTGCAAACAAACATTCCTCTCCGCAGAAGAGCTGCCTAGTCATATTCGCGCCGCCCATCCTCTCGAAGGATCGGCCAAGAAAATGTATCCTTGCATTTCATGCGAACGCACATTCTCGAAGAAGTCTAAGCTTACTGCCCATAACGAAACCGCTCATCCCCCCGAGCATGTTTGTGCCATTTGTCGGCTCAAATGCCCGTCTAAACATGCTCTCAATGATCATGTCGCCGCAGTGCATACACGCGCACCCAGCATCTGCCGGGAATGCAATGCGGCGTTTACCTCCGAAGAGGGGCTTCGCCAGCATTACTTGCATTCTTCAAAAGGTGCCCATCCGAAATGTATCGAGTGTAATCTCGGATTCGAAAACGACGCAGTATATGCAACGGCATGTTTTCTTCATTGTGCTTTATCGTTGTCTCTCACTCTCAAACCTGTATTTCCAGCATCGCCAGACATCCCACCCAGAGCCGCCCCGCCCTGTTTCTCCACCAGCTTCTTATCACTGTCCTTTGTGCAGCAATGTCTTCAAGCTTCAGTCAGCACTGGACGACCACACGGTTGCGAAACACTCTTTCACCTGCGGAATGTGTGAATTCGTTTGTCTGGAGGAGGAAGTTCTCAAGGAGCACATCGCCTCGGCGCATTCGTGCCCCGTTTGTCACGAGGGCATCTTCGCAAATACAGACCTTTTAGACGAGCACCTCGCAGACCACGCTGCCCCCTATCGTTGTGAAGTCTGCCAAACAAGGTACGCCGAGGAAGAAGGCCTACGCCAGCACTACAGAGATTCCCCAGATGACATACATCCGTCTTGCACGAGATGTAACCTGGGTTTTCAGGATGCAGGCGAATACCATAATGTATTGTCCCCTCTTTTCGTGTTATATTTGTGAAGATCTCCCATTCATGTCGCATTCAGCACACAGAAACGATGCACCCTCAGGTATCCTGTCAACTGTGTGATGGAGCATTATTCGATCCTGAGGAGCTTCCTATGCACTACTTGACATCGCGCAACCATCCCGCGTGCGACAAATGTCAAGTTGGATTCAGTGATCAAGCCGAATTTGCGATGGTGGGTGAGTACCATTATCGTTGATGCCTTGACTCAGCCCGCCGGGTAGCATGGCGCAACAGAACATCCAGAGGCATACTGTCACCTATGCCAGTGGCAGTTTGAGTGCCCTGAGTCGTTGCAGAATCATATCCGACACTTCGTAGCACACCCCAAGTGCATGGACTGTGAGCTGAGATTTGCAGATGTGGACGCCTATCAACACGTTGGTTTTCTTTTCCGGTTCGTCGAGTAATGCTCAAATATGTTCCACAGCATTTGTTTGTCGTGCATAGGCCACACAGTAGTGATTCCGTGACACAACAAGATTTCGACCCCGATGTTTTGGATAATGGTGACATAGTAGTTCATTCCGAAAAGCTTTTTTTCGATTCCTTTTCTCCCAATCGAGTTGACTCGAAATGGGATTTCACTGTTGATGTTAATTATGACCTCCCCTGTGCCCCATCCATCCCATTGCCTCCGAGTACCAGTGGATACTCCAGCCCTCTGTCTCAGAGGGTTCTGACACGATCAAGCATAGGATCGCGGTCGTCGTCCAGGACGCTTTCGCCGCCTCCTATCAGCGGCATCAAAGTCTCACAGCTGGAGACTGGGCATGTCGTGGATCATTCCGAGTCACCAGAGCTTGAGCACTCGCCGCTTTCCAATATACCCACAGTTGGTACACCGTTGATATCAAGTACAGACTTCCGTAGCCCCTTCAGTCCGCGCCCAGACCCTCCGGCACTTTTTGTTCCTTCTCAAGAGCTGAACGGCGCCAGTCACAGCGATCAAGAATCTGTTGCCTCTGCGAGGTCACCTGAGACAAGCTCTCCCGTGATTAAACTTCCCGAGAATGGCGCATCGCCGGTGTCGAGCTCTGGCTGGTCCACATTAAGTGGCGAGGATGTGTCGAGGATGTCAGTCAAATCGGATGATTCACCAAATCATCGACCGGTGGGCGTTGCTGTGCCGATGCTTCGGCTGCAAGTACCTGTGCCTAATGGGACTTCTCAGACAGCCAGGTATGATGACCAAGTGAAGCGTTACGTTCGAATCTCAATCTTGTCACAGTACTTTGGAGACGCCAAGTTCCATTTCACCCGAGTCTGCAGGCATTGATATTTCTGCGAATGTGACCCCCGATTACTTGCGAGAAGCTCGTGCGTATCTTGCCGTGACTCATCCAGGACAGGTACCTTCCACTGTGAATCACATTCATAGTCCGGCCATGACGTCCCCTAGTTTGACGTCAATCGGCCTCACCGCTGCCTCTCGTGAGCGACGCCGTGAAGTTCGATTTGAGGACAGTATCATGTCGGAGCCGTTATGGGAGAACCCATCATCTGACTCGACCGATTCTTCTTTCGATCTTCCTGTGCTTCAAGGCAGGCGAAAATATGGCGTACAAAAGAAATCAGGTCGGTGACACTGTTTCTTCACAGAGCTAGAGTTGACAATAGCACAGGTGCCAGTAAACTTCCTCGTTTTGCACCACTCAAACCGGCACGAGTCGCAGGAAGGAACGGGATCAACCATTTAACGAATGGCGCAACTTCTCTTTCTCCCTATCATTGTAGGATTTGTCGACGAGAGACATGCGAGGATCTGACGACGACGACCTGTGGACACCTGTTCTGCAACGCGTGAGTACGATCGATGCTGGTCTTGAACTTGGATTGACAGGAATTTGTAGATGCATCACAGATGCGGTGATACGAGACTCGCGATGTCCCGTGTGTAGGAATGCGGTTTTGCTTTACTGCTTATTCCGCATCGACACCGCCGCGGGCTGCCATAACTGAGGATGAGTGGTCGATCTATGTAGTATCCTGTCTGTCGTGAAGTGCCGATTTCGACGCTGGTAGTCATTTTGAATGAGACCTGGTAAAAATTCAATCGTAATTCCGTGTGACATTGTGACCATCGATGTAAGTCATCGTCAACCTTAAATCAACTGGCACTGTGCAAGTGGGCACTCGAAGAGTAAGTTCAGGACGGAAAAGACTACTAAGGTCTGCAGACTTGAAAAGTCCGTCCCACCAGCGTTTAGGCGACTATTGAATACGTCACGGTTAAACGTGGCACACTCGGCCAGAGCCGAATTTAATGTAATTGTGATACGTACTGACAGCAAATCGGAAAGCTGTGGCACTTCCTCTCCCTCTCGTTGTTCGAGAGAACTGCCTCATATACCCCCCACTTTTCTATCTTTCCCTTCTTCGGGGGACTGCAAGTGGTAGTCAGGCTTGGTGGTGGTGTGACAGAAACTTCAACAGTGACGATAGTCTAATCTACTGCTACCACCATGCCTGAATGCAATCATTGTGATCGTTCTTTCGTCGACAAGCAGGCTGTGCTTATGGTGCGAAATGCTTTCAAGTTGCGTCTATCTCAAGCATCTGATTCCCAACCCGTCCATCTAGCACACTGAGTCAAAGCACGGGTTTGAATGCACTCATTGCAACCGAAAATTCAAGACTCCAGACGGGAGAGACGAGCATGAGAGAACGAAGCATGCCTTCCGTTGCGATGCTTGCAACCAATATTTTGGCTCCCAGAAAGCCCTGGATTCACATGATAAGGCTAAACATCCTCCTGCATACGAATGCAGGTACTGCGATAGAGAATTTCGCTCACAGGGAGCCCTGGGTTCACATGAGAGAACGAAGCATAACTTCCATTGCGATGCTTGCAACCGAGAATTTAGCTCACAGGGAGCCCTGGATTCACATGATGAGGCTAAACATCCTCCTGCATACGAATGCAGGCACTGCGATGAAGAATTTGCGTCCGATGGAGCTCGTATCCAGCACCAGAACAAGAAGCATCCGCCCCGCCCGCGCGCTGTTCGTTCATCTTCGGCGGTGCTATCGCCAAAGCCAACATACTCCCCAGCTGCGCCGCCTACCCGCGTGGAGAAGCCTAGTGTAAATGTATTTGGTACGTTATCCACGCCAAAGTCCATCCCAGAACGTTCTGGTGGTGAGGATGTCAAGCCACCAAAGGTAGAGGTCGCTGAACCCGTAGTGGTGGCTAATTTCGCATGTGGAACTTGTGGAGAATTCACCGCGACGATATTAGCTTTGGAGGCCCACGAGTCGCAGCATAGACTCGATTCGTGCGCTTGCACGATATGCGAGAGAGCTGAGAGGCCTTGCAATTGCAATATTTGCAAGCGCACTTGCACCTCGGTGAATGAGACGCTCCTTGATCGTGTTGTGATTGGCGAGCCCGAAGAAACTACGTCGTCCGTGGATTCACCTGGGGATGTCGAACTCAAGGCAGTCGAGGACTCCGTGGTTGGGTCTTGTGATTTCGTCATGAGCCTGGAATCTCAAGAAGCCATCGATCCATCAGTTGATCGCAGCGGTGCGGCGCACGGCGTGTACTCGCATCATGACCAACCCTTGACAGATTTGGAACACGAGGTGGACGGAGAGCAGGCTCATGACTTGATTCCGCCCTTATCCCCACGTCAGCACCAGAGTCTTGATGACCCGACATGTCTTTCTGACGTTGATATGAACTTGACGGAGGAATCTAACACTACCGACCTCCAATTGGGTTTTGCACCCGTGGAATACGACGCCATTTCTTGTGAATTGGATATACTGGAGCAAGTAAGATTTGTGATCTTGATTCTTTCGGGACTAATGCTAATGCGTTCTCCGTGTCGCATAGCATTCTGCACTCGATGTTCACGCCATCGTACAGGACCCAACAGTCTATGAACGCGTGCATGCAAGCCAACGTGAAGTTTCCCTCGAATTGATTTATCCCCATTGTGAAGACCACAACATGGTTCGTTTATTTTTGGATCCTAGTATACGATTTCTGAAAAGTCTGTCAGTCCCTTGCAGAGGCATCCAACGACCAACCGACAGTACTCGACATAGACATGAGTCACGAGCATGTCGATAACCGTCCAGAGTGTGACCTCTCCACTCCTGAATTGGAACCTGATATCACGCCCTCATCACACTCTGCAAATGGCACACCTGTACCCGTGCAAGTCCGCACTCTTCAGTTTATAGGGTCTCCCCCAGTTCATACCCCTGAGTTGTTGCAGCCAGGGGAGCCTTTCACACGCGACCTTGTTCCTTCACCGACTCCATCTGAGCACGGTAGCTTCGGGCGCCCTAGCATGACTCAGGAGGATCCCCCGCATTCTGGAAGCCGTCCTCTACACTCTCCACTGAGTTCGGAAGGTTCTGCTGGTTACTTCTCCGATGCCAATCGTTCATCGACACCATCAAGCCCTCTGTCTGACCATTCCATCGTCTTCGTATCTGCGGATTCGATACCAGAGTACGTTAGAGAGAACCGTGCATATCTCGTTGCAACAAGTGCACCGTCCCAATCTTCTTCAGCATCCTCTAGTTGTGTCCGTTTACCCTCTGTGATCACTTCGTCGGAGTCTCTACCATTTCAACAAGATGAGAATGATGGTGCTGATGTGCCCCCTGCGCAACCCAACGGCCAATCTGCGCTTTACTGCAGGATTTGCCTTCGAGATCCTTGCGATGATACGACTGCGACGATGTGCGGGCATGTGTTTTGCAACAGGTTTGTGATTCTGTTGGTTGATTGATGTTCCGTGCTGAAACGTGTTTACTTGAAGGTGCATTATTGATGCTGTGATGGCCAGGTCTGCGTGTCCGGTCTGCACTGCTCCCACATTACTCTACTGTCTTTTCCGCCTTGATGTCTAAGCAACACCTGTCTTGCTTTTCGACGATGGACATGCATGCCAATGACACAACAAATCATATTGTATTTTAGAATTCTTGAATCATCACAAGTTTACCTATATCCGTTGCGGACTTGTAAGCAGTATCGTAGGTGAGCATGATACTCGTCAAAGCTGCATGACATTAATCCATCACTCGATAGTATCGCATGGGGAATTTGTTGTGAATTCAATTGCCTCAAAGTTCTTGCGGGATAGTAAGGCCGATGATAGAATGTAAGTCCGAACGCTCTGGTCGTACTACTACCTCGTAATATCAACCGTGGTGATATCTCAGATAGATCTCAGTCTGCATTTCGCATTCGATCAAACGCCGCGCGAACGCGTGCCCTTGGGTCCATAGCATGCATATGCGAATTTTTTCTCAGCATCTCCAAGTCTATTTATAATAATACAGGTGGCCCCTAAACAACCGAATTGTATGGTGCTTCCTCGCGTGAGGATCACATTATGGTAAAAGTTGCAAGCCGGCCCGCTTGAGACTCAGACGGGTATCGAAGCGTAAAGAGAAACTGCCGTTTCGTATGTAGGTCCCCGTCTCAGGGACTACCCACACGCATGCCAGTGGACGTTCTCCTGGTCGTCTCACAGCAATAAACTACGACACCTGGATGCCGCTGCGATGTCACGATACGAGGGTTTGCGATGAGGGTTTTTTATTCGAATTTTTTCCCAAGGGTTTATTTTGTCGTTGTTGAACTTTAATCGTTGGTTTGCTATTAGTTTTTGATAACTTTATTTTTTTCGCTACTGAGCCGTTTTATGCCCGCTTGTTAGCTCACCAGGTGCGATGCATGCAGCGAACTTCAGGCCCACGATGATATGTTCCGCTTGTACTAATAGCGACTTGCTCTCATGTCCGAGTGGTTGAATGAGCTGTTGTTGTCGACAAGGGTATATGCATCCTGACGGAACAATCAATCATGTTCCTGTTGGAAGATTGCCCTTAAAGTGTAGCAGCAAGTATCCACTCCGACGTAGCCAAGAATATCTTGAGTGACATCTTATCAGATAATCGGCCGATGTCATAATCTGATAAGGTGAGATCATGAATCAATATTATCTGATGGCGATGCTTGTTCAAACGTTCTCCTACACCGTACCTTGTCGTCAGTTTCTGACCGTTCCTTCGGTCAACTTTAAACTCTGACCCAACCATAATCTACGACCGTTCGGACATGCAAAAGGGTTCGATGAACCCGCTCGGTTTCTACATCCGAAACTAAAATAAGATCCTACTTTACTTCTCGACCCGACTCGCATCACCTTCGCCTGGGTCAGCCAGCAATCGATCTAGAATTTCTCCGTTCAGACAGCGTGTACTATGATGCTGATGGGACGCCATGCGTAGCCGTCGAGCCGGCGACTTGAAATTATTTACAGTAACACTATACATAGACTCATCATGATGGGAGCTGACCTCGCCATCCATATCCAAGACTTTCGTAACAGCTTTAAAATACGAGTTTCGGGCTTCGCGGTCATGGGCCTGAATAAAACTATCCATCCATATCCATCTACTACAGACGGCGTCCGAAGAATTCATGAAGGCCACGTCAACCATAACGCCACGGTGGCGTACAGGTCATCATGGTTATGTAAGCTGCTCGTCTTTGAATCGAAGGTTGTTCGAAGGAACCGAAAAAAGGTCCGACTTGATATGGTAGGAAACCACTTGCTGCCGTCCCCTGGGAGTTATCATGTTATCACTCCGGACCTTGACGTTCGGTGGCTCAGGGTTCGATAGTTGGCGGAGTATCAGAAATTCAGAAACTCTCTCCCTGACTTATGGTATGTTGTTACTGTCAGTGGCTCAGGGGTTTGAAAGTCGCAACCAGGCTGATAACAGGGTACCGTGAACTCTTTACCGTTCCCTGGGTATTGATCCTGTTATCACTCGGACCTTACTCAGTCGCCGCAATGCCTAGGCAGATTCGAATTCAATTATAATTCACTATTGTCTGCATCATTTTAAAATTGGCAATTGAATGATTGTAATTCGCTGGATACATAGGAGTAACATAACATCAACTTCCATGTCAGAAGTAATGAAAACAGTAACGAAGAAGAAACAACGACGAAGAGAGATGAACGGTGTGGGGATGCCGTCTAGGGAACAGTCTCGGTCTTTTCGGCATGAATAACGTCAAGGTATCTTCTTTACCCAGGCATCGAAAGAACCGAGCAAGCCGAGCGCCCGCATCACTGCACCTCCGTCGGTAAAATGACGCTAGCAAACGGACTTTCAGAGGTGCTTATGGGTGTGGCTTTTTCACTGTCGGATTTCTCTGCCTGATTTTCGCTTGCAAGTCGCCTGCGCTTGCCCACCGCAGACTCCCACCCGAAAATCTTGGTACGACCCTAGCAGTACAGTTTAACGAGGCAAACACGACAGTAAGAAACGAACATACCTCTTTGAACTTCATACGCACGAGGACTACGATTACCATGATCCAATAGAACACATAGCTCAGCACGCTGCCAAGCGTGGCGCTATTTTGCCATCCCAATACAGCATTGAATATGCCCCATGACATATCGGTCTCAGGATTACAGCAATCGAGATGCCACACATTTCCGCGGACATTGTATGATCCAGGCCCGTTACCTCCCGTGTCGTCCACATCTTTGCCAAGTAAATTGTTGAAGGCGTTCACCTGGAAAGACCAGATAGCTTTACTAAATAAACCTGCACCAATGAGGAGGATCAGATTCGTCATAACAATAAGGAAGATCGTAAGAGCTAGTGTATAATAGGTTAGTATTCATGTAAGACCAAGATTCCGAAGACTCACTCGACCGGCTAGCGAACTGATAAATGAAATAGCCACAAATAAGTCCACAAACAAGGCCCACGATTGCTGCAATCGGAATTGACTTTGCAGGCTGTCCAAGTGCGACACCGCCCACGAAGACGACAGCTTCAATTCCTGCGAAACGTTCACGCATTAATGAAAGCATGGTTACAGCGTTAGGTAAAGACGTCCAGGGACAATACTCACCCTCGCGCAAGACTGTGATCATCGGAAGGATGAAGAGTACCCACTTCCCAGTCCTTGTGCTGCGATCGACGTCTGACAATGAGAGTTAAGCGCAAGAATAGAGGAAAGAGAGGACACCTACGTTCATCACTAAACGCGCGTTGGAGCTTGACGCGCCATTTAGCTTTGGCCCTGTCCAACTTGAGCATGGTAACGCCCATGACAAAGATCATCCAGCATGCAATGAGTTCAAAGATGCCTGTTTGAATCATGGGTCAGCTTGATTGCGCGACACGGAGGGAAAGGACGAGTGAGGAAGTAAATGCAGACCTTCCCAGAGAAGTTCGGCCTTGGTCCAGAGATTGGACGCCTTGGTAAACCAAACTGCAATGAATGCAGCGCCTAATGCGAACGAGAGGAACAAGCCTATGCCTGCACCAGCAAAGACCTTATTGCTCATGAGTCGACGATGCTTTCTTCAACACAGTAGCATACCTGGAATCTGAGTTTACGGAGCAAACGTCTCTTGACGGTGGCATCGGATTCTCCTTCTTCTGGCGTAGTCGTTTCGCTGTCGTTGTTGTGAGCTATAGTGGGCCGAATATGCTGAGCAATCGTCGCGAATTGGTCTGTGTCGCCATGGACGATCTGCTCGACGAGACCAAGGAGTACGGATACGATGACGACGGCTTCAAGAGTCTCTCTGAAGACGATGAAGAAAATGCTGACGCTGAACAAATTCTGGGCAGTCATTTCCGCGTTCTGATCCTTGGTATGTGAGGGGATGCAGATGCATAACTAGAAAGACTTTATCTGATAATAAGCTTTCCACTCGAACCCTGACTTGAACTCGAATTTCTTGTTCCGAACGCCGAAAAAAAAAATCAATCGCATCAAGATAGTATCCAGGGGGTCTCGTGCAGGGTCTCGCCAAGGAATCCTCCCCCCCAGCCACCATCAAATTTCAAATCTGTTTGCTTATCAGATACACGGCATTTTTCATTTTGAATTTCAAATTTTAGACCTCGTTTGGGATTATCAGATAAAATTAACGATCAAGGGTCTCCCGGTAGCGGATACTACTTAGACGGTGCAGTAAATACCTCACCCTGTGGTTCTTTGCCCCTTCTTCTCCAGAGCACTGACTTTGAATTGTATAGACTCATCGTCGCGTCCATGTGGTGCCGCCAATTAGTCCCCTTCCTCGCCCTCCTGTCCCCTGCACTGGCGGGCGTACAGGAGCTTTGGTGGAACGTCACCTACGTTCAAAACGCAAACCCAGACGGTCTCTTCGAACGCCGTGTCATTGGCGTCAACGGAACATGGCCGTAAGTCTCTCAGCATCCTATATATTATTAGTTTATCGAACTCATAACTTTGTTCGGCTCGACGTATCTGACTTCTTGAAACTAACTCGCTATAAAACCCAACACTTAAATCTCATGCTCGTCGACTTTTTTTTGGTGCCCGTGAAGGCCTCCACCGATTGAGGTGTCTACGACAGATTCATTGCTCGTGCATGTAACGAATAGCGTCGATACACCTGCGACGCTACACCACCATGGCATGACCTTTAACTCAACATCCTGGATGGATGGAGCAATGGGGGTTTCGCAATGGTATGTATATCACCGTCTTCTGTTTGATGTCTTCGTGCACGCAACTAATGAAGCAACTGTTTTCTCACGCAGTGGTATACCCATGGGCCAGACGTTTGACTATGTAGTACCCATCAATACCTCCGGCCAAGTTGGAACATACTGGGCCCATGGTCACGCAAAAGTAAGTAAACACCATCTCCCCGCTTTTCTACTTTGCGTACCTCTCGAAATAATGTTGTACTAAATCATGTATTTATTCACGCAGGGAATATATGTGGATGGTCTGCGCACGCCTCTCTTGCTGCATTCTTCAAATGAAACTTATGGCGCGGATTATGATGCCGAGTACACTATTTTGCTGAGTGACTGGTATCATCAAGAACAACCTGTTCTCTTGGAATCCTTCATCAGCATAGCAAATCCAGGCGGGGCAGAACCTATTCCTGGTGAGTTGCCTCGCCCTATAGTTTATGCTGGCATACCGATGGATGGATGTTTATTTTTTCAATGTTCCATTTCCCTGCAGATTCTGCTCTCGTATATTTCTCCACAAATGGTTCCTACCTCCCACCGATCACAGGGAGTCACCCATCCCCAGTAACAAGCGCGGTGGGTTTCAACGAGAACGCGACTCTTCCGTTCGAGCCTGGTAAAACGTACAGATTGCGCATAATAAACATGGGCGCATTTGCAGGGTTCTACTTCTGGATCGACGGGCATGAAATGCGAATTATCGAAGCTGACGGTGTGCGTTTAGTTTTACTTGCTTCTTACGACTCGGTGGACTCATTTTACCGCAGACGGATACACAAGAGCAGCCCGCTGATGTGCTGAATTTGGCAGTGGCGCAACGTTATTCTGTGCTTGTCACCGCGAGGAACGATACGTCGTCGAACTGGGCCATCCATGCGAACATGGATACGAGCATGTTTGACAGGGTTCCAAGTACTCTAAATCCTAGTAGGTTATTTCCTTTCCCGAGCATTCGATCCCGCCACTTATTGTACCACCTTTCAAAATTCTCGCAGATATTACCTCCACCATCACGTACTCCGCCTCCTCTAGCGTCACCAATCTAACCACCGTGTCCTCCTATAACTTGGTAAACGATACCTCTCTGGTTCCCGTCGTTGTTATACCTGCACCCAACCCAACGAGTACCCTTGATCTTGTGTTCAACTTCGAGACGATGAACGATGGGACAAATCATGCGTTCATAAACAATTTGGTTTATAATCCGCCATTGGTACCCGCGATCATAAGCGCACTGACCCTGGGCGATAATGCCACCAGCCAAGTGGCATACGGGCCGTACAGTTTTGTGTACAACTACGGAGACGTGATCGACATGGTGGTGATGAACGCCGATACAGGAAAACATCCCTTGTGCGTTTTCTCTACCCCACATTCGGTATTTAACAGAGCTGATATCACGTTCTAGCCATTTGCACGGATACAAGATGCAGATTGTCAATACAGCAACAGATTATTCCTCCGACGATCCGTCCTTGAACCCACCGCTTGTCGAAGGACAAGCAAACCCGATGCGTCGTGACACCGTAATGATCCCTGGCGGAGGCTCCGTCACGCTCCGCGTCGTCGCTGATAACCCCGGCGCATGGTTTTTCCACTGAAAGTCTACCAATCCCCTTCCGTCGAGACATCTTGCTTACATTTATCATCATCCAGGTCACATCGAATGGCACCTCGAATCGGGCCTTGCGGTCCAGTTCATAATAGCTCCGCTTCAGATACAGGAACAGGCACAAGGCCGCGTGCCGTCGTTCCTGTACGAACAGTGTGCTACGCTTGGGTCTCCCTCGGCCGGTAATGCTGCAGGACACGCGAGCCCGACTGACTTATCGGGTCTCCCGCTTGGTCCGTGGTTCCAGAAGCTCGGTTGGCTTGCTAAAGGCATCTGGGCGATGACTGGGTGAGTTTCGGGGCTGAGTTAGTCGTTGCGATGTACTGACGATGGGCAGATGCGTGTTGACCGCCTTCCTTGGCATGCTCACTGTTACGTGGTATGCGACTATGGGGGGTGTTATTACTGAAGAGGAGATAGAGGAGGCGGTGCGTAAGCGTATCGAGGAAAAGGAACGTAAAGGAAAGTTCTTTGGTTTGTTTAAGAAAAAGAATTAGTTATCTGTACCCATTTGTTTCGTGCTGATCTAGTCGGTCGCTCTGGCTATATCCTTTTGTGGAGTTAGTTTCTGTCGATGATCGTGACCGCTTTGATAGATAAGATTTTGTCGGATGTAGATGAGTGAACTACCGAGTCGCCCCTACTGCTGTTATTTCTCTTGGTGAAAACTTGGCTGTTCTTAGGTCCTATGATAGGACCCCAGTAAACCAAGCCCTCGTGCGTCCCATCGTGCCTTTAAATCCACGCCTGTCGTCCCTGTTAGGATTTTTGACATATCATCATCACTTCACAGCTAGGGTCTTGACGCAGGTCAATGTAATAATTATATTGAATGAATGAACGCTGGGTCCACCAAATCATAATGCTCGAGATAGGTCGTTCAGGGTTCAGGGAACCCAGGCATCAAGACGCTTGACGACATTAATAAGACAAAACGTACAAATATCATTATATCATACACCACAAGTGCGGAAGATCATCAGTACAGAGGGGGGGGGGTCACTGGACAAAACAAAAAAAACTCGATGAATCACACGCAAAACAAGCCCCCCAAAAACACCACTCACATGCTAATGCTACATGGCTTCTATTTTGCAGAAAGCGCAATCCTCGCTTGCTCGACGCGCCGCTTATTTTTCGCAATGATATTGGCTTCCAAACTCTCGCCGGCTGGAATGTTCTCAGCAACATTCACAGCACCCGATCCGAAATACAGCGCCTGCTGCCAGTGCTTCTCTCGAATAGCCATCTCAGCTGCATTTCCCAACGCCAACGAAAGCTCCTTTCTCGCCCCCAACACTTCCTTCGAATACTGACCCTGCGTATGGGTGTCAAACGCAACCAAGGCAGCAGAAAGTTCTGCAGCGCTCGTGAACGCAGCCCTGGCGTAATCATTATCGCCTTTGCGAGAGCGTTCACGCCCCTTGTCCATGCTCGCCCTCACGCGCTGCAGTGCGATCTTTAGGAATCGCCGGATGACATCAGGGTTCGTGATTTGTTGTACGTGGTTCAGACAGGTCGAGGATGAGAGACCGTTTGGTGCTTTTTTGAGTCCTTGGATGGTATCGAAAGCTTTTCGTTGGGCGAGCACGACGAGCAGGCGTGCGAGGGCCGTTGGACCCATGATACTTTCATCTGCGATTTGGAGGGGTGCATCCACTTTCATGTTCAGGGATGCAGTGTACATAGGTCTGCGAAAGATCTCTTCCGTACGCTCGGTACACATATATCGATCCTCCGGTTTAGTAGGGTCGAGTTCACTTGGACTCTTGATTTTACGGGAAGCAACGTATGTCATCCGGAGCAGTGACTCGATCTCGGCGTTGGTGACACCGCAAGACTCAGCTGCATGACTGAGGGTACTGACTAGTCTCAACATAGCGATACGGGATGTGCCTGTAAGCCATTTATACCATTGAGTATAGTCATCGAGAGACATGTTGGCGACAGACCTCTATATTCAAATACCAGGCCGAAAGCATCTTCATCGGGTGGCTCAAACGCGTGGTAATCAACCTCGACCCGATCAAACCAGCTTTATGGGGGTCAGGCGTGTAACGAAAAGACGAAGAGGGTTACCCACCCCCGGACCTCCCGCCAGTCCTCCTCTTCAATTTTCATCCATACTTCAATGATTTTCTCACACCAGTCTTCTCGGGACGTCAGGATGGCTACGGTTTGAGTCATGGCCTTCCATTCCTGTGCTCTAAAGGCATGGTCTTGAGGCGTCGAAACACCTGGTACTATGTGCGACGGCCATTGGAAGAAGAGGGCTATGACCTCACACGCGATAGAATCGACTTGTGTTTCAGGATACCAAGGCGGGCGAGCGATGATGGCGCAGTCAAAAAGTAGGTCTAGAATCTCTGGTTTCTTCTTCAAAATGTCAAGACAGTATTTTCGCGATGGGGGTGGCGTGGTACACAAAAGCCCGTGGGCAGTCCATAGAGCGCTTTCTTGGGTCATGGCGTAAAATCGAGGTACATGCTCCGTGGCGCGTGTTGCAGGTACCTTATGGGGTAAATTAATCGAGCACAGGATGCATAAGTCGGAATAACGATACACACATCAATTTCATCCATAAACATTTGACTTTGCCATGTTGTGTTTGGAGATCGCATGCTCTCGATGAAGAAATCGGGTCCTTCTAAAGTAAATCTGCAGACAGCTGCGATTATATCTCCTACTTCTGTTGCAGATAAATTCTCTCCTAATAGGGATTCGCTGGCGAGTACGCGTAAGGTGTTGATAGCTAACTGACGGAAAATGCAAAGAGGATGATTCAGATGCTAAGAGGCGCATGAGAACTCGGGAAATCACAAAGCCAGAAAAAGTTCTATATATTCTTACCGATAAACAGATGTTAACGACATGATTCTTCTTCATGTCTTCCAAAAGGGTGCGTCGTTCGGTAAGATTACCAGTCTCCATAAATTCTGCTAGAGCTCCGAGCGCATTGTACTGGCCGATATACCGTTCCTTTGGCTGCGATTGCGACTGAGTGTATAGATGGGATGTCACGACGGCAAGAAACGTTTTCACGATCCCTGCCGCATAGCATGCTTTGCCGAAAGCACTGAAGCTGAGAGAATCGTGACCCTTCCGCGTCTGAGACTCATCGCGGAACCGAAATTTGATAGCACCCTGGTTTGTACTTGTCTAGATGGTAATATGGAGCACAGAATACGATGGGACCCACCGTATAGTTCTGCACAAATGTGGGATCTTGGTTTCGCTCTATAAGCTTCGCGAAGAGCTTCGTTAGGTTTTGTGATAATTCGGGTTCGCGTGCGCCAAGGACTTGTTCGATATTATTGAGTGTTATGTTGCTCATGACCGTTGAGACGCTGTGCATGCACCTGCAGAAAACTGATGGGAGAACACACGAGCTGATCAGTAGATCAGTGAAACTGTGGAGGTGACGAATTAAAATGTCTCTCACAGTGAAACCCTAACCCTAATCTTAGGTTTGTTCGGTTGGACAAGGAAAACAACAATAAGACGTCCTGCATCTTGAATTATAAGCTACTTATCACTAGGTTAATTACAATAGCTAATTGATACAGCGTGTGGGTATATGCTCGAGGGTCCCATAATCGAATATAATCATCGAATATAATCCACTCCTCCGACAGCTAGCATAATCTATCATTAATGCAATCCACTTCTTCAATAAGCCATTGTCGGCGAAGCCGAGACGAAGCTAAACGGAGATGAAGCAGTCGAAGAAGCTACCACGGACGAAGATCGAGCACCAAACGAGATGTTCGGTGATGCAGAAACAAGGTGAAATGGCACTGCAGTAGATGTGGCGCTTGGAATTGGAGTGGCTGAAGGACTGTTCAAGTTGACGGTAGTAGCCGAAGCGTAACTGGGAGACGGGGAAGCAGTGGATGTAGCAAGTGGAGTTTGTATTACAGTAGGGACAGTAGACGATGCAGTTCCGTTCAATCCCACATTCGTTGTCGTCATGCTGGGTGCAGCTGTACCATTAGCTGTCACGGTGACGACCACGGTGGTCACAACGACCACAGTGGAAACATTGTTCGTGCCGGTGGTGGCAGCTGGCACAGGCGTCACAAGAGGGATTGAGGAAGTGAGAAGTGCAGTTCCAGTCCCAGTGGATACGATGGGAGAGGTTGAGGGACTTGAAGCAACGCTACCGACACCAGTAGAAACGACAGAGGAGCTTGCAAAAGCACTCGTAGAAGTGCCAAAACCAAAAGCGGTCGTAGGAGAGGAAGCGACAGAGGAACTCGTCAAAGCACTCGTAGAAACAATTGATGCGGGACTACTGGCAGAAGAACTTGTTACACTGGTGTGTAAAGCAGTGCCGGCTTGAGTAGATGAAGTAGAGACAGTAGTGGTCGGACTGCCAAAGCCAAAGGTGGGTGCGTATGAAGAGCCAAACTGACGCTTTTTCATCGAGGGGCTGGCGAGGGTAGACGAAGTTACAGGAGTTGGGTAATCACATGGATCATCAGTGCTCGAGGTAGGAGCGTTTGTGGGAGATGGTGAAGCACTTGTCGTGGTCTCAAAACAGTCGCCACTGTCAGTGGTTGTGTTACTCGTGGTACTATTTCCAGTTACCCCTCCCTGGACGCCAGCAGCGACAAAACGCGCTTCGGCATCACTTTGTGTGTCACAAGCGAGACTGGTGCCAGCTTTGGTGACGAGAGGAAGTGCAAAGCAAGATAGACCGGACGAGCAAGGCGTAAGATCCCAGGAGGTTCCAATGCACTGTGCGAAGGCACTGCCAATGCATGCCTGAGCACCACCTGTGGCAGTCACAAAATCAATAAATGAACGAGAGCAACAGATAATATTGAAACCTCACTTGTGCAGGAATCATTGGCGGTCATTGTGGCAAACTGGGCATTCAGTTTTTGCGCATCGAGACCGTTTTGTTGTTGGGAGAAACCTGAAGAATTGGATACGAGCACGTAGTAAGATGCAAGAGGTGCTGCGCTGGTCAGGGAAGCTAGTATGGCGACTACAAAGAGATTCTGAGAGAGACCCATAACTGTAGAAGATGATATTTTTGAGTGAGTGCAAGCGACTGTGGGATGCAACTAGCGTTAGAATGAACGTAAGACGAGCTCCTGGCTCGGATGTAGAAAGTCGTTAAAAAGACGAAAGAAGAGGCTACAGTTACGACTAGTGCGTGCAAGATGGGGATTCAGGGCCATCTGCCTTGCCTTTATATATGAAAACGGCGGTTGTGGATGCATGGACACTTGCGCAGCAGCCTATTGTTTGACGGCGAAGTATAGACTTTCATTGTTTTCGCATAAGTTAGACTCCAATTTAAAGCTCAGCGATTATACTTAACCGTTATTTGTTTTAATTTGGTTTATCTTTTGGGACAAATATATTTTGTGACTCAGATCGGGATTATCCGTTTATCTTATTATCCTCATTGAAATTTTGAGATAGAGATGCTGCGCCTGCTAACTCGTCCTCTTTATCTCTCTGCCACTCCTTCATCATTCCTGCGTTTCAAACAGGCCCCCTCACTCGCCTCAAGGAAAATGGCAACCTTTAACACTCCAGACTTCGTGCGTACTATTTTCAATCAGTCACATGTCTTTACCAAGAGAGACTGCGCTATTATTGCAGAACAAAGTCCTGTATGCACCTCTAGCAGAGATCGATCCTGAAGTGCAGAACATCATCGACAAGGAAACTTGGAGGCAGTTTTCCGGACTCGAGCTTATCGCGTCTGAGGTGGATTTCACAGTTCACTGTCATCTTATCTCCATGTTTTCTGAGACATTTCCTAGAACTTGACGAGTCGCGCAACTCTCGAGGCAAATGGCTCAATATTGACCAACAAGTACTCAGAGGGTCTTCCAAATGCCCGGTACTATGGTGGCAATGAACACATTGACGAGCTTGAGATTCTTTGCCGCAAGCGAGCCCTCGAAGCATTCAACCTCGACCCTGCAAAATGGGGTGTGAACGTCCAGCCCTACTCTGGTTCTGTGAGTATTCTACTACAATCAGGCACCCTTCAATCTTGACAATCAATGAATCTCATGCTAGACTGCAAAGTACGTCTAACACCGCTTATGTGTGATCGTGTCTCACATTACGCGACCAATAGTTTTGCAGCTTTAACTGCTCTCCTTCAGCCCCAGGACCGCTTGATGGGTCTTGGTCTTCCAGATGGTGGACATCTCACGCACGGTTACTATGTGAGTTGCCTTTGCCACGTCAATGGCTAGCTTGAGTTCTGAGATCCGGTCAATTAGACTGCTAAAAAGAAGATGACCGCTTCCTCAATATACTTCCAGTCTTTCCCTTATGCAATTGATCCCACAACACAGCTTATCGACTATGAAGGTCTTAAGCGGCAAGCAAAGATTTTCAAACCCAGATTAATCATCTGCGGTGCCTCTGCTTATCCCCGTGACTGGGACTATGCTGCTTTGAAGAATACTGCGGACGCGGAGGGTGCATACCTCATGGCTGATATTGCACACACCAGTGGTCTTGTCGCAGCACAAACACTGAATAACCCTTTTGAGTACTGTGATATCGTTACTACAACGACGTGAGCTTTCTGTTCACAACTGAGACTCTTTTCACGCTGACATATCTCAGCCACAAGACCCTCCGTGGCCCTCGCGCTGGCCTAATCTTTTTCAAGAGAGACGGACCCAATAGCCAGGATCTTGAGAAGCGCGTTAACGACGCTGTTTTCCCTGCCTGTCAAGGTGGTCCCCACAATAATGTTGGTACTCTAATCTCTCGGCTATGAAACACAAGCTGATAACAAAATTATACCAGACTATTGCCGCTGTCGCTACTGCCCTTCTGCAGGTATCCCAGCCGGCATTCAAGACCTACGCAAGGCAGGTTATTGCCAATGCGCAGACACTTGCAGCTGCCCTTCATCAGCACGGCTACAAACTCCAGACTGGCGGTACTGATAACCACCTTGTTTTGTGGGACCTCCGCCCCCTTGGTTTGACTGGCAGTAAAGTTGAGAAGGTGTGCGACCTGTTGGGGATCACAATCAACAGTTAGATCTGTCTCCTGTATCAAATTGCAAGATACTAATTTTGGTATCCTGCAACAGAAAACGCAGTTTCTGGCGATGCATCTGCCCAGACTCCTGGTGGTATCCGTCTCGGCACATCGGCGCTCACGTCCCGTAACATGACCGAGGAAGACATTAAAATTGTCGCTGACTTCTTGCACCGGGCTGTGCAGCTCTCGCTCTTCCTTCAAAAAGAGGCTGGCTCCAAACTTCTCAAGGACTTCATTCGCGCTGCAACGACGAAGGGCTCGGCAGGTGCGGCACAGGTGAATGATCTCCGCAGAGATGTCGCCACATTTGCACGGAAATGGCCGCTCCCTGGCGCAGATGTCAGCACGCTCAAGCGTCCGGCAGGTATTGAGGAGGACTTTTAGGTATTGACGCGTGGAGTGTGCTCGAGTTTATTAGATGTTAAAAAGATTCAACGGTCCCTTATTGCATAGGGTGGGCATTCAACATCGTTCACATCAGGGTGGGCATTCAACATAGTCTACAACTGACATTGTATCAATAGCTGCTGCATATTATGATTAATGTATTCGCAGTTAAACAGTCGCCGATGGCTTGCCTCTAATTCACGTGGCTCCTGTCGAGCGAGAGACATGACTTCATGCGGACACCCAAAAGAGACACCGGCAAGGGCCGGTGGAGTCGGGAACTGGGCCCTGGCGCGTCAGCGGCGCTACGATTACATAATGATAAAACCGCCAACTTGCCGCCAACACTCGGGAGCTCCATGGATATTCGAATTGATGCTCATGTCTCCACAATTATTTCCTTGCCCTTCAAAGGTGTGCTACCGTTATATTCTGCGCGGACACTCGATTGCGATAACGAGGGACATCTCGAGCCAAACGGTGGTGAACACCCAGTTTCCTTGTTGTGTGGTCCATCCATATCCTCAAACCGCAAGCATTCGACACGTCATTTTGGACACGACATGATGATTTAATCGACTATCAAAGACAGGCGATGCAGTGAATCAACCGCTGGACGGCTGGTACTCTATATCTAAATGGACCCTTCAAAGAATCGAACTGAAGAACGCAATAAACAATTAGATCTGTTGGCCCTACCGCTCCATCAGCACACGTCTGCTCAGACTGCATAACCGTTATAACCCATACCCGGGTTGTGCGAGAGAGCAACATCTTGCATGACTGTGATATCAGTGCGACGACCATCGGATCAATAGCACCATGCCATAGAGTAGGAGAATCACACAAAATTGAACTCCAAAGTGAAGTACATGGATTCGTCCAAAGGTAGCCCACGTTCCACCAGGCTCTTCAATTCCTCAATTCATTCACTTCAACAACCCACTGTTGTATTCATCGACAAGCCCATATGAAGCGGTGCAGGCTGGGATGCCAAGGTTGTAAGGGTTATTCGATGGCTCACATTTCGAGTTGAGTCCCGCTTCCGCGAAACAGATATCACTGGGACCAGCTGTAAGTGTCCAACTCTAATATTTCCAAAAAAAAATCGGTGAGTGTGCATGCACCGCTGGGAGAGACAGTTACTTACGGCCGATGCACTATATGAGCAGCCATTGAACGTTCCCGGATTTGCAACAGAAGGGTAATAGCACGTGATAGTATCGCCTGAGCACGTCCAGTAGTTAAGACACGCATCTCCTTGCTGAATACTGATGTTTTCATAATCGCAATTAGGACAGGCCTCGCATTCTGCGCTAACTCCCGTGCCGAGCGCAAGGAGCAAGGAAACAGCGGCCAGTACAAAACGAACCATGGTCGCACTGGAGTGTTAAATGTTAGATCTAGCAGCAATGGGATCGCACAACGAAAACGTACGGGGTGTAGTTGTTTGAAACTTGTACAAACTGCTCAGCAACTGCTGGAAGGCCGCTCTTATATGCAAGTTGCTTCAGGCACGATTGGGAATGTAGTGGGATTCCATAAATTTCCGGGTCGTGTTTGGTGTCATATGATCCGTGGTGTGGGTCTGTGCGAATGACATTAGTGTGATTACTTCCAGAGCGATACCCATACTTGCTCTTACTTGCTCACCTTATGGTAGTACCCACACAAGTTTTATCACACCGTTTTACAGGCATTTCCAATGTCCACACAGCAAATCTATAGAAATTACACAAACGGACAAGACCAGCCCACCGGTGGCCGCCAACTTGAACACGGACGATAATTTAGAAACACTCACATGTACCAGTAAACGGAGTCGGAAACTGGGCCCTGGCCCCTGGCGCGTCAGCGGCGCTACGATTACATAATAATATAGCCGCCAACTTGCCGCCAACACTCGGGGAGCTCAATGGATATTCGAATTGATGCTCATGTCTCCACGATTATTTCCTTGCCCTTCAAAGGCCTTGTGTGCTACCGTTATATTCTGCGCGGACAACTCATGACACTCGATTGCGATAACGAGGTACATCTCGAGCAATTTAACGGTGGCACGGTGGTGAACACCCAGTTTCCTTGTTGTGTGGTCCATCCATATCCTCAAACTGCAAGCATTCGACATGTCATTTTGGACACGACATGATGATGTAATCGACTACCAAAGACCGCGATGGAAAAGGCGATGCAGTGAATCAGCCGCTGGACGACTAATACTGTTCAACATCAGATACGATCATGACTGTGCTGGAAGACCATACTGTTAATGTGTGTTATCTAGAAGGCTCTCCGTAACACAGAAATGACAGTTATGGACCGTGATGGCAACCAGTCGAATGCCGACTCAAGGCGGGACAGTAACAGGGGGGCTGGTACTCTATATCCAGATGGATCCTTAAATAAATCGAACCGAAGAACGGAACAAACAATTAGACCTTTTGGCCCTACTGCTCCATCAGTACACGTCTTGTCGGACCGCTTAACCGCTATAAACACATACCCAGGTTGTGCGAGAGAGCAACATTTTGGATGGCTGATACTAGTCCGACGATCATCGGATCAATATCTAGGAGAATTACACAAAATTGAACTCCAAAGTGAAGTAAGTACATGGATTCGTTCAAAGGTAACCCACGCTCCACCAGGCTCTTTAATTCCTCAAATCATTCACTTTAACAACCCACTGTTGTTTTCATCGACAAGTCCATATGAAGCAGTGCAGCCTGGGATGCCAAGGTTGTAAGGGTCATTCCCAGGTTCACATTTCGAGTTGATTCCCGCATACGGGAAACAGATCTCGCTGGGACCAGATATGAGTGCCCAATCCTGGCATTCCCGGAAAATCAGTGAGTGTGCATGTACTGCTGCGAAAGACAGTTGCTTACATTGGCTGGACCATATGCGCAGGCATTATACGTTCCTGGATTTGCGACTGAGGGGTAATAGCAAGTGATAGTATCGCCTGAGCACGTCCAGTAGTTAAGACATGCATCTCCTTGCTGGATACTGATGTTTTCGTAATCGCAATTAGGACAGGCCTCGCATTCTGCGCTAACTCCCGTGCCGAGCGCAAGGAGCAAGGAAACAGCAGCCAGTACAAAACGAACCATGGTTGCACTGAATTGTTAACTGTCAGATCTAGCAGCAAGGGGATCGCGCAACGATAACGTACACGGTGTAGTTGTTTGAAATTTGTTTGAACTGCCCAACAACTCTTTGGCTGGACAGTCGCTCTTATACGCAAGTTGCTCTAGGCACGATTGGGAATGTAGTGGGATTCCATAAATTTCCGGGTCGCGTTTGGTGTCATATGATCCGTGGTGTGGGTCTGTGCGAATGATATCAGTGTGATTACTTCCAGAGCGATGCCCATACTTGCTCTTACTTGCTCACCCCATGGTTGTACCCACAAAGTTTTATCACACTGTTTTACAGGCATTTCTAATGTACACGAAGCAGATATCTAGCAATTACACAATCAGCCCACCGGTGGCCGCCAACTTGAACACGGAAGATAATCTGGAAACACTCGCATGTACCAGCAACGAACAATGAACAACAGTTATAATAAAATCAATCAAAAATCGCAGTTCGTGCATTTGTCGTAAGGTAGATGTAGCCCGTGCTGCACTAGGCTCTAACTACTTTATAATAGCTGACTGTTGGTTTCATTAACAAACCCATATGAAGCGGTGCACCCGTAGCCAATGTTGTAAGGGTTATTGGCAGGTTCACAATGCGCGTTGTCTCCCCCTCCCTCTTCACAGATACCGCTGGGGCCAGCTATAAGTCCCCCATTCTAGCATGTTCGAAAAATCGGTGAGTATGCATGCACTGCTGCGAAAGCTAGTTACTTACGTCCGATGCATTGTACGTGCAGACATTGTACGTTCCCGGATTTGCAACAGAGGGGTAATAGCAGTCGTAAGTAGTGCCTGAGCACGTCCAGTAGCTAAGGCATGCATCCCCTTGCTCAATACTGATCTGCTCATAATCGCAATTAGGACAGGCCTGGCATCTTGCACTGACCCCCGTGCCGAGTGCAAGAAGCAAGGAAAGGACCAGCGCGAAATGGATCATGGTTGCACTGGAGTGTTAATTGTTAGATATAGCTGCAAGGGGATCGCGCAAGAAAACGTACACGATGTAGTTGTTTTGTTTGCGTAGCAAATCTTTGGCTGGATAGTCGCTCTTATATGCAAGTTGCTTGAAGCATAATTGGGGATGCGGCGAAATCCCATAAATTTCGCATATGGTGTCATATGATCCGTGGTGTGTGGGTCTGTTCGAATGACACTAGTGTGATTAGCTCACCCACAAAACACCATTTCATATGCATTTCAGATATCAGCAACTACACAACCCACACGAGTACTAGCGGCGGCTGCCAACTTGGATGATGGCATCCACAAATTTGTCACGGTTTCACATGCATTTCTAGTGTCCACATAGCATATATCTAGCAACAAGACCAACCCGCTTGTGGTGACTAACTTAAACACGGAATATAATTTAGAAACACTCACATGTACTAGTATTTGCGAATCAAGTCACCAGAACAGTCGTTTGCTCACAAACTGTGACTAATTCTTCTTTTCCAGGAAGCGGGAAGTAAATGACATTCTGCTCGCCCTCGTCAAGTGAACGGTCCTTGAACTCCAAGTTGGAGTCTCGATGATCTCAGAAAGTGCGAGATTTAGCCGGTCTGCGCGAGGTCTATGCAAACTGGATGCAGATTTGTGTCCTGTCAGTGGGTTGTTCGGATTCAGAAAGTGCCGGGAAGTCTGTTGAGGCCGCCGCACCATGCCACTATTGCACCCCACCTGCTTGCCTGTCTGTTTACTACTTCCTCCGTGTTTGCCTATTTCCTACTCATACATTTCTAATCGAGTCCCGCTTCCGAGGAACAGATCTTGCTGAGACCAGGTGTGAGCCCAATCCTGTCATTTCCGAAAAACCGGTGAGTGTGCATGCACTGATGGGAGAGACGGTTACTCACGACCGATGCACTGTATGAGTCGCCGTTCCACGTTCCTGGATTTGCAACAAAAGACTAATTGTACGCGGTAGTATCGCCTGAGTAGGTCCAGCAGCTAAAACATGCATTTCCTTGCTCAAAAGGGAAGGGAACTTGAAGGTACAGAAGGTACCCACCCATTGTTTACTTGCCGGAGGGAGCAGTGGATTTGGGCATCCAGTGGGCTTAGCGACTGGCTCGAACAAGTGAAGTCCAAGTCAAAGCATCCAGCAGAGCATCACGAGGCAGACTACGTTCTTAACACCAGAAACAGTCACCCGTCTCCTAGGATAAGAGTCTGTTAGCTAGGACAAGAGGAACGCTAGGATGGCGGGGATGACCTACTAATTGTATATACCTAGTAGGAGTACAGGATCTGTCGCACGACTGCAACCGCGGAACAACGACCGGCCAGCTGCGTCCAGTGACCATGACCCACCGGCAGGGTATTCAAATAATAGTTGGTCTCGCACAACGAGACCATGGAATCCTTTTCTGTCGGTTCCGAACCGAAAAGGGAATTTGGCAGAAATACTAGTACATAGCGCTAATTATAGGCGTGGTATGTAGCCAATAACTCTTCACGGTTTCCCAAACGATAGACCCGTCGCATCTGGCCACATACTCAGCAGAAATGATCGATAATTGCTCACGCCGTCATATCTCGTTCTTATTCCAGTTGCGAACAGGCCAACGCTGTCCCTCTGAAGAGACGCCTCCACTGGATTTCAAAATCTCCAATACAACTCCCGACAAAACTTGAACAGTTTCACCAAAGCCCTGTTAAAGTATATAGCGCACACCAATAGACCGGACTAGTCATTTGGAGATCATGTAACGTCGCACGAACCGAGAGAGGAATAAGTTACCTAACTCATCTGTCATTCTTTACCATTCGCCTTCAGTTGGTGTCTCCGTTCTCGCACTCTTGCTAGAACCATTAGAGCAGTCGCCCACCACCGCATACAAAGCAGAAATATTAATAGACACGGTGCATACTATAGGGTCCCGCCCCAACGGGCAGCAAACAATCAAATCGTATTTCGTGCACTTGTGATGTGATGAGGTGGAGGTAGCGCGTGCTGCACCAGGCTCTTTGACTCCTCAGTTCATTTACTTTATAATAGCTGACCGTTGGTTCCGTTGATAAGCCCATATGAAGCGGTGCAGCCTGGGATGGCAAGATTGTAAGGGTTATTTGGTGCCTCACATTTCGCGTTGGCTCCCACTCCCGTGAAACAGATCTCACTGGGGCCAGCTGCGAGTGCCCAGCCCTGGCATTTCCGAAAAATTGGTGAGTGTGTATGCACTGCTGCGAGAGACGTTACTTACGGTCGACGCACTATACGAGCAGTTATTCCAGGTTCCCGGATTTGCAACAGAAGGGTAAGTGCACGTGATGGTGTCGCCTGAGCACGTCCAGAAGTTGATACATGCATCTCCTTGCTCAATACTAACCCGCTCATAATCGCAATTAGGACAGGCCACGCATTCTGCACTAATTCCTGCGCTGAGCGCAAGGAGCGAGGAAATGGCCAATATAAAACGAACGATGGTTGCACTGGCGTATTAACCGTTAGATCTATCAGCAAGGGGATTGGGCAACGAAAACGTACATTGCGTATTCAGTTCAATCGCGTAGCAACTATTTGGCAGGACAATCGCTCTTATGCGAGTTGCTTCAGGTACGATTGGGGATGCAGTGAGATCCCATAAATCTCGCATTTGATGTCATATGACTCATGGTGTGTGTTCGAATGTCATTATTGTGATTACTTCTAGGGCAATGCCTATTACCCATGCTTGCTCACTCACATAGATCACACCGTTTCACATGCATTTTCGATGTCCATATATCAGGTATCCAGTAACTAAACAACCGACAAGATCAGCCAACCGGTGGCCGCCAATTTGAAAAATGGCACCCACAAAGTTTTGCCACATCGTTTCACATGCATTTCCAGTGTCCACACAGCAGATATCCAGCAGCCACACAACCGCCAGGACCCGCTCATGGGTGGTGGTTAATCTGAACGTGGAATATAATTTAGAAACACTCACATGTACTAGTAGTTGCGAGTCAAGTTACCGGAACAGTCGTTTGTTTACAAGTGTCATCACATTGTGAATACGTCTTCTTTTCCAGGAAGAGAGAAGTAAACGTCGTCCTGCTCGCCTTCGTCAAATGAGCAGTTCCTGGACTACAAGTTAAAGTCTAGAATTTCGATGATATCAGGAGGTGCCAGATTTGGCCGGTCCGCGTGAGGTCTATGGAGTCTGGGTTGCTCGGATTCAGAAAGTGCCGGGAAGTCAAGGCCGCCGTACGAGGTCGATTTTGCATCTCGCCAGCCTGACATCAAGGTCATTACCTCCATCTCTGCGAGGCTACCACTTCCTCCGTGTTCGCCTATTTCCTACTCACCTCCCAACATCATGTCGTTGTCTGCAGCTGTCAGTTTGTGACTGCCATGTCCTCCCTCTAAGGGATCATAACCGTGGCGGCCAGCTAACCAAGATGGTGAGATTGGCATGACGATGGTCGATATAGATGACAAAATGGGCGATGGTGGGTGGTGTAGAAGGCAGGGTGGTTGCGATGATACCAAACAGAGAGACCTTTGACCGCCCGTAACTTTAGACATGTTTCCTCAGACATTGCACAGACGTGTATCAAGACTTTGGCGTGGAGTCTGCGCAGACCTGTGAAAGCTTCATACCGTAAGACTGGCCATTTCCTGCACGCCCTCGTGAGGAGTGTTTCGATCTACCCATAGTTCCTGTACCGGTACAGGTCTCTTGGAAAATTTCTGTCGGATCTTCACGGCTCCACTCGGTCCGATAGCCGTGTCCTTTTTTGGTATTACATATATTTGTCAGCATGACGGCGGAAGACTTCTTGCCCTCCTCAGGCTGTCTCTGTCGTTGTCTTCGTCCTCATGGCTTCCGGTTCGTCTCTAGTCAGTAATGAAACTCTGCTTCTTCCCCCACCCGTGTCTCTCGTGATCATGTGTCTTGATGTAATTAATATCCTGCTGGTTCACTACTCGCTGTGGTCGCGCAAAATTTGCGTGTGATGGTCGAGAATTTTGCGACATTTACTCGAGATCAATATGCTGAGATTGCATGCGCTCATTCCATTTACGTGTCGTCAGCAGATCGTAAAGACCATGTTCGTGATTTGCTCCGCGTGCATTGTTCCAGCAGCAGCTTTCTTGACGGACACTGCATGATGTCTGCATCACCCAAGTCAGGCTTGACTTTGGGCCTCCTGGCAGCCTTCTTGACCTTGGCAACAAGCAGTTTCGCAGCCAGAAGTTTGCTGGGCGAAGGCGGCGGATAATCGGCATCCTTCCCGCGCCCCGATTGAGTGGAACTCATACTCCGACAGAGCGTGCTGAAGTTGCGATTTCTGAACCGTTGGCCACCGAAGTGACCAACAGAGGTGAACAACAAAGCGACAAATTCGGCGAAAAACGCCTCGCCAACGCAACTGTGAATTCCTTTAATATTGCAAACCCTGATGTAGGAGGTTTGGCGGAGTTTAGGTCGGGTTCAGCCAAGGAGAGAGTCATAGAGCCATCGGACGCAGTAGCATAGGCAAGCCTTCGTTGTCATAGTCTTCGGGCATAGCCCACTTCACTGAGTTGAGCAAATTTTGTGATGCATTACTAGGGTTTGCCAATTTTCACCGTCGCTGCGCAGGGCCACTCGGGTTCAAATGATTGAGCGACAAGTGAGAGTTCGGGGGTCTGAACGAACGTTCTGTGGTGACGAATTCGAAAAAGATGCCTAGGTCTGCCGGCAGGATATAATACGATAGTCCTAATCAATTAAACGCACTCCTGCAGGTTCTACCGGAATTCTACCATCTGACAGCAATAACGATTCTGCCAAATTGATCAGAATCGCGTTCATACATATATCCAGGCAGGATATAAAAGCTGGTCGTCCTCCTATAGTGTTCCCCACTCTCAGAAGACCTCATACTAGCTCTCACAGAAAATGCGTTTCTCCTTCCTTGCCCTTGTTTGTGCTTTGACAGCATCTATGGCTGTCAGTACCCAGGCCGATACAAATGCCAAGTGTAGTGAAAAGAATGAATATTGCGACCTAACACAGCATTGCTGCCAGGGCTATTCTTGCATAATTGCATTTGATGTGAGTCACTGAGCAACCAGGATTCAACCACATGGCTCACCTGTGCTCTTAGAGCAAAGGAGCCCAACTCCAATATTGCAATGTGACTTGGCACCATCCACCACCAAGGGGGTGGTGGCTGTAATTAAGCCGGAAGCCTGAGCAGCACATCACGATAGTGAGCTATGTTTCTGCTCTCGGTTTGATATCATGGTTGATGGTACAATGCCTAGTGTCGAGTCAATCAGTATGGTTGATTTTAGACAAATTTTGATACTGCTCGAGCAATGTGAATGTTTTAACATATCTGCAAAGGATTGATCGGGCTTAGTCTTGTTCATGGTCCACTAAGCTTGAGTTCGAGGGCTTGCTGACTCGGTATGATGGCTGCACATTGAAATCCGATTCAGTCCAAAGTCTTGCAATTGTGGCCGCTCAGCACTACTTGAATTTTGCTCACCAGCCCAGTGATTGTAACGTGCTCCACTTTGGAAGCCGCCGAGTCTTTGAAGTTCTAACCCCGGTGTCTCTGGCACTGGCAAACAACGACGGCTTCGCAAAGTCTTCTCGATAGTTTGTACTGTGAAACATCGTTGTCTCTTGCGTCCCTGTAACTTGATAAAGATGTAATGATGTAGATAACCGTTGTCGGAGACTTTGAAATGGTGCAAAGATCTCAGATGTTGACTCAGCTGTGACCTAGTACTGTGTTATCTGTGATATTTGTGCATACTGTGCGGTCTGTGGTTGTCTGTGGAAGTTGTCTGTTCAGAAAAGTTAGAACACGAATTTTAGACGTCTGTGGGAAAAATTGTAGTTTACTGATGTATTCCGAGTCTCTGATTCCAGGACTCTTGATACGCTATGCGTCATAATTAACTAGCCACTGGTAATTGTTGACCAAAGCTCTCTAGCATGTTGCTTGCCACAGTTCTCAACTCCTTCACCTGCTCTGACCTCTGCATCTCTTCCACATATTCGAGGACAAAATCCAATCTTCCAACAAGCTGCTCGAGATCAGATTTCGAAGCATTCTGCATATACTTCTTTGTGCCATCCACAAGAACAAGGATCTCGAAATAGCGTGTGTTGCCAAAATCATAGGGAGAATTCTTCCACGCGTATCTCATCACGTCCCACCACTGCTGCTCTGTAACAGAATCAAGCGATGTATCCGATGCCTGTTCAGGTGTGATTTGGAGGAGGATACCAGCTATGTAAAAGGCATGCTGGTTGGGGTATTCGGATTGGCAGTACTCTGGAATCATGCTAATGCACCGATCTATATGGTGATCCCCAGACAAATGGGGGTGCCATTTGGAATTCTTCGCGAGGGCACAGACCAGTTCGAGATAGCACGAGTCGCGGTTATAATCGAAAAAGCGGTCGGAATTTTCATCGACCGGCGTTGTATCTGGGTGCGGACAAACTACGGACAGAATAGCGGGGGAGAGCTGGGTCAAAACCATGTCCTGTAGCCTTGCATCATCAACGGCATCAATCGAGACAATTTCTTCTCGGGCACTGCGAGCGGCGCGAAGAGCGGCATGACGTAAATGTCGAGGCATGTTATTGTCCATGTAGGCAATGAGCCTCTCGATGAACATATGTTGTTTAGCGGGGCTCCAACGCACCCTCATGCCGCCCAGTAGCAAGAGTATGTCATATGCCGCTTCCTGATCATCGGAATGGATGGAGTTGAAGTAGTCCGCCGCCCAGTCAAAGTTTTCTGCTGAGTGGGATTCGCCTTGCAAAAAAAAGTTGGCATACCACAAGCTGTCATGGTCACGGGATATGGCGGCAGCAGCGAACGTAAAGTGAAGTGCGTTTTGCAGCGCTGCTAACAAAACTGAGGCATCGTTTTGTTCGGATGACCTTGCTCGTGAATATATCTTCCTGCACACATCCAGGTTCCGCATGACATGGATTGAAGGAATGAAGTAACCTCGAGCAAGCTCAAGGATGCGACAGATAATGTCGAGGAGGTTCCATGCCCGGCGTGCGACTCCTGTATCATCTTTGTCGAGCCCGCCTCCGTCGCATGCCCAGAGAGCCTTTTGAAACTGCGCCAAAAGGGACTCTTTGAGTCGAGGCAGAGCAGAACTACACGATCTCTTTGTTAATCATGACAGAAAAACTACCAAATGAGTCGATGACACCTTTTATCAATCCGAACTATGTCTTTCTTGTCGACCTGAGCCCCGACCATGACGCAAGCAAGAAGAGTGCAATTGGCTACAATTTGATTTGACGGAGAGGATAGCAATTTTGATATCACCGTTGTCGCAAAGTTTTCCGTGTCTTTATTCACTCGCCCAGCAACAAAGTGGTAAGGAAGAGAATGCGACAACCACTGCAAGACAGAGTCGGAATAAGCATCTACTGAGAAAAAAGGATGGGGATCTTCTGAACAAAGATCAATGGTCGTGTCAAGCATCGTCAGGTCGGCTGGACGAATCCTGTCCAAAATTAGCCACATATCAAGAAACGTGCCATAGTCTCTTCTCTCGCGACCAAGAAATTCTCCACGGCCAGGATATACCTGAAGAACACGTCCATAGTATAGATGGCTTAGAGCCATTGCACATGCCCAGGCTTTCTCCTCCAACGACGGTACAATGTGTTCCTGGATGTCGACGCAACTTGTAAAAATATCATACAGCTGAGGCAGCATGTCCGAGGTGTCAATATCCAGGGGCCATTCGACCTGCGGAACAAACTTGGCAGTGGCAAGAAACACTTCAGGGTCCGTAGATGTCTCCAGTAGCCACTTGATGCTAGGCGCTTCGAGATCGCTGGTGGATATGTCCGGGAGGCCGAGAGTAAGGGTGCCATCATTTTCCTCCAAATCATCTAGATCCTGGTCGAGCGATGGTGCTTCTGAGTCCACAACCTTTACCGAAGAGTGCGGAAGCAAAGAACGCAGCCCTTTGTGAAGGATAGCAAATAACATCCAAAAAGAGCGTCGTGCGAATGCGCCAGTACCACGCATAGGGCCTGTGAAGTGAAATGAGCACTGGATATCCTGTGTAAGAGTATATAAAAACGTCACCTGCAAGTACTTCAGATAATCGGGTCCATCTCGATCTGACGACACCAAGCAATTGTTGCAGCACACCTGACAAGAACGGTCAAAATATGAGCATATCTAAGAAAATATGGCTCACTATGTAGCTGCTGGAAATAACTGGAGGCTCGTTTGAACACTGGGCGTAGAACCCCTGCAATGTTGATTCAGACGGGGAATAACAGACAGAATTCAGCAAAATGATCTTACTGTTGATGCGCAACATATACAGCACCGTTGATACCTGGCGTCTGGAATGGACAAGCCGGAGATATCAAAGATGCCATCACTGTCAGCGAATAGAACAGAAATCCGAAAATCGTTGTGGCAATTATCACCCAGGCGACGCTGGGCTGCTCGCTCCATATGTGGGCTCCGAGGGCGATCCCAAAGAGAAGGAGGGAGATTTGAAGCAAGACGGGAAATGATTGCACGACAGCATCGAAATGCCATGTCATGAGGCCGTCGAACTTCTCTTGCCTGCGCTTGCTTCGTTCTTCCTCCGAGCCGCGACCATATCTGTGCGACTTGTAGTACCCGAGCCACTGCTTGCCCAGTACGGCCCCAAATGCAGCGAGCAAGCTCATGGACAAGCTTGCGTATGCGACAGTTTGAACCCACAGGGTCTGGGCGGTCGGCGACCACGTAGATGCTGGGTCTGCGGGAGTAGAGCCCACTTGAGCGAGGTTGCCGAGTCCGATCTGCACGAGTTTGCTTCAAAAGGGCATTCGTGGTGTCGCTGGGGTCGGGACTGAGATTGGACTCCATCGCGACGATAAAAGATGTGCTGACAGCAGAGAAAAGACCAGACTAATCAAACATCAGTCTCAAAATGGATCAAAGATAAGGATCCTAAACTTACGAAGATCAAGACGATGTCCATGTCAGTAGTATATCGCTCGAGGAACTCGTTGTCGTGTTCCTCTGCGACTCTTTTATACACCCCCCAGAAACGAGAACGGCTGTCCTTGCCACTCTTCGATGCAATCGTCGAGTCTTGGAGAACAACTAATACTTGCTTCATAATATTTGCTCTACGCATAGAATGTGGTCAGCTACGATTGCTCGCCATATCTTTTCGCTTACAATTCGTTCAGAGTCGGTTGACCCTTCTCCACCACACCCTTGTCCGCCTCGCTGAGACAATCTAGGAGCTTTTTTAAAATCTTCATTGATAGGAACTTACGGAACTAAATGATGGTCCGGTGCAACATTGGAAGTAATTTGCTGTACGTCAGGTTCTGATAGTTGAGGAAGCCCTGTGTTCCAGCTGCAGTCCTAGTAAGGAATGACGCAGATGTATCAGGGCAGGAACACTTGCTTCCCTGATAGCAGCTCCGCCGAAGGTTCGGCATTCATATTCTCCCTATCTTGTTGTTAGACTGGTGACAGATCAGAGGAAGCTGCAACTTACTCCTCGATGGGTCCTACGGTATCATTTTGGGGGGGAGGCTGTTCATCGTTGTGGGTGCGCTGATCCTCGACATCGTCGGTGCCCGATACTTGTGACATAAGGAAGTTATACCACTATATTAAATCCCAAGAAAAGCTAGTGAGAATGGGAAGAGTCTCGGATGAGCAGACAGAGCAGAGTGGTGGTACACAGCAAGTTGGTTAGGCGGCCACCAGCATGACGAACACCTGCTTGCGAGCGTTGACGCCGAGAATTTTCATGAGAGTGGACTGGGGCCAACTATAGTTTCCCATAATGTTTAGTACAGTCAGACCGAACCAAAGAAGAAAGGTGAATTGCATAAGACTATTACAACTGGCCATGCCGTGAGAAACCAACTAATGCCAGTCTGAATGATCCTGTTCCCAGGAGTGAAGAGTAATCCTGTTGCACACTCTTACAGCGCCGTCAGTGTGAATGGTTCGTCAATGCGCTGTAAGATGCTCTTCAAGTATTCTTCTCCTGATAACCCTTCTGCTTGTTTCTCGATTTTTCCATGTGCGACTGGACGCAGAGCTTCGAACTTGGTGGATACCGCGACCGCTGGAACTGAAGATTGACCATTTAGTCCGAGCACAATAAGTGACAATGAGGTTTCAAGCTTACTGTTCCTAGTGTCGCACTCAGAGAAGAACTTCTCCGACCGTTGGAATGTTCGACTCTGGTCGTCCATTGGAATACAGTACCTGATGACAATTAGCAAGCACAGAACATCAGAAGAGAGTTACTGACCAGATAGTGTGGAGTTGCTTCTCCATTTTCAGGGCCCACTTCGAAGCCGCGCGAATCGTGAAAGGCGAAAACAGGATTGCTTTTGAAAACCATCTCGTTTGTAATGTCATGATTTCCACGCTGAGCTTCCGTCAGTGCATCTTGCTCACAGTGAAAATGGTGTACATACCTTGATCGACGATTCCACGACGGCAGTGTCAATCTACCCACAATTGATCAGCGATAAACGCCTGCATGGTATAGATCATATTTCGTACCTTCTTTCCTTTGATATGGTAAATTTCTGGTTTATTAGTGTTGCAGATCTTGTGAAGGATAGCTGTTTTGCCTGCGTTTGCTCTCCCTATGATCAGAACTCGAAGGCGCCCAATTCTTTCTCTGAGGTCCTGGGCATCAATGGTTGCCATTAATGTGCGTCCTGATTTGGTTTATCGTGAAAACTGTACTGTGGTACAGAACGAGACTGGCGAGATATCACATCAAACGAACACGAAGGGCTCCTACGGCCTACGACACAACAGCTACACACAGCGTCTATATCTTATCTATCTTCGTGCACCAGGCAACTGATTGTACCTTCGCACAGACACGAAGTTGCAGCGGTTCAATGGTTCGTACGATAAAGCACAAGGATTACACAACGAACGATGTCGAACAATGGAAACGTCGATAGAGATAAAAACGAGCTTGATCTTCCGAAGTTCTCCAGATGTCTGAGAGTGAACAAGAGCATGTCAGGATGTGAGACACCCTCAGGAATGGGCGACATCCCGTGGTACTGGACAGGGTCTGCATGTTTGGAATTACCCCCCGGAAGATGGCGCTTTTCGGTATGAACCAAGGAACGACGGAGCAGTAGGTGCCGTGCATGTTGACTGAACTCGAACGTCGACCATTTTCATTAGTACCGAAAGAAAGGTCGATGTAGCGGGCTGCGGGAGTTTGTGTACACATAGATAGCTTGGGGTAGGTTCGAAAAACGTTGACAGAAATAGCGTTGTACGCTGGCGCACATCCATGAAACTCGGTGATTATGTTGCACATTTCTCGCATTCCTTGTCTGAAGCTAAACGTGGAAGGTAGAGCTGGACAACGGCAGTGGTAATGTGATTCCTCCCAAGCGCAGGTGTAAATTGAAGTGGGATTTTGAGCCCTGTGACTGCTTCTGTGCTAAGCACAGTGTCTTTGCCATCTAGACTGACTGTTTGCATCAGCGAGACAAATGCGAGGGAGTGACGAAGATCAATACGCTTCACGTGGGTGTAAATATCTTCCATAAGGACACACCCCTCCACTGGCGCAGGAGCAGAAGTTCTGCCTCGTAGTTGGTAGTCCTGCGACGTATCGTAGTCGGTCCACGATAGATAGAGCCGCTACTTCCCGTTATAGAGCCTGGCCTTGTATTCCCCTTGCAGTCCTTCCCGTTACACCGCATCGAGGGGTGCGGGAACACCGGTCTCATCAGAGTGTGGTAGTAGTGGATCTGGGTACGGAGATCGTTGTGGAATCACATATTCATGAGGCAGACATCTATCGCTGTGTCTCCGGAGGCGTCGTAATCTACGAAATGGTTTTCCTGTAGGGATAAATTAAAATCATAAGTCATTGTAGTACAAAGCACAGGTACAGCAAGACGAACCTCTGCCAGGATCGCGATCCTGTTCATCCTGCTGAACAGGTTGTGAGTCCCCATACAGAGTCAGGGCCACTGCATCTTTGTAAGGTATCGAGTTAGTTTGCCGAACTACGTTCCATTCAGAACGGGTGAGTCTTCGGAGCACCGTCGTCGCAGAATCATCCAACGGGCCTGCAGCAAGCCTTTTAGTAAGAAGCTCAGACGGAGACCTACAAATATATGATGCGCTACTAGTCAGATAGCCCCAGGAAGCACGTTGCACGACAGAGCCAGCCACGCCAGCATATGTTCTTTTCTCCTTCAGAGAACAAGTTCCCTCCGTATCGGGACCTCGAAACTCTGCATGCAGTCTCCGCGTTCCATGGTGGTTAGTGCAGCTAGTTCTTGCATGATCTCTCGCAGTCGACTGTCGCAGTGATATTAATTGGTGTCATCCGTAAAGGGGTGTGGAATCTTGAGCACGGTGTGTTAACGGAAGTATGTTTTGCAGACACGAGATGCAGACATACTAATGCAGGTCACAAATCAGATTTTTGCAACATGCAATATGCTTGCATTTCGTGTGTTTGTTGATCAAACAGAAGAAATTGTGATAAACACGAAAACGACTTTGACGAAACGGAACATCGAGTCACATGACAGGGAGGTAAAATCATGTGTGCGTAGCAAATCGTTATTTATTTGGGGAAATTCGAAATACGACGACGTGGTCCGAGCCCCTTCATCAATGCTACTCCTTCCCCCCAGTTGCACATTCGTCACTCGATATTTATTCGTACCTTTGGCGTTATAGTTTGCGAGCTTTGCTTTGATTCCTAACATGCAATTAAGATCATCAGCGGTTCCAGATATACCTTCGGATGATCGTTCATCAGCCCACCAACCATGATGCATGATGGATGAGTTTCCAGTCATCCTGGAGAACTCTGGAGCATGATTCAAACTCCAAGTCGCTAAGCCATGAACGTAGTCTCAGAAGGCAAATCCTTCACCGGAGATCGAACTAAAATGGACGGGATCAGAATCTTGTTTTCATAAGTATACAACTCTTGAGAACTCCTCCCCTGCTCCGGCAAGTAACCAAGTAGTCTGTATTACATCGTTGATGTAGCAGATACAGTAATCTGAACCGCAGGGGGCCACACAAAGCTGGTGCCCGATTTCGTATCATGGGTACGTGATGATTTCTACGAAAGAAACTAGATCAGCACTGTTGATGTGGCCTACAAGCTCAGGTATTCGCTCAAAGTTATTCATTCCCTCCGTCGATACGTATTCAACCGATGACACAGTTATCCGGCATATCTGGCATACCGTCAGCGCCCATGCTCAATCCGGGGGGGTAATGGGCCCATGACTTCCTCTGGAGGTGACCCGTGTTTTTGAAGCTGTGATTATGCCGGCGATGTCAATGCCATGTCGAGCGTAGTAGACTCAGACCTAACGCACCTCGCCCATGAGGTCGACGATTTTGATTCTCGTCTTGTCGTCATCGTCAGTGTAATCTTTCGATTCAAAAATTTGGAGGAGTTGCTTTATGCAGATGATCTGCGCATCGTAGCGCGACTTATCATCGGATGTTAATGTAATTGCATTGGCCTTGAGGTAGTCCGGGAACTGCAAATATGACAAAAGAAGAACATCAGAGACTTCACTATGCTGAGAAACAGGCTTACCTTGTCCGAGAGTTCTTTTAATGGCTCGTACAAGACATCCTTGCCCATAAGCTGGCCCATCATAGTTTCCAGAACACCCTGCATATCTTCTTCATCCTCAAGTCCAAATTGAGATAAAAGCGTCTCGAGAGGATCTGTGCTAGGAGCAGAACTGCTCGGATCCGAATACTTCAAACCCGACTCAGCTCTCCTTGAGTTTGTTCATGGTGTTCCGGATACGCGATTGGAAGTCGTCCTTTTCCCCAGTTTTGGGGGCAATAGGTGCTCCTTGTGCGAGCGATGGGTCGGTCGAGCCATTCATCCCTTCCGTCATCATAGCTTCCAAAGCCGCTGCGAGGGTGCGCTCCCGCTCTTCTCGTTGTTCCGAAGTCTCATCTTCATCGTTCAAACCTTCATTCACTTCCTGGTGTGCGATACCGCGCCAAAGAGCTTCCATGTCTTCAGCAAGCGATTTTGCAAAATCAGCTTCAAAGTCGGCATCTGACGAAGACGGCTTTTGTTTCGATGCCTGAGACGAGGTTGGTTCATTCACAGCAGGCGATGACGTTGATAGTCGGGATGAGCTGGACGCAGGGGCCTTGGATGGAGTAAACTGATCCAGGACATCTGCTAGCCTTTATAAGCGCATCTTGATAATGAAAGCATGGACGACTTCTGACCGTCGAGATCATCAACGTCGTCCTCATCATCAACACGTGGTTTGGTGCTGTTGGACATGACCGTGTTGCGCTTGTTTAAAGCTTCAGCGCTCAGCGGTTAGTACTAGTAGTAGTAGTAAGTACATGGTTACTGAATAAAAATTCATGTAGCTGAGCCATATCGAGATATTTATTTAGGTACCGCTGGCTTATGTGAGCGTAGATGGCAAAATCAACAAAGTATCAAGTCATAGAGCTTAACCGCGACCATCAACCATGCTGAACCCAAAATCCCTATAATTACTAGTATAAATCAGTGCTCATTCAAATCAAGAATTCTCCTCTAGTTCTGTGCACCGTCAATATGATCTTGTCCATTTCCCAACCTTTAGGGAATAGCACGGGTTACCCGCGGGTATATCAACAGGTTTTGAGTATTCTGAGGTGTAGTCCTTCAATCTGGCTCGAAAACAAAGAATAAATCATGCGAAACGGACCTTTCGAGTCACTTTCTACACTCACCAATAAAAGTCATCATCACGATATTGTTCTATCTGCTTCTATTAGGGTCCTGAACTGTCGTCGTCGATTGCACACTCATATCAAATCATCTCCCAGATCTCCGACCAACCCACTCACCTAGACCTACGTACATCATTGGCGCTATCCGCTTTACCCGCTCGAAAAAGACGACAGTGAACGTTATCGCCACCTATTTTCGTACGTCTCAATACCCTTCGCCGTGGCTGGCCAACAATAGGTCACGGTAGTACGAGGACCTTATCATATGTATTGTTCAGCTTCTTGTGTGCTCCAACTACTGATCGTCTTCTTCCTCTCCGCATATATCGCGACTTCTCTCTAGAGATCCGATGTTCAGCTTCTTGTGTGCCCCACACTGCTGATCTTTACTCTTCTTATATATCGCGACTTCTATCTGGAGTATCCGATGTTTGAATTACATTGTGGCTTGACATGCCGTCCACTACGATACTCAAGGCCAGGTTCTGGTACATTGGCAATTCAACCGGGGTTCGTGAATAACCCGAGACAGCGATATCGAACATCCTCCAGTGATAAGCAGCACTTGATGAATGAGAAGTACCTGCCGTCTTCTCGTCCAGAACAATAATGGTGAATTTTGTATGCTCGCTATGGAGACTGGAAAAGTTTGACTCCTCCATCCGTCGACTGGCACATCAGACGTATGTAATGAATAATGACTCTTGTAAACTCATGAGCTCCGAGCTGAACTCTGGACCGGCCTGGCAGAATATGTAAAAGCTATGGAAGAGGCGTTCTCCGTCGTCTGTCATGATAGCACGCCGAACTTCTTTCAACTGCAAATGTTCTCAGACGTGAAAATGAGTCGATCAGTACGTCCTTGTGTATCTTTGATCATTTACAATTCGTTTATGCGCGTAATTCTTGATCAAGCTCAAAAGCCATCATGTATGATGTGTCTGTCCATGTACAGTGGATATCGCCTTCGCGTTATGCTGCTGCGTTGTATTTGAGATTGATGCAATGATTAAATACATGTGTATTCCGAAGTAACTTAGATGAGTGTGACTATGACCGTAGACATATAATGCGATACATTAAATGGGGAGCTCGACCATGTACGAGAGACCCTTGGTAGTAGGAAAGAAAGATACAACACAGACCAGCCTCGCAACCCAACAGATGATCCCTTTATCACTGCAGATATGAACAATCCAAATCATGTGCGACATGCGCTTTTGAGACATCATGGTACGCGGCTGAACTCACGGCAACTACCGCGCCAGCCCAGGCCCATTGCTGAGCTCTTGTGCAACCTTTTGCACAAGCGTCATGCCTAAAGGCTTCAGCACATCCTCCCAAAGCTTTTGACGCCGCCTGCCTCCAAAGATGCTTGCACTTCGCTCGCCTGTTTCGCCCTCAGGGCCAAAAACGTACACCTTGCCATGAGAATTGTCCCATGGCCGCTCTCCGTGCGCGAATGTGATCCACCGTTCCTGTATCGCGTCTCGTACACGGGCATACATCAACTCGTCAACGACGGGTTGGGTCCACCCGCTGAAACTCGACTCTGAGCCGAAAGAGATGTTGTCGATATCCATGAGGTCAAGCTTGTCGAGGGTGCACGTCTTGTCAAGGATTTCGCTCATGTCAGCAGTGCTCGATCTTGACGATGGGAGTGATGGAAGCGGCTCGTCATCATCAAAAGCAGTAGGTGAGGACGAAGGTGATAATGGGAGTGGGATGTTGTCGAACAAGTATACCAAATCTGCTGCATGGTGGGGCATCCCCTGCGTAGGACCCTCCTGATCAAATATATACCGCCAGATCGGTCGACCACTCTTCTGCGCAGCTTGAACAACACACTCCGTGGGCCACGCTATGCGTGCATCCTCCACCATCTCAAGTAATCGCTCGGTAAGGTCTTCCGTAAAAATGTGCGAGCTTATTTCATAAGCATTAAGAAGAACAGAGGACTTGGTGATAGACTGGCAGATCGCACGAATTCGTCGCACGACAGCAGGAGCAGCCCAGTTGCGCGCAGGCTGAGACCAAAGAGAAGAGTCACATGCGCAGTCACCGATAAGGAGAGGCTGGAGACCAGGGGTGGATGCAGGGGGAGCGATAGGCACATGGTTGCTCATTGGGTGCGGGCTTTTTGCCTTGCGAATGGCAGACCGCAGCGTATTCAAACCTTTGTCAAGATGACCCCTGGAATGTTCTTCTGATTCTGAGTGTGGAAAGAGGAAATCTTTGAATCCCTTTCTGAAGAAGACGCCGTCATCGACAGCGCGAAAGGGAAGATTGATGTTGACAAGTGTCTCAGGATTTATAGCACGAAGTTGTGTGACGGAAGAGGCATGCAGTGGAGCCAATGCTTTAGACAGTTGCCATCCAGCTGAATGTGGTTCTGGAGGATTGTGCTCGATGATAGCGCTTTGAACAATTGCCCGAGAAAATAGAGGGCAAGTCAAGTTGGCATTGGAGTACAGGTGAGCGATGATGTCTGCTGCTCCCGAAGAATGTCCGAATAAGGTGACATTGGATGGGTCTCCGCCAAAATCTGCGATGAAACGGTTCACCCATTCCAGAGCACGACGTTGGTCGCGCAGGCCTGTAGGATACTGCATCAGTTAAAGTAATGCGAGGGTTCAAAATAGACTAACCATAGTTGCCCACACCTTCGTCGCCTGCTGCTCTGTTATCTTCTGCCAATTGCATGTTTGCGGCAACACCGAATACTCCTATGCGAAAGCTAACCATGAATGAATACCACTGCACTGATACACGCAAGGTGGAAGGGAACATACTTAATCGTGACCATTACGATTGGTAAAGCCAATACAAATGCTCTTTCTGACAAGAGCGCCACCATCATAGATCCAACTTGAGCCACAACCACGGTTGCTTCCGCTACTCGTATGAGCGTCTATTACAACCGAGAAGCACGAGACTAATCTCACCCATGGATCCAGACCATAACCGGAACTTGTGATGTACGGTGATGGCCAGCAGGACAGGTGATGTTCAAATTGAGACACTCGAACTCATCCTGTTTGAAGACTTGTCTTGGGATATCACAGTCGTCAAGACCAATGAGCTCTTCTTCAAAACTTTTCCGGTCAGGTTGTGGGCATATTGGGCTGAACGAGCACTTTAGCAGTTGAACAGGAACAACATGAAAAGGAGACATACCCGTGACGGGTTGCATCAACTAAGGGGGGGTACGAAGTGACGAGTTTCGATTGACGGAAGCGGGCTGGTACATTGGCATATTTGATTCCGCGGAATTGGTGTATGGGTACATCCGGGGTGGATATTGGATGATCGATGCCTTTGAAAGTAGTTCCTAGCACACTGTGATGTATGCTAACATGCGAACGATCGAGTATCATGGCAAATTAAAATCGGGAAGGGAAGGGAAACAAGGAGTTTTTGTGGTGTAGGGTAAGTGGAGAGAGGAGAGGTACGCTGCGGTCGGTCCAGGCATGTTGGCCTCCTTGTATACTGTCATCTGCTCCTAAATTGGGTCAATGCAGGTAAGAAATGTAGGCGTAGTGCTCAGATAGGCAAGTCTATCGATTGAAGCACGTGATGAGCGGCGTAAACCGGAATCAAATCAAATATAAATCCGACAAGTCCGGTCAAACCCTGAACGATTCAATTGTGCCGTTCTGATACGAAGAACTTACGCGGCAAGGTCACGGGGGTTACAGTATGACGTATAACTTTGGCGGTGCATTGTACAGAAGGGCCTGATCGGTTCGAACTGACCGGCACTACTGGCATTTATGATTATCCGAAGAAAGAAAGACGAGACCAGTAAGTCCAAGGCATTCTCAAAGAGTGTACCATCTGCAGCATCGGGTTCAGTAGCACTGTCAAACGTACCGAAACATAGTCGTCGTCAAAATCAGTGCATCTCACACTGACGCGATCATCATCATCAACAATGTAACCATGTAACGACGGCAAACAAACAAGTCTGACAAATTGTTAAGACTGTTCAATGACTGCCACAGGTGACCTGGTCAAATGAACTATAAGTACGTACAATCAAGGTAAAAAAGACACGACACTTACCTCAAAGTGCGTGCACGCGGTGCGGTAATTTCGACATCTGGCTTCAGTGCGCAGATAACTGGAGGATAAAGACAGTTCATATCATATCACGGTATCAGGAAGAGTTTATATCGTCTCGAGTTCATCGATGGAGACCATTGTTTTCTTTTGGTATCCAACTTCGGATCGATACGAACACGGATTCCCACGTTTGAATCAACCTGGGAGTTTGAAGATGTGCGGCCTCCCCAACGTGTGTTTGATTCATATCTTAGAATGTTCTCGAGTCTCGACAACTTTGGAACGGAAACACGCTTTCAACGATAAAGTACTCATAATTTTGTTTCGAAAGGCATCAGACATCCGAAGTTATTTCAATTCAAGGCTCTTATATCTTTACTTTCAGGAAGACATGTGATCAGGCTCCGAAAAGACACCCAGGGCATGATTTTGCCACTGCCTCTCTTCCCTGGCTATCACAGTTTACTACACCTCTAAGGTCGACGAGACCATGTATGCTGAATATATTAACATCGCTCTAGATCTCGTCGCATGAAATTTATGTCTTTGGATTACATACAGGTCAAGGAATTCAAGGAAATAAGGTATTAGTTTCCAAATTACGTGCTTCGCCCGACCAGCTGGCTGCCCCACTCGACTTCTCCGTGGTTATATAAGCCAAGAAGTTCGGGGGCAGAATCCAGGCCTAGTTCTGTCCAAATCAATGGCCGATCAGCGTAGGTTCCTGAAATGCTACCCATACAGGGTGGCTTGGGCGCAGAGGATCCCTGGGTGGCAAAAGGATTGTTGAGCCAGTGTTCAATGATACCTTCACATCGTGGATTTCATCAATGGATTCTATCTTCTGACCAATACAGCGCTGAATTCTAGCAAGGTAAAGCTCTCTGCACATGGATGGATTTCTGATCAAGCTTTTAAGTTTCGAGGCCCGCCGAATAGTGTTTTGGTTTTGCAGTCGGCGCACGACGTGCGTGGGAGCAAACACTTCGTAATCCCGTCTTTCTGTGACAGACACTACATTTTGTGAGACTTTACCAGTCGGGGCTGTCTGCGATGTGTACAGCCCTGCAGGTCATCATAGATCAGAAATTCCGCCAAAAGGCATAAGAACATGGACACAGTCATCCTGCGTCGGTCCTGACAATTTGCATCTGAAAACCCTTGTCTACGCAAGATATCTGATGGTGGCATTAGACTACTCCCCTCAGCTTAGTAGTGAGTTGAAATTTACTAGTATTGGGCACTGTTGTGTTTATCATCGTCCGGAAAGTCGTGGGGTCAGTATCGCATAGTATGGCCATCACCTGCACCATCTTCAGGCTCGTTTACAGAGGCTGGATGAGTCAATTATGGTGGGACGATGCATGGGCGGCACTTGCACTGATCGCAGATGGTAGAATTTTTCTTGTGGGCTGCCTTGGACAGTAAACTAATCCCATCCCTCAGTTCTTTCCCTGGCATGTATCTGGGTCGACAGAGTGATAAGTTGTGAGTGATACTTTAATTCGCATTTCATGAACAACATGTTAATACCAATTCCAAGCATGGACCCTCGCAGTCTCTCTTACTACTGTCCTGTGGTGCGCATCACAGCTCACTCTGTTACATTTCTCGCTGACTGTTTCAGGGCTGCGCGCATGAGCATCATTTTCTCGATCATCCCCGTCGCCAACCACTCAGAACACAAGATCCACGCGCAGATTACCTATCTCATCGCAGCATCCTTTGCGTGTATGTGGGCCGCAGCTGATCGTCCAGAAGATCATTGTCTGTGTATCCCACTCCTGCCACATGGGCGAGTCGGTGGCACTCTCGCTTTTGATCAGTCAGTACATATGCGCTCTCTTGGGGTGTTATGATTCTCAACCATGAGCATCACAGCGGACGTCATTGCGGACATTTCCCTCGTTGCTATTCCACTTTATCTCTTGAAAAATGTAGGACTTTCCCATAGCAAAAAATTGCTAGTCCAATCTGCATTTGGCTCATCGCTTCTAATTACCGCCATCACGATCACTCACTCTGTGCTCCTCATCTCCAACTTCTATAGCACAATTACGCTCATGTTCGCGCATCTCAAGGTAAGCATTCCCTTGTCCTTGCACTGCATTGCACGATGCGACCGACGTTAGGTCGCCCTCAGTCTCATCATCTGCAATGTCCTGGTGATCGTGACTTTTTTATATCGCGTATGCTCAAAGGACACATCCGACTTCAATCGGTCCAACGGAGTGTTTACGACTGTCATCATAACGCCAATGAGCAGTAGCATTAATGCCCTGGCGTCGCTTTCTTTACAGGAGGGGTCAAGCTCGGTACAAATGAAAGTGCAGATTGAAGCGATGAAATTGGAGGATGAAGACGCAAGTGTACGTTGCGCCGAAGAGGGCGTTGGTGTTGAGTAGCCAGAAACATTCAAAGATGGAAGCCCCGCGTGTATTATTTGTACTAAGGTATCGTATCTATGCCCCGTCGATGCTTTGTGATCTCATTACATGTAACTGACTGTAACTTCGGACTGTGTCCTCTTTATGTTCGCATTGTACTGGAGGTTGAGGATTGAATAATTGGGGATGGACCGTTACGTTTAATTAATACAACGATAGTGGTAGACGCCTTTTGGCTCATCCCATACCATGTCTTCAACTTCGATCTCGTCGCAATAAGCCCCCATGATAATATAGTGAGGGAAAGGTTAACGTCGTGGCTGGATCTTAGTGACTTGGGATTGGGATCCGAGTCAGCTCAGTTGCAGGCGCGATGATCAAAAAAGGAAACGACAATGACATCATGAGAATGACTAACTTGAACGGTCTGAACCAGTTCAACCATCTACTCATTGACCTACTTTCTAAATATAATGAACAATGACCAGTATACTCGTTCTTTTGAAGGAACACATTCAATTCGCAGCCCAGATATGCTCGAAGTTCAAGTCGCTTTGTTTTAGTTGCACTTGCCATCACGAGCCCACGCCGATGCTACTGTCATACTGAGGACGACATATCATTTGCGACTTGAACAAGAATATGACTGCTAAATTCGAGGTGCGTTATTATCAAGATACAAGAATGTAGTGGTTGACGAAAAGACAATCGACCCTTCAATGCATACGGTCACTAGGAATGTGGGGACTCGGTACTGAGATGCGAAGGACACTCAAAGTCTTGACAGCTTTGTAACAATGAGATTCTCTCTATGCGGATGGTTGATGCTTTGCCCAAGATAAACTATGAGACATCACAATAGCAAGGTGCGTTTGTTGTGGACCTGTGGTCTCTAAAGCTCTGTAGTTTAAATAGGGACGCGACAGTCGGACGAACGCTAGAATTCTTTCCTACTTCCAACTTCCATCTTCAACATCTCAACCTCCTTGAAGCTTGCGTTAAAATGCAACAGTTTAACTCAAACGCCGATTTATCAGCAGTGTCAGACATCATCGGTGCCATGGATTACATTGTAAGTACTCTGGTTCTAGAGGTGTTGTGTCTGAATACAATAATAAACACCCACTTTAGCAGTTAGATGATGTCTCAAGCCAAACAGGTGTTGGCTATCGCCACCGACAACTTGTCGAAGATGCCAGGGTTGTGCAGTCTAGCAATCCACATGGTGTATTTTCATCGGCTATTTGGCGCTTGCCCACGGAAATCCTCACTGAAATTTTCCTGTACTGCATGCCAGAATACGAAAGCCGTACGCCCTCGCAACATCTGGCCCCCGTGCTATTGACAAGAGTATGTAAACGATGGCGGGACATTGCTCTGGACATGCCGAATCTATGGTGCAGACTGCGATTGGAAGTCGGACCCAGTAACTGGCAACAGAGCGCTTTCTGCTATAACTTCTACCTCAAGCGATCGCGAGGACTTAAGCTGTCGTTGGCACTCGACTGTCATAACAATGGCTGGATGGAGCTACAAAGCCTGCTCCAGTGTGTTATGTCTTTCTCCGGTGCCGACTCCTTGGCGATAGCAGACTTTCACGGACTTTCGGAGCTGGTTATATACACGGGCGGTACTGTTCCTCTAAAACCTTTTATGCGCTCTATCGTGCAATTGCCGCCCAGCATGCGTAGTCTCAAGCTGGTGGACATGTGGTGTCACCTTGAGGTATTACCTGGCGTCGAATCTCTCGGATGGGCCAGTCTCACAAATCTTGAGATCGTGGTAAATGGCCTAGATTGCTTCGTCCACTTGCTCCAACTGTGTCCCAACCTATCGTCTTTGACGATGAATGCAATATTCACGACGATTGAGACCACGAAAGCATTCGTGCACCCCAGACTTCAATACTTGGGCATATCCGGGCATTCGTTTTTGAACTCGACCCTAGTAGATCTTGGGCTATTCAATGCCGTCACGCTCCCCAATTTACGCGGAATCGAAGTTCGGCATATGTGCCAATGGCCTCACGAAGAATTCAAGGCGTTTCTGACACGGTCACAGTGTCCTCTGGAGATCTTGATCTTTGGCGATGGAGTGATGGTCACGAATCAACAGTTGGCAGAATATGTTGAGCTTTTTCCTTCCCTTCACTTAGTGACAGATACTACGCGTTCTGGATATCTCTACACTTAACTTTGCTACTTATGTATATAGGTGATAACAGGATTACGCCAATATGTAGTATAGCCTATACAAGCATTCACGAAATAGATCCCATCTTCAGGAGCACTCCCTCCACCGAAAGTCACAACAGAGACGGGAAGATCTGAAGCGGCGTCTTGCGCTTATGCGAATCGTCCGAGATGTAACTAAATACTTGCACGATGTCACCAGCCTTGAATCCAAACAACCGGATGTATTATTCAACACGATTCAGGTGCACAACTTTGGGATTTTGTAGTTACACGATGTCACGTACGGGTATGTATGATGTATAATACTATGAAAGATAAGTACTGTGAAAATGCGATCGTCAAGGTACACATGAACACTACTCGGAGATTGTGGTGTTAAAAAAATCATTTACCTACAATATGTCTAGGGTCTTGATGTTTATGATGTCAATCGAAGCCGTGTCTTTGACCTGCGCGATGATATTACGATCCGAGGCAACCCTCTTGTATTCTCCAACGCGTTGCTGCGCGAGCAAAAGTGCGCTAAATGCCTGCCCAAGGTGAACCATCAAACGCAATGATCGCGAGTGAGCTTCCGAGTCGACCGACAATTCCTCTTCTCCAGGTAAACCGCTGGACGACTCCTCAGTGTCGTTAAATGCAGACTCGGACGCAGACCAATCCTCTACGTTTTGCACTTCGACTGCAAAGGTAAGCTGTTCTGCAAAGTCAGGCATCTCAAGGAGACGGCGATCCCATGGACGGACAAGAAAGAATGTCTGCTGAGTGGGCCTCGTACGCGAGAACTGGATTAGCGTCTCGTCTGTGGTGATCAGCAAGTCCCGAAGTCCATCTGCTTTGAGTCTATATGTGGAACGAGCAGCACGACCACGCCTCCATTTGATTTCCGTGACACGGAATGCGATGCAAGGCAGACGGAGTCTGCAGTTTGCGAAGAGGGGAGCATTCATGTTCACGAGCACGTCATACAGTTTTGAAGCTGAATCTACAGCCACAATATTTCGTAACGAAGAGACTGTTGTATGAATATCATCTTCAGACAACGATGGTAGGGCACATGGCGGAACCGCATATGAGATGATGTCGGCTGGAAGGCAACTATTGAACTCGGACGATTGCCCGACCCAGTCCAGGGCGGTTATGTCGCCTGATCTAGCCACGATCTCCTGCAGGAGCCGCCCGAGCGCATTTTGCTTCTTCTCACCATAGATGACAGGTAGGTGGACGCCAAAGATACCAAACAACGAGTATGCGATGTCTTCCTGGATGGTAGTGACACGTCTAGATGCCCATTGGAGTTTCTCTCGAGCGCCTCTCATCCCTGGACGGAAGGAGATCAGGGTCCGTGCATCTATGCCCGTCGCACCCTCCAACTCGTTCATGATTGCAGGGGACTCTTTGTGGTTGGGAGAGCGATCGTCAAGATATAATGACCAATCCTTCTGATAAAATATAACACGTTTCGAAGCGACGAATTCTTGAAAGGTCCATCCTCGCTCGTTCCAAACGCTCCTCGCCAATGCGCCGGACTGGGATGAAGGGGGCACATCGCACAGGTAGACGATAGTGAGCGCTGAATGGCGGTACCAGACGAACATGGAGTTGACCGATTCTTGAAGCTCGACGTTATTGCTCTTATCAATGCAGCATGTATCCATCCACGTCTAGCAATACCCCGCATCACGAGCGATTTTGCAGAATGACTGCAGTTTCGCAATGCCACCATCAAGTCCGTTCAACTCGTACACGACTTTTTCCTTGATGTCTTGCAACAGCACCTCCGTTTCTTCCCACCTGTGTGATAGCAGGACGCAACGGAAGTGTATCGCTACCACTTTAGCGATGCGTTCCGTTTCGAGATCTGAACGCTTCGTTATGAATGACAGAAGCTCCTTGTACTCTGGACTTATTCTGAAGAAGTTAAGCTGTGCTGCTCTGTCGCACAAAAGACCTGTAGAGGTGTTGAGAAGACGAAGAGGGGCATTGTTGAGTTCAATCCAAATTGCTTTTCGAATAGCATCTTCTACTTCGGATGGGGACACATACTGCTGACGCAGATCTGAGAACGAGATATGCATTTCGAGATTACGCAGGAGTGTTCAATGGCTTACCTCGTATCTGCGCTTCGGGAGCCTCATCCAACTTGGACAACATGGTTGTGAAAGCCTCGATGGCTTCGTCGTAACGTTGCATGCCACGCAACGCCACATGTGTCAACTGGTACCCAACGTGAGATGAAGGATTGAGTTCGGTGGCCTATGCATCGCCAAAGTCAACATGGACTACGAAATCATAGTACCATCGCACCTTCTGCGCATCGAGAAGTGCCTCCATCCACAGCCTCTTTCCCAGTTTTGCCTTACTACGATTTGCAAAGATGACATCGGATGAAGATGTCTGGTTAATCGCCACCGAGTATAAATCGATAGCCGTGTCATAATCGCTTGCAGCAAGGGCGGTATCTCCGCAGACAGTACAGAGTGTGCTGCATTCTTGCTTGAAATCTAAAAGGATTGCAGGTGAAGATTGTAGCCTGCGCGGCATTGCGGACTCTAGACTTACCACTGGACCAGTCAAGGTGATCGGCCTTTGATAAATCATCATTCGAAACTATGTATTGGTATGATTTCAGGGCATCTTGGAGTTTGCCTGCCCGAAGAAGTGCATCACACCGTTTCTGGTGTGCCTTTTGCCAAACGGACTTCAGGTCCCAGCCAAAGAGCTGGACAAGGGAGTTAGTTATGAAGAGTGTTTCGGATATGTATTAACGTACCACCACCAAATCCTCATAACTTTTGTGGATGTCCGATTTCGATGATAAACCGCCGGAGTTGATAGCGGCTGTGAAATGGCTGGCAGCTTCGTCGTGACGTGCGCCATCCAAGGCTTTGACTCCGAGTTGAACACGTAGATATGCCTAATGTCCGAGTTGAAAAGATGAGTGTTGACGATCAAGCGTAGATGATACTTACTTGCACGACAAGACACGCGCACGTGTCGGCATTTGGACAACCGGCAGTAATTTTTATGAGGAGCAGGTTTGCTTCATCATGTTGATCTGCATTGAAGAGCGCGATGGCCTAAAATATGCGATGAAGCGGAGAGCATGCAAGGTAAATGCAACATGCCTTTATCAAGAGCAGAACATGAACGATTTCTGGATCTTGATCCGTATGTATGGATGCATCATGAAATGCTGCCCTCGCATCCCGAATGTGGCCTTTTCCGCAGAGGGCAATACCCTTAGAGATGTAGCCTATTAGTGAGGGATAAATGCTGGTGGACTATGCAACCATCGAGTTAGCCATTCATTAAGGGGGTGATTATCGGTCGGTGAATCTCACCTTGATTGCGTCCTGAAGGGCGCAGTCCCAGTCGTGTTTTCGCGCCATGACTAATGAACGATGTGCGTAGGAAGTATGGTTGTTTGCATGAGTGTTGATATCTTGGGTGAGTAGTTCTTCGGCGGTAGACAAGTTTCCATTTACCCACGCATTTCGGGCTGTCGTGATGGCTAGGATCTGCAAGAAGCATGCTCAATTTGTAGTGTATGAGTGGGAAACGGAAAACATGCCCTTGGATGAATACGCTGAGGTTCTGCACAAAGGGCGCGGTCCCAGTCATGTTTTCGCGCCATAACGAACGAACGACGGACATAAGAAGTATGGCTGTTCAGATCGGTGTTGACATCCTGGGTAAGTAGATCTTCGGCTGTAGACAAGTCTCGGTCTATGCATGAATCACGGGCTATTTTAATGGCTAGGATCTACAGAATCATGCTCGATTTGTGGTATATGAGTCAAGGACGGAGCCATGCCTTTGAATTGGGTACTGCCCACTCCGAGATCATGTCATCGTAACCTCCGCTGAGAATGTGATTGCTGTCCGAGAAAGTGACGCATGTCATACTGGATGAGTGTTTGAAGGTTGCAAGGGTTTGTCGGTCTGAGAGCCGCCAGAGACAGACATGCTTACTATCAGATGCGGTTGCAACGAGTGTGTCAGCAGGATGAATGGCAATGGCATTGATTCGATTAGAGTGGCCCGTCCAGGGATCGCCGACCTGCTTCCATGTTGTTGTATCCCATTCGCGTACAGTAGGATCAGCAGTACCACCACCTGTGAGAAGGCGTGTGCCATCGGACGTCCATGCGAGTGACGAGTTGTATGACTTGTGAGCCTGGAAGGACGCGACACGTTCCCTCGTGGATGAATTAAAGATTTCGATATCGACGGCTGTGGCGACGGCAAGAAGTTCTCCAGAGGGCGAATACCGTACGCAGAAGACATGACTGCTCCATAGCCAGATTGGATTTTTTTGTAGCCGCCCGGTTTTGGTATCCCACAGTTTCATCATTTTGTCAATTAAACCTCCAGTAACCAGCACTGTTCCATTGGGAGAAAAATCTAGCGAGGTGATCGAACTGGAGTGGGCTTCAATTTTGGTGAGTAATTGGGCGGTTTCTGCGTGCCAGACGATGAGCACTCTGCGATCACTGCTTGCTATCAATTGTCCATCTCGCGATACCGCTAATCCTGACACTCCATAGTGATGCCTTTCCATCTCCTTCAACATAGCACCTGTCTTCAAGTCCCACACACGAAGCGTTTTGTCGTCTGAACCCGTAACCATCCGTCGTTTATCGGGAAAAATTGCAACTGCATTTATGCGTTTTACATGCCCTTTGAATTCTCGCAGGGGCATGGTGATTGGAATGAGGTCCGACATTTTACTGGAGGGTTAATGGTGGGATTGTGTCTTTCTCTAAGCTCACTGCGACTCGCGTTTGTGTGAAAATGTTGTGCAGCAGGCTGAAACTTTTCATGTTCGCACGATTCGTAACGACTCTCGACACTCCCCTAGCTGTTGCTGAGACTCGGAGGTCCTACTTCCGTATGTCATAAATAAAGGTCACTTCAAGTTCTTAAAGTCTTAAAATAACCTCAATTCCAGGCTATATGGTCCTATATGTAATTATTAACTTGAGCTTTCAAAGATCCACTGCAGGCAGCCAATACGAATATTTCCTTGCACTCGCCACCTGGTAACCACTAGAACAAAATGGCATGCAATCATTTGTATGCATCAATAATGAGTTCGCTGCTCGATTGTCGACGTCAATGCGACACTAGTATACAAGAGTAATTGTTCACTGGCCGATGTTGATGAAACATGCATAGTAGGCTGAGCAGAATCTCGAATGCTCGAATCAGGATCGTACATTGAATGATGCAAGCTCAACTTCAGCAGGAGATCATCATTGCCGCACAACTTGAAGGTGTTATGCCAGATCACCGTTGTGCGACTTCAATCTTACCCACAAATCATCAGCCTGAGTGCACAACCACATCTGGCTCCGAGGTGATAAACTACAAAATTTAAATTCAGGTCGAAATTGGATGTGCATATCGTGTAGGTATACAGTCACAAAGTCTTAAATATCAAAGTCCTTGGCAACAAGTTTTGCGCGACCATGACTGGATGCTACATGCAAAGTCGTCAAAAATACTTTGATCAGCAAGGTGGGAAAACGCACGGTATCGATCATATGCCAATATGCACGAACAATATGCGCTGGTCCAAAGGTATGTCTTGGTCAGAAATTAGCGAATAGACCGCTCGGTGCAACGCCCAGGCAGCCCGTTTACAGTTCATCGTGCCATCTCCGCAAAAGTTTTTGTAGAATGCCTTGACTAAGCGCTCCACGGTACTATCATTGACCTTCCATAATGTTCCAATGACGCTTTTGACCCCGGCAAACTGCAGGCCAGCTGCTAGGTGTATCACTTCATCAGGAGTATCGCGGTCACCCACTGCGGTTTCGCAGGCAGAAAGAAACGCAAATTGATGCCGAGACAGATCTGTTTGTGTGATGTCGAGGAGCGAAAGCGGCTCGTCGCGCATAAGAAAGGCCGATTTGAAGGGCTCGGCAATGTTCTGTGTCCCATGACACGCAAGATGAAGCCAAGTATTGTCTCGCAATGCACACAGTGCTCTCGATTTTGTGGCATCAACACTGGTGATCTTAGAGAATGAAACAGCTGGGGGAGGGGGCAAAAGGCTCCGCACCGATTCCAGTTCAGGCTCCACGGCATCCAAGGTGAATGAGGCACCGGCTGGGTGATCCTGACCAATCGCAACGAAGGATACTGACGGGGACCTATCATGACTTCTGCGAGCCTTGATCAGCGCGGTAAGCGATGGCGTGTATGAAGAGATGTAGAGATGTGAAAGGAACCGTCCTTGTTTCCTGTACTCGCCAGCGGCATGCAACGGCAAGAAATTGAAGACAGATGTCGGGCACCACCATATTCGAGAACCTCGTGGTGCAATTCCTTCCAGATTCTCGACCACCGGGCGGACGACGTCATCCCACAACTCGGTCAAGGCTTTTTTAAGCGCTGGACTATCTGTGCGATGGAGTTTATCCACCAATATTTGGAGCTTCTTAACGCTGGTAGAGAGTTGGATGCTGATCGGAGTTTGCTTGTGTAGGATGATAATAGCATGGCAAGACGACTCGCTTCCAATGAGGACGATGACAGGCCCTTCACGAGCTGCTTCTTGAAGATCGGAGAATAAGAGGGGGAGGAGGAAGCGAGAGAAGCCCTCGATGTTCCGGATCTCTTCTACAGTACTGTTCCACTCTTTCACTAGACGTCTGTACCGGGTTTCTTCTGCGTCTACGTTTACTCTTGAGGTTGCTTTTGGATGACTCGCAGGAGGTTTATCGAGGAGGGAGCTAAGGTCTCTGAATCTCTTCAGGAGGGCCACTGCATGATCACCGCGTGTCTGGAGACCGTCAAGAGGCATGCGGAGTCGTGTCATCTGGGTCCAGATGACAGTCCTGCCTTGCTCCAACAACTCGACAGCACGACACACGTCACCGCTACGAAGAGCACACGATGCAGCATCCACGGCAAGTGCCAGTGGGAAGTCCTTCATGGCCATATGACGAGAGGATACTGAAGCTGTCGTGGACATGTAAGCGTCCATAAGTGTCATCGAAGTCTCATAAGCCTCCAATTGAGTATCATGTCTGTGTCGCTTAGCATAGCGAACCCAGCGGAAGCTCTCTTGTAGGCGGGATAACGGGCCTCCAGAGACAATATTTGCTGCTGTCTTGAGGTGATGCATAGCAACATCGAGGCTGTCCGTATCTTCGCCCGCACCAATGTCGTCAAGCCTTGAACGATGATATGATAGATAGACACTAGCGAGCGATCCATGGACTGATAGTCGAGAAGGATCATGTTGGCTCAGTAATTTCAATGCACAGCGGAGGTTCTCGCGTGCCTTGTAGAGGTCTTCTCTGTCACGTCGATGCTCAAAGCGGGAGGAGAGACCAATCGCGAGGTTAGTTAATGACATGGACCGATCTGTGTGACCGACGGGGCGCAACGCCAGCGCTTCCGTATCAAGTGCGATAGCCTGATCCAGGTCTTCTTCGTTGCCTCGGTGCTCAAAGCGGGAGGAGAGAAGAACCGCGAGGTTATTTAATGACATGGACCGATCTGGGTGACCGATGGGGCGCAACGCCAGCGCTTCCGTATGAAGTGCGATAGCCTGATCCAGGTCTTCTTCGTTGCCTCGGTGCTTAAAGCGGGAGGAGAGAAGAACCGCGAGGTTATTTGATGACATGGACCGATCTGTGTGACCGACGGGGCGCAACGCCAGCGCTTCCGTATCAAGTGCGATAGCCTGATCCAAGTCTTCTTCGTTGCCTCGGTGCTTAAAGCGGGAGGAGAGATCAACCGCGAGGTTATTTAATGACGTGGACCGATATGTGTGACCGATGGGGCGCAACGCCAGCGCTTCCGTATGAAGTGCGATAGCCTGATCCAAGTCTTCTTCGTTGCCTCGGTGCTCAAAGCGGGAGGAGAGAAGAACCGCGAGGTTATTTAATGACATGGACCGATCTGGGTGACCGATGGGGCGCAACGCCAGCGCTTCCGTATGAAGTGCGATAGCCTGATCCAAGTCTTCTTCGTTGCCTCGGTGCTCAAAGCGGGAGGAGAGCCGATTCGCGAGGTTATTTAATGACATGTACCGATCTGTGTGACCGACGGGGCACAAGGCCAGCGCTTCCGTATCAAGTGCGATAGCCTGATCCAAGTCTTCTTCGTTGCCTCGGTGCTCAAAGCGGGAGGAGAGAAGAACCGCGAGGTTATTTAATGAACCAAACCGACCGGTGTGACCGACGAGGCGCAACGCCAGCGCTTCCGTATGAAGTGCGATAGCCTGATCCAAGTCTTCTTCGTTGCCTCGGTGCTTAAAGCGGGAGGAGAGTTCTTTCGCAAGGTTATTTAATGACATGGACCGATCTGTGTGACCGACGGGGCGCAACGCCAGCGCTTCCGTATCAAGTGCGATAGCCTGATCCAAGTCTTCTTCGTTGCCTCGGTGCTCAAAGCGGGAGGAGAGAAGAACCGCGAGGTTATTTGATGACATGGACCGATCTGTGTGACCGATGGGGCGCAACGCCAGCGCTTCCGTATCAAGTGCGATAGCTTGATCCAAGTCTTCTTCGTTGCCTCGGTGCTTAAAGCGGGAGGAGAGTTTTTCCGCGAGGTTATTTAATGACATGGACCGATCTGGGTGACCGATGGGGCGCAACGCCAGCGCTTCCGTATGAAGTGCGATAGCCTGATCCAAGTTTTTGCTTTTGCCTCCGCGCTTGAAGCGAGTTCCCAGCATATCAGCCAAATTACTTAGCAACTGCGCTCGACAAGCATGCTTGTTGTTGTAGTATCCCAGTGCGTCAAAATGAAGGGATATCACTTCATCTAATTCCTGGGGTTCATCTCCCTGCAGACACCGCTTTGCTCGATCAACAAGTTGATCGGGCGATAAAGGAAGCACAGATGCTGCCTGCCGCTCCCGCTCAAAATCATTTGCATGAATGTTTCCGGCAAAACGCAGAGCAGATGTTTGAATTGTAACCGAAGCTGCTCTGTGAATGTGGCTGTTGAAGTGGCAGACATCGAGGACTTCGCTCAGTAACTTTTTAGCTGTGTCGGCATCTGTTTGAAAGCCGTGTTTCGCGAAGCGAGAGAGCAGAGAAATGGCAAGATGGAGTTGAGTGGTAGGTCGGTCTGGATGACCCATGGGACGCGAATCAAGGGCACGTTGAAAAAGAGAGATAGGAATGTTGACGTCGAGGTATATCCCATTAGCTTGGCAACTAATAAACTTTGCGCTGGCTAGGTTGAAGAGTGCTGCAGGGCGGTAGGGATGGTCCATGGGACAGAGATCCAACGCGCGTTCAAAGTGGTTTATGGATTGGTCGAGATCCCTACTGCTCTGCGTCCTGCGGTATTGTACGAGATGACGATGTCCGGCATCAGTCTCTAGTGCTAACGAATCCATATCGCCTGATATGACCTACATGTTACGCGTCTCAGCGTCATAGTGCCCGACTCCATCAATCACTCACGGTAGTAAGGGGGCATAGACCTGCAATATCATTTTGATCAGGCAGTCGCTGCTCCACTGTCATGAACAGTGAAGTACAAGCGGATACGACTTCCTCCTCCTTTGGCTCAAAGATTATGGCTACGATACTCGTTAGCATCCATCAGGCGTCACTTGCAATAGACAGTACTGACGATGCGATTTCTCGCTGCGATCCAGTAGTTCTCCGACGGAGATCTCGAATGTGCGGAGGAGTTCTCCGTGACAGAGCATGGGACTCGATTCAAATGAGGCATACACGCTGACCCGAACTTTAGAGGGTGACTCGCGTGGCCTTGAGTCTTTCTCAATACCTGCAGGACAGACGGGTTTAAGGACAACTTACAGAAGAATGCGCTCGTGCCATTCGACGACAGCCTGGTCTACGTTTACAGGCTTGTTGCTTGTCTGGTATTCAGCACCATCAACCTTGACCACTGCATAGAACCCAGCAGGAATCCATCGGAGACCAAGGGTGAGATCAGTTGCGCAAATGGCTTGGAAATCGTCAATATGCGCTAAACAGAGATTGATATTACATACTAGTAATGAGGACTTGTTGCACTCCACTGAGGTGTACCTCTCCCGGGTCCTGGGTGTGTTCTGTGTGGCTTGTCTCCTGACTAAAGAATACGCATATCGTTATGTATTTAGATGATCAGTGCTTCATATGCTTACTCGTCCTTTTTTTTCCTAAAAACGCGAGATTAACTCCACACATATGCTGTACAACACAACAACTTACGACCGAGGAGGCTTTAAACTCTTCGTCTTGTTGATTGACGACTTGCGCATACGCTTTTTCCCTTCCAAGGGCTCGGCACTGGGAGCAGATTTCTCTCCTGGAGGAGCAGGGGAGGGTTTGCGCGATGAGGCTGAAGAAAAGTCAGAATCAGAGTCTGATTCTGACGAGCTTGAAGACTCGAAGGTGACACGTCGATGACGGGCCATAACGATGGCTGATGGATATATCTAAACTAACACTTGAGAATAAGACGTTTGCTGGGGCCACGAAACACTGCAGCACCTGACTTCCTGAAGGATTATAAAGGGAGCCAGCCTCAGCACAGGACGCACACAGCACCCACAATGAGTTCACAGGACAGAGGCAACTCGCAAAATACCGAGCCACGGAGCCGAGGCTGAGTGATGAAGACTAAGCGCAGAGCATGATCCAGACTTTCACAGGAATTCGTGCGGGAGGTGTGCACGTTGAACTTGTTCCGATACAAGGAGTGCGGCAATCAGTACCAGTACTTGGCAAGGATCGATCGAATATATGTAGAGGATTCAGCTTGATGCCATGTGGTGGTTGGCACTCTGGAACCAGCACCTTTCACATCGTGGTCGACCATCAGTTCTATTACGTAGTCGGACTTGAAGTCACCGTACAAGCTTGAGGTAAACTAGTAGTAGTAGCTCAAGCGCCCAGACCAATCTTAAAAGCTTAACATGTCATTTGATTACAACATTTCATAGCAGATGAGTCGTTAGTAAGATACACCAAGTACAACAAAGTATGCATATGTTGAGCAAGTAATACAGATGCGAAAGCCCGTAACCTGGTATTCCAAATAAGCCCGATCCCAGCAGGCAATATCTAAATTCTGGACGATTTGAGCGGATCGACCGCAATGCTATACGATATTCGGTGTGGTGAATGGCGTGAGTGTGAGACGCAGGTGAATCAATCATCGCAGAGTGATAATCATGACGAGCCAGAGATAGCGCCATTAATGGCGTTCAAAAGAATGTTGTTGTAGTCGCCGCCCACCTCCCACAAGGCGAAACCAGCCAGGCCAGCCTGTTTAATAAAGTTGCCCTTTGCGGCTGCAGGAAAGTTAGTTAGATTTCAGTTGATTAGAGCGGGAAAACGTACTGAAGGATTGGGCATCATCGTAGGCTACCATGATCTGTGTGTTGGGGTTGTAGACATATGGCTAACATAGACAAGGGTTAGGCCAGTAAGAAAATCGCAGGCAAAGAATACATACCGTCTGGCTGCAGTTGTCGAAGCGGCTCATCATACCAGAAGCAACACTACCGTCCTCATTCAGGAAACCAGCATCAACGAGTCCCCAGAAGTTGAAGTCCCCGGAAGCAGGTTGGTTAATACCGCAAGCGTCTGGACCGGCAGCATCCCAGCTGTCACCGGTGATGGGGTTGTTGGTGTTAAAGCCGGGGTATGAGGCCAACGTGTTACCCTGCACAGCTGCAGATTTGCTGATGGAGTAACCGTGTCCGTAGCTAGGAACACCGAGAACGATCTGTGAAGCAGAGAACCCTGCAGCAATCCAGAACTTCACGGCGGAAGTTGCAGAGCCAGTTTGGTCACCAGCTGGAGCACAGGAGTCGTCTAAAGGAGAGTTGGGGCCCACAACCTTGCTGAAAGTGTCGCCGTAAACGTCGTAGTTCATGATTTCTGCAGAAATATTAACGGTTATAATGACAAGCACTGACTAGTTTACTAACCAACGTAATCCAAAGCCTGGGCAAATGTGCTCAGGTCAGTCGATGGGCTCCCTGTAGCGTCGTTCCATGGCTTGACAGGGGCAGCAGCAGAGAAAGTGATATTTGGCAACGCCGTCTTTAGCTCTTGGAGCGTAGACAGAAGATTGGCAGTATCCTGAGGCGACTGCGTGTTGCAAGAAAGACCGTTGGGACTACCAGGGTACTCCCAGCTGTAAAATTCAATGTCAACGCCGAGAATAATCGTGTGAAATGAAATATACGTACTCAAACTCAACACCTTGGAAGCCATACTTATTCACCATGCTGACGACCGACTGGACAAAAGTCGTACGGTTGTTTGAGGTGGAGATAGACGATGAGAAATATACGGAACCATCCCAACCACCAATAGTCAACACAGGGAAAACGTTCTGTTGTCAAGTAAGCTAACCATCTGCCACAAAAAGGCACAATCATACATTTTGCTTGGCGGCAGCGACGAAGGTAACAGGGCCGCTAGGGGCGCTGTCACTGACAGTCATCATAACGGTTCCAGCAGCGGAGGTGATAGCTCTAGATACCAAAGTGAGAAAAGTTTGCACGATAATTCCGAAGGGTAAACTCACCCGAAGTAAGCCATTCTGTTAAAGCCCTCCCATTTAATGTCGGCAACCGTGTAGTCGGTGTGCCAGTTTGCAAACCAAGCCATTGCGATAGATCCATTACCAGGGTTCACAGGCGTGGAAGTGGACACTGGGGAGGTCGTAGTCGAGGTAGATGTAGTAGTCGAGGTAGGTGTAGTGGCACTAGCAGCAGATGACGATCTGAGAGAGCAAGTTGGGGCGGCAGCTGCAAACGGCAGGACCAGCAAAGAAGCTATCGCCAGAGAAAATTTCATGATGTGATCAAAAGTTTTAGAAAGATGGACGTCGACAGTGAGTGAATGAAAGCGAGAGTTATGAGTAGGTGCTAGCTAGAGCACGAATCGAAATCAGGACCAGTCCTTGAAGTAGTTAAAAATCAGACGGGGAAAGTAAAGAACGACCAGACAGGCAGACGCCCCCTTTTGTAGCTGTGAAACAACGTGTGGGCCTTGCAATCATGCATGATCAATGCGGTTCTACTATTAGCAGATACCTAAATTACACGCACTTTTGTTCTTCTTTTGTTCATTATTAGGTACATCATTCAATGGGCGCTTAGAGACAAAACCTTTTCTCACACCTCAAGTCAACATGCATTGTTCTTTGGTCCCAATATTCATCTATGCCAATACGCCAAAGGACCACTGAAGCTTCGTCTTCACGGGTTGTGCATTGATGAGCTCCACATAGCTCGGACAAGGAGATTCTTTCTATTTCCAGGAATCGAGATACAAACCGGCTTGGTTCGATCAGATCTCTAAAATCATCCTGGATCCACAAGCATGCAGATGCGGTAGCAGCTTGCAGTGATTAGCGGTCACTGGGCCAGAACGATCACCGGATGTCAAGCTTTCAAGTCTCTGCCGCGGACCTCATTGTTATGCTACGACCAGTTGCTGTCGAATGCGCCACGTCTCTGAGGCGCAACAACGGTGTAAACTTCTTGATGTGCGTCCTTCCGAAATCAGTCCGTTCAACTATTATTTATAATGTTGATAGACTGAAAGCTTCAGGAGCAAGAGTTTTCTATAGTAAAAAGTCTATCCATTAGTAGGCGAAACTTTTTGCTATGCAATGATGGTCTCTAGTAGCTGACCCAACATCGGATATGTCAGTCAATGTCTTCGATTATGCCATACGCAGTCCAGCATGACTGTACATGATCATCATGGCGACAGATTTCAACACATAGCCTTCGCTGACGGAAATCAGTTTGCTAAGAAGGGTTCATAACATTTGCATAGTTGGCGCTCGTACACTAGATTGTCGTCATTCTCTAATGGTCGATTGCAGGGTAGGTTGAGGCTTGAGAATCCATCACACAACAATCACTTGAGTGATCAATGTATGTATCCTCTAGCGATGCCCATCAATCAGATCCAGTGCGAATACTACGTGCCGACATACGGATTTTTCGATTTGTGAGAGTCGGCAACATAACATACATTTACAATGGTTCTCACTGTCTACATATTTCACGTGAGCTATCATTCGGTGTTCAGGAAAGTTACCCGAGACAAGTCCTGAACGACAGGCTTCGGTATGAAGGCCGAGTGAGAAGACCGCCACTGCCCACCAATCGCCAGCATCATCATCAAATCACCAATACAACAGATGAAGAACCTGGGATACGCCGCGAACATATTGCCAAAAGCACGGGTAAAAAAAGAAGCGCAGATGCGGAGACTCCGCACATCTGACTGTACTGTACCTTGTCTTCTCAGCTGCCTGCAGCAATTAGCATGTTTGTCATCCAAGTTCATAACGAACTACGAACCTCCCCCTCGGCCATGAATATGAAACCGAACAGGCTACCTTGAGGCCAAGTTTCGACCAAGATCCTATCCACCACCTCTAACAAGTCCGATTCGTACAGCAAGACGTCTAGCTTGGTTTGCTTCGATCCTTCGAGAGCGAAGTAGGGATACACCTATGGCGACAGTAGCAAAAAACAGGTTGCACGCTACGAATTCGTAGAAATCAGCGCGCTCTTGTGCGGGAACACGGCCGCAAGGCTGCCATGCAGGAGTCTCCCCGAGAGCTCCTGGGGGTGGAGATATAGGGTATGGTTCATTGGGTCTTGGTGTAGGTATGGTCGTGTTCGAACAATGCATGAGTTGACGGTTGCCGAATGGATGACAGAAGGGTTCATGAAGCTACAGTTTCGTTTATTCGCCGTCCAGCACATTCATATGTGAGAAAACGTACAGCATCTAGTGGGCATGGTTCACATGCGCCAAATGGGCGACAAGTGATAGACCGGTTTTGACTCGGATCAACGTGTTGTTGAGCATGAATAGTATTCACAACACATAAAAGCATAAAGCTGCAATTCACAAGTCAGATAAGTTATGATAATTGATGTGTGGAGATTCCTACAAAATGACCTTCATGACTGTGCTCGCCGCCGCGATATGCAACATGGTGAAAGCATGAATGTGAGCAGGCGTGGGAAATCGTCGCTTGCTTGCCTCATACTTGGTCGACGCCGTAGTAAGTGCAATCTTCCAAGCCATTACAGTGTCGAACCTCACTACTAAGGAAAGGTTCTGCAGCTTAAATATGTCTCGTCGTACAGCAGTAATCGAAGAATTCGATGATGACACTGACCTCCCGCTCCCATCGCGTCCACTCAATACTGGCCCGCGTGGACCACTACTCGAAGAGATAGGCCATTCCGACGAAGAGGACAGTGAGTCTGATTCAGACGATGCGTCTGCACTAGGCCAAGCGTCACAATCACAATCTTCATTTCACGCCCCAACATCGTCTGGTCAATCGCATGGTCAACCATCGAATACCGTCACTGACATCACGCCTTACAAGAAGTACGTTATTCATACAACTGTTCTTCGCTTGCTAAGAGTTTCTCAGATGGACGTGCATCTATCCCATCTATATCGACGCCAAACGTCCATATGGGACGGGTGAGCGCCGGATAGCGCGCGAAAAGAGCGTTTGGTGGCCTTTGAGCAAGGATATCGCAGATGCGACTAGCCGGCTTGGATTGGGAACTTTGCACGAAGTGCAGAAATCTCATCCTAGAGACTGGGAAAACCCTGGTCGTGTGCGCGTGCAGTGGAAGAAAGATGGACGACTGGCGAACCCCGCGATCAAAACGAGTACGCGAATTCATCTCACCTCTTCTCTAATAACTTAAATATGTTCAGAAAAACAACTGTTGGAGATGATATCCTTCCAGATCCAACGGATAAAACAAGATAATATTCCGCGCCCACCATACGTGATGATCCCGCCCCCAGCTTCTACCGCTCAGCCAGCGATTAAACCCCCTACGTCCGCGAAGGGCAAGCAGAAGTCCAAAGCGGGTTCTGGTGTTGCCGTGCAGCTTTCCAAGTCGAGCCAACAGCGCTTGCCTACACCTCCACAACCTCTACCGGCTTTGGCAAGCCGAGTATCTCCTTACTCACCAGCTTTACCCACGGGAATGCTCATCGAGACCGTTAAAGCTGGTATGAGTGCACAGGAGCCGGGTGCAGGAGCTGCTCCTGGCCAACCGGGTGTCCATAAAGGTAAACGGAAGGTTCTCAGAGTTAGGGGGTGATTTAGGACTCGGATGTGGTGCAAATTCTCATGTACAAGATACTTGGAAACACTTGCGAATTTTTGGACTCTAGTGGTGAATTTCCAATGCACTGGATCATTTGAAATGGTTGAAACGTTTGGATTTGACCACAGCCCAGTCCGACGACCTCAGCTACTATGCTCAGAACATGACTGACTTAGCGGAAGTTTGTTACAATGATAGCGAGCAAATTTATATGACGGGCCTTTACAACAACCGACTCTTTGGCTTCAAGAGCATTACCACTGGTCTAGGTAGGCTCATTGATGCTAGCCCTCTTCTTTGCCTGATCTGCAGAATCCGCTGTGATGTTATATTGAGCGAGTGGTGCAGGTGCAACAATGGTGAAGTACCTATTGAAGCTATAGGACCATCTGAGACACTTCGCAGGTTGTAAACGACTTAAGGGCGGATCGTCCAGGTGATTCAAGGCGTGATTCGAACGTCTTGGATGAGCCTGCTACAGAGCAGTCAATATGATCATTTAAAGGGAACAATTCACTTACTGCAGTCACGGTTGTGGACATCCACCTCCGGATCTCCAGCAGTAGGATTGGGATCTTCCATGCCTGAACCTGTGAGTGCTGGTTTGATAAATGCTGGTATGCAGCTTCGCATGGCATGACCGCTACTGTTGCATCTGCGTTTCATCTGGCACCGGCGCACTATTTTCTTCGCCCTTGCCAGACTTACCACCGGCGGCTGTCGCGCCTGCCACCGCTCTAGTGGATCTGCCTTTACCCTCCTCAACAGCAAGATCTTCAGTTCCTATAATGTAGGGTCGTCAGCCGCAGAATGAGGGGTAAGTATGGTGGACACTTCCCAGCCTGAGGCGTGCAAGTCTTGCCTCAATTCGCGGCGTTCTGATCACACTCAGCGTGTGAGAGAGAATGAGCCGGAGATGACTCAAGTGACGCGGAGTCATCAACATCCAGATTGGGTCGTACATTATTGTAGCATGGTGCGCAATGGCCCGTGGTATTAAACCGAGAGAATTATTGACGAACGTGTGGAGCTGACCTTTAGTACTTCAGTTCCCAACGTGCATTCATTGCCAGCAGTGTGTAAATGTATTAGACCCAGCGCTCATCACAGTTCCATCAGCGAAAGTGATGATCAACATATGTGTCGAAGTTTGCAGACCTCGAACAACGTTTGCTGCCACCAGGGTCGAGGAGGCAATTGCCTTTTCAATTGCCAAATGCTGGATATCGGAGATCAACTTGACGATCACAGCACGATCATGTCCCTCCAACTCATGGCGACGCCGGATGCATCGATGAGTGCTTGCATGACAGCCATGAGCGACTCAGAGATGGTGGAATTTCGACACCATCGTACCGCGACCGGAAAGTATGATCAGTATGGCAGTATCCAAGCAGTATCTTCTCGTACAGTTGGAATTCTTCCTTTCTCGAAGGATTCGATCAGTTTGTTCGTCTCCCTCTCCACATGCGAGCGATCACTGTATTTTCGAAACGGCAGTGGATTCTGGCTCTTAGCAAATTCAATATATGTATATGCTACACCCAGCCTGCAAGTTGCAAGCTGCTTATCCATCCTCCTAGTTTCCTGAGCTTGGTGGTTTGTTGGTGCACTGGCCCATCGTCGTGCCAAGTCGTTCACCTAGTAAATCCGTTGTTCATCAGCTGTCTTTCTTATTGTCTGACATGTGTCTGATCGGTTGAACATGTAGACCTACGGTTGGTCTCTTACCCACAGACGAGTTACATTTGCGGTGGCTCATGTCAATTACAATGGCAGGTGGGTATGCATAAACGTACAACTGTAAGCGTAAATTTTCCAATTCAAAATGTTCTAGTTCCTATCGCCACGTTGTTTCTCGATCTGCCCATCGAGCCGAGCACTCCCTGGAGGTTGGCGAAAGCTACGCAAAGCTTCAGAGTGCGAACGTTGTGAACATAGATGAAAGTTGATTACAATGTTGGCCCTGAGTCAGAGATCTTGAGAGTCAAGAAGCGTGTATGATGTATGAGCGAGTGGCTTCCACAAGGTTTGATGAAGAGGAATGTTGGGATCGAAGTAATGTGGCACTCGGCAAGGCATCGTATCGTTTAGAGGCGCTCGGAAATGCGAAATCGATCTGATCCGTGCACTTCCTCCAAATTTATCCGCCTAGGGGCCTAGGGTCGGCGATGATCTATACTGGCAGCGTCAAGGCAGCGTTATTGCTAAATTTAATAAGCTATAGAACCAACTAAAATAGCAAAACTAACCTCGTCACTCCTACATAGTTACATCTTAACAAGTACGTCAACTGCGTTGGCGCTGTACAGGGTTCTGGAACTGATGTGCCTAACTGGTACAAACCTTTGATTTTGGCAGATTAACCGCTCGCTGTAGGAGGTCACAGCGTCGATGAGCAAAAACCCACATGTGATGAGCATTGAAATATGGAGAGCGACGCGAATGCGATGTGTAAATGGTTCTGGAACTGGATGCGTGCGCATCACACGCTTGTGAATATGTAATTCGAGAAAAAATAGTATAGTAGCGTACCTTGACCATCAGAACACGAGACTCTGGAATACCTCAGGCTGGAGATCTTCCTCACAAATTTCACCGAGCCCATCCACAGTTAACAAGAGCCCCGACAGCGAGTACCGAGACTTTCTTCAGCTATGTTGACCCGAAGTGCTTCTAACTCCACCTCTTTGTTAGCACAACAGCCTCAGATACGCGTAGCTCCTCTTGAGCTTACAGAAGCTTGGTGTCGGGAGAGCCATGTGACGTAAAATTGGCAAAAGTCAAAGGGAGAGAGGTAGCCTACCCTGTTTAGTCTCGGAGGCTTTGGGCACTTTCATTAGCCGAGTTCAACCCGTGCGCTGATTTACATAATAGGTTGACCTCGCAGGTGACCTCAGACACGCAGTAGTACTGCGCACCTAATGCTAGTGATCCCCTAACTGCCTCGAGGCAAGTGGATCATCCGCATCCTCTTTGTGAACTGAACGTGATTGTAATATGGGCAGTCTAGAAGCCTTGCGGCGACTAGATGGCGGAATGTTGGTCCAAAATAGTCAATATTTGCCCGCTCCGTCGTGGACACGATTCCCATGCCATCATCATCAACCAAAAAAATTTGCATCGTCGCAGACTTGCAGTAAAGCAGATACTTACTGGGCAACCATCGATAACAGCCACGAATGCTACACCATGCCTCATGCAAAACATGCTGGTGATGGAATAGAAGGGCGTAAGATGTGACAACGCACATCATGAAAGACGCATGTTATGATAGGTCATGATCTGGAATTGAATTGAAGGCATATATACGTAGTGCCATCTCAACTTCTATCAACCACTCTCCCATCTCCCATCTTCCATCATGAGCTCCCCGCAGGATCGTGTGGGCCGTGTGATCCACCACAAGGATTATTACTTGCGTGGTGGGGATATGAATGTGTTGGTAAGTCCCAGAACATTTCTTGATCCATCCATTCTCATCTGGGGCGAACGTCGTAGATCGGGAACTATCACTACCGCATACACAGCCACTTCTTCTACCGTGAATCGTTGATATGGCGCCAGATGCTAGATGCCTCCCCCGATGGTGGGGAGCACGGCACGACTGATGCTCCGAGTCCATTCACCCTCGACGACGTCAAAAGTGAAGACTTTGACCGCTTCCTCTGGGTGATATATAATCCGTATGTGCGATCTCTGAGTTTACTGCCCCTGCTCAAACGTGATTCCAGCCAATATTCACTCTACGATGCCCCCGCTGAGACATGGCTAAGCATCCTAGACCTAGCTCATCGATGGAACTTCTGTAACATTAAAGACTTCGCTATTCGCGAGCTCGAGAAACTCAACATCGAGCCGATCGACAAGATCGTGGCATACCACGATTATAAGATCAACAAAACTCTCCTTCTCCCTGCATACATCGCGATGTGCAAACGTGAAAAGCCTCTGTCCCTTGCAGAGGGTACAAAGCTCGGAATGGAAACCGTCCTCCGCCTTGCCGACGCACGCGAGCGTGCTCGGCAGCAAGCCGCGGAGAACGGCATTCGCTCGCCAACGTTCGACGATTTCCAGGATATACAGATGGAGGATATGGTAAGGGAGGTGTTTGGCATTCCGCCGAGACCGATGTCGCCCGGGTGGCACTCCAGAAACTCGTCCGGTGTGATCAACGGTTTCGGCGGGACGCTCCATCAGAATGGCTTTGGCTTCACTCAGAAAGCCAATGGAGAGACAACATCTGGCTTGAATGGTCAGAATGGTCATGATTCAACGACCCACAAGCCATTTGAATCCTTGCACGTACTTACTGGCGCGACGGAGCCACCTGCAACTAATGGTTCAACGACCAAGACTGAGGGCAAGAAGCCACAAGCTCCATCAAAAGACGATAAACCCTCGTCTGAAGCGAACGGGGCTTCTTCCCAACAAGCTCCGTCTGGTGCCGCTGACAACAAAGGAGGCGCGGCGGGTAAGGCTAATGGCGCAGGTGAGTGACTGGCCAACCCGTCTCGATTGACTTGTTCTGATTCGCAGGTCCCTTCGTCATCGTAGGGAAAGGCAAATGAGGATGGCTGGACGGGTCTCATGTGTAGCTGGCATCATAGTTTGTGTCGTTGTTTTCGAGGTTTAATTATGTTATCGAGGCACCTTGCTACGTCAGTGGTTCAACCATCGTTTCAGTACATTACTTTGTGGGAATATTCCTCAAGGAAAATTATACACTGTATATGCATGGTTGAGTGAGAGTTATCTAGTTAGACAAGCAGGTTGTTCGAAGAGGACGATGACGAATTTCCACCAAGAATTAGTCAACTCAGTCAAAGTAATCTTTAAGAAAAACACGGTACCGGTACATGTGCGCGGTTAAGTGAGAGCATTCTCTGCTGATGGGGATATGACCTTCACTTAACCGTCACATAGTATCCCACCATGTTGATGAAGATCTTACAGTACCATGGAATCTGGATGGAGGTGATCAATCGATTGACGTTTGTTGACGACAAATTCTCCAACGCCCTCAAATTCAACAACATCAAACAACACCACACAAATGTCTCCTCCACTACGCGACCCAACATCCGACTCCGAAGACGACGACCCAGACTACGCGCCTCCTTCTCACCAAGGTATGAACCACAGGCCATCCTATCGATCATCCCCTTCCCTGACCAAACAAACACGCATATATCAGACTCGGATTCAGATAGTTCCGGAGACGAAGATGGAAATGCAGATGCTAACGTGCCGAATGAAGTAAAAGAAGAAGATCTAGTCGAGAAGAAAAAGTGAGGTGGTGTCGTGTGACTCTGTGCGTCAGATATACTTATCCTGTTGTATAGAGCGCGTGATGCTTTATGGGTCAGTTTTCAGGCGTCAGTCGCCACGCCACCGCTTGCAAAGGTCGTCGAGGAGCCGCCAAAGAAGCTCGTGAAGATCGAGAAACGTTACCTTTTCGCAGGGAAGAATATCGTGTATGTCTGTCCGCTCGTTTGTTCTTTGTCATAGCGTGCTTAGTGATGTGAAGAGAAGTGGTTGAAGTCGCTGAGGACTCGGAAGAAGCGAAGAAGTGGCCACGGTGGGATCCGTCAGAGCCTTCGTCTGCTGCTGCACCCGCTCTTGATTCTTCGTCTTCGACTACCGATGCGAACGCGACGGCATTGAGTTCAGAAGCTCCGGTACAATTTACAGCACAGAAATCTACTACGAGAAAACCTCCAGGCCCTCGCAAACCTCGCACGTCGTTGGCTGACATACCCACTCAAAAGGCCAAGAAGATCACTACTCTAGATAAATCTGCAATGGACTGGCGCACGCATGTGACGTCTAGTGATGCCAAGGACGAGCTTGATGCTAACCGACGCGGAGGTGGTTACTTGGAAAAGATGGACTTTTTGAAAAGAGTCCAGGACAGAAGAGAGGATGCGTATGAAGCGAGCAAGTCGAACAAAAGGCGGAGAACATGAGGTATGAGGAAATGTTGGTATTGTAGTGGAATTGTTGTAGGATAATACATGTTTTACTGTACCAATACAGGTATATCAAGAATGGTCATACCTACGTTCACATCGCAGATGCTGAGGAAGGTAATCAAAGAGGGGCAAGATGGGTCAAGAACTTGAAGCAATGGACGCGAGGAACTGTTCAAAGAGGGGCGAATCGCGAAACCGGTATAACAAGTATGAAGATTGACGAGATACTTCAGGCCATTCATGTTCGGCATGTAGCCTTATGCTCGGACCAATGCGACTTTTGGCATCCGCCATCGCAATACCTAGAGAATCACTGATCAATCATCCACCTATGACAAGAATCGATAAACCAGTCACCTCGCTTTCTCGCAACCACTACACTTCCTCAATGCGGCACTAGGATTACTGCACCACGAACATCTGTACAACGCCACCGTGTTCGGGCTAACTCGAGGGTGAGAGCACCTCTGTGGATAATGCTCGTCTTCCTTTCCATGATCAAGATGAAGGTCATCAAGCCACGCGGCAAGATCGTCTTCAGCTTTCTCCAACGAGATGGGCCGCTCATCCGTCATCACCTCGTCAAAGCGTGCCACCAGATCCTTCCATTCCTGCACAGCAATCGGGTAGCGCTTGACGATGTTTTGCTGCGTCAGGCGCAACTGCGTTCTCGGAGGAATAGTGCCCAGCAGTATGCTAAACTCGTCGGCGTACCCTAGCTTCTTGAATGCGACCTGTGCTCGGTTGTTGTAGAGAGATCGTCGAATGCCAAAGCCGGTGGACATACCTGGAGCTCTTGGAGGTCCGCTGGCGTCTCTGGTCCTTTGATGGTAAGAGTGAGGCAGATGTACCAGTATAACACGTTCTTCATGTGTCTTGCATCTGGGGGAGCCTCCGTAACGTAAGACTTTGCGTCCTCCATCGCGCTCATGAGGAACGCAACGCCCTCGTCATATTTCCTATCTCCTGGACTGGATTCCTGAATACGACATACCCCTAGATTGCCCGCAAGCTCGACAGCACGGTGCAAGAGCCCAAAGCGTACGAACGGCGTCATCTTCGGGCACTTCAAGCCTTTCTTCGCAGAACGCAAGCCCTCGTAGTGGTCTTTACCCAACGTGATCACGTAGTAGAAGTATGCGAACTTGGGGTTGCGTTGAATACCACGTTTTGCAGCTTCGATGGCATCGGGAATGCGTGTTCTGATGATGAAAAACTTTGCGGTAATCATGTCTGCAAGATCTTCCTCTCCTGGACGACCCTTTTCACGGATGGCTCTAGCACAATGAGGCAGCGCATCGGACCACATGATGAATGGTAAACCTATGTCCCTGTTGAGTTCTATACGTCCAGTGTTGGGATCTTGCATCTGGAAACCAGCCTTCTGCGATAGAGAACTCGGTTCTGGTGATGAGTTCTGCGAGCTTGAGACCAAGACTATAAAGATCTTTGTCCTGTGCACATTTCATCATAGCCTTTTGGTTGTCGGCGGTCGAGGTCATTGTAAGAAATGTTTCACAGCGCATCGTGCCGTAATCTGTCAAGATATCGACGAGATGGTCAGGGAAACGGCGTTCGATTGCTGCCATGAGCTTGTGAGGGTCGAAATGTCTCTGGTCTTCCTCCGAAGACAAGGCTTCGAGACGAAGCAGGCCACCCAGCGCGCTGACACGCACGGTAAGGTCTGCACTCCGCAGGCAGGCTACAAGCAGGTTTTGAAGTGCTGAGTTATCCTTGCACTCGCTCCAACAATGGAGAACAGGGTGCGTGAGCAACTCTAGGCCATGATGCAAGAGCTGAATGGTAACGCCAGGCTTGCGCATGAAATCTATTATGACTGGAATCAAGACTTTGATGTTGGCCGCTTTGATATATTTCGGGGCTGGCACATCTTCCTGGTTGATCGCAGCGCCGATAGCATGGGCCATGGTAGAAATCGCCATCTCGGCAGCCCAGAGGTCGTCTGGGTTTTCTTGTATGACCTTGAGTAGGGAAGGGGATTCGAGTGAGATTTCTTTGCGAATATCGACACCCCCATGATGCGTCACGGTTGTAAGTGCGCGGAGAGCAAGATAACGCGTGGAAGGAATGTTGATCAAAGGGGTGATCTTGGACACCAAACCTGTGATATGGTCAGTGCAGGTTACTGAGAGAACCGTGTCGTCGACTCATACCTTTCTTAAAGAGCTTGTCCCGGAGGATAGCATCGGCACACATCTTGGTGTAGATGCCGACGATTGCCCCGGTAATCTTCTCGTTTCTTATATTTGCGACGTATACATCGTCGATGTTATGATACACTTCGTTGAAGCTGACGTGGACTTTCTTCAGGCCGCTTCGTTTGGAGAGATCTTTGTGAAATAGAGTTAGGACTCGGAACGGAATAACAAAGGCGCTGTACTCGCCTGGTAACTGGAGGAACTCGCATAGTATCTTGATTCTAGCATTCCATCCTTCGGTTCTCTCTATATCGTCTACCAACCCGACAAACTCCTCTGATGGAGCACGCGCCACAGAGTGAACGTTGACGATTGGCTTTGGCTTTTTTGCCTTCGTCTTTCCACGAGAACCTGGCATGTGGACTGGAATAACCACAGATAGCGATCAAGTGAAAGAGGATGAAGTGCCAAGCTGGGAGTTTCGCAGCTGGTGGTGATTCGCAACTTGAACCAAGCAAGTAGTATAACGCCCAATATAATGATTATGTAGTGGATAGACGCCGGTACTAGTAGTGTTAAAGCCTTGCTCATCGATTACCGGCACCGACCGTCTCCAATGGATTTGCTGCGTCGTGTCATCCTGCTCAGTACTCTGAATGAGATTTTGACTCGACTAGAGTTGGATTAAAATTGGTGGTCCAAAAAAAGAATTCTAACTGCCAAGCTCCGATACTACTAGTTGTCGGGAGTCGATTACCTGCGCTTGATTAATGCAAGGGGTTCCAGTTGTGTTCCCTGTCCAACGGATCTTCAATGGGGTGACTTTCACACTGAACGCCCGGCTGGCGTTTCCTTGTGAGCTCTAGTCAGGGAATCGGCTCATCGCAAAGCGTCCGTACCACAGCCGGCGGCAGTACCAGTGCCAGTAATGAATTCTTTGACATGGATGTATGATCACACATATTTTTGAACCAAGGTACATTGTAAAACATGAACACTTGCCATCCATTATAATTATATGTAACGTTCAAATTTCAAATATCACGATCATGATCGAGCCTCGAGCCATGGTACCGTTAGCATTTGCATGTAATAGGATACATTGCATATGGCGGCGGCAACCTGCGAACTGTGAGTAGTACTTTCAGGCTACTTTATCCGACTCGGGGCCCCTTCGAGTCCGACACCAATATTGGCAGTCTTCCTCACCGAGATATCCCGAGTCCGATGATATCATATACCGTGTGTTTTTAATACAGCCTTGGCAAGAACGACCGCTGGCCAAGTCCTGGCCGTACAGTAGATCGAGATATCTAGGATATCGATGACCCGGTGAACATATGATCATGAGGATGTAACATATGGTTGAACATCGCCTGGCATTGCTGAGGCCTAGGTGTGGCTATATGGGGTGACCCGAGGCCTATTTCATTCAAGAAACGGAACAAGCACAGATTCATGCACTGGCAATCCACGACGATTCTTTGAGGGAATAAGGCAGAAGTTCGAACCCGCTGACGAAGTCGAAATCCGTCATCTCATGGCTAGATGCCATCACAGCCTGAGGAAGCATTGAAGGAGGACAATGGGAAGCACGAGTTGAACTTGAAGCTAAGAGCCTATGACAAACTATCTCGTGGGAAACAAACTGTAGCTTAGTACTCCAAACCCATGTACGTACAATCAAACAATAGGGTTTCTCGCTAACGGTCACTGCCTAGGCTAGTCGACAATCGCCGAGTAGCTCACATTGTAGATCAGTGGTTGTAGTCTACTGCAGCTGGCTGGCATCCTAGCTGCAATTGAAATAAAGTTTGATTCAAAAGTCTACTACTCTAGTACCACCCGTGTCCATAAATTCTCACAGTATAATTTGTGGCTAAGCATTCGTTCGTCTGTTCGAAATTCTGAATTTTCCTGACTACTGAGAGCACTGCCAGACTCCAGACGGTTGAACCTGCTTATTTTCTTTGGTTCGAACTTTATAGTTACTTTACTTTAGTGGTCTTTATTTATAGTAATTTGATACCTTATAGCACAAATAATAGTAATTTTTAGAGTGATTGCCAGGCTTCAAACGGCAGACAGCGCGTGCCATCCAGTTGAGTAACTTCGACGACTTGAAGGTGAAAGCAAAAAAACCGCCCGTTTGGCGCCGGAGGCTATTGTTGGTCAACGAAGGTTTCTGGGTGGGGTTTGAAAGGATTTGTTTCCCACGGGGGTTTTCTCAGCGGATATGAGATAACTCGCATTAATATTGGCGGTGCGAGCCTGTTTTGTGGGAGTCGGATTATCTTTGTAGACGTTTGATATGTACCTGGAGTGCCTCTAATAATTTTTCAATGGGGCCCGCAAGGGTAGCACCGAGATTCAAAGTTCATCGAAAGGATTTTTCAAAGGTAACAAAATGACACCCGGCCGTAACGGATCCTGGAACTGTCAAACTTACATAAGCTTTTAAACCTTAATATACAGCCACTTGAGCTTACACCCACTCCTCTTGGCGCATCGCAGCCAACAGTATGCCATCCGTAAACCATGTGCACATCTAAAACGGCAGGCGAGGCAGGACCAGAGGATTAAGGTGGTATGCCTCACATCATGATTTCAGAGGCACGGGCACAGGGGCGGTCACCGTACATAAACATCAGCGGCTGGGTTGTCTTACAAAATGGCGCTCTATAGCTCTCTGTAGTGAATTACCTTTCACCGATGAAAAAAGCGTAAAAATTTATTTCCATCTTATCATTTTACCTGTCATGCATTATCCAGTTTGTAAATGGATATCGTATGGTAAGTTTTTCTCTGGCATTCATGCTTGAGTCCTCGATATGATGTATAACGTTCATGCATGCTACGGCGATCAAGAATCGTGCACTTAAAATCAGTGGTGAACGTTTAGTATGTAGTATATTGATTCCGGCTGACCGAAGCATCATGTGATTATGTAATATCGCGGCGTAGTTCCACTATTGATGATTACGGAAGGTGAACCACGCTGCACACTGCGCATCATTAACGATCATGCCAGGATTTGCGGACCAAGCCATCCCACTTTATGGAAACTATCATGGGTACGTGTCGTAACAAATCCATCACATGTGTCTTTCGGCGGAGAATAATTGTATAGGTATTACTCTAAGCGTCCGTTCGTCCGAGATCCACGACTGGCTTTGCTCCCTGCTGAATTCTTCGTGGGCAAGCGAGTTCTGGATATTGGATGCAATGAAGGCTGGGTGACGTGTGAGATAGGTATGCTACCTTTAATGACGTGTTTCAGTATCCTATTTGTTCAGTTCAGAAACCAGGACAGTTCAAAGGAGCACGTCAGGTCGTTGGAGTCGATATTGACGATACTCTTATCAGAGCTGCCTGGAAAAGAAGGCGCACCGTATGGAGTCTTCAGTCTCCTGAGTATGGAAATAGCTTTGAGGAAAGTTGCCCTCCGCACAAGCGACAACGACTCCTCGGTGATGCGTCCACTACGGACGATCATAGTACTCACAATTATTTCCCTGCATCGTGCGAACATAGTTATGGCCCATTGCCCATACCAGATAGAGGATGCGGTGCTTTCCCTCACAACGTCACCTTTCGGACAGTTGATTGGGTGAAGGATAAGATTTCGGAAGACGACAATCAATACGACATTATTCTAGGGTATGTGTCATGGCTGTTGCTGATGCAGATGCAGAAAAACTCATCCGATGTGATAGGTTCTCGGTCTCTAAATGGATTCATCTAAATCACAAAGATGAAGGATTGAGAGAATTTTTTTGCCGAGTTCACCAATGTCTAAAATTAGGGGGTGTTTTCGTCCTTGAGCCACAACCTTGGGACACTTACTCAAAGGCTCGACGGATGAGCGAGACTCTCAAAGAGAACGCAAAATATCTACAACTCCGTCCAGATGGCTTTGGGAAACTATTGGAGGAGCTCGGATTTAGCCACGGTCAGCGTGTTGGAGTAACTGGCCGAGGCGGTGAGTTGCGTTCATTACCGAATGACTCGATCTTATCATATTGACAGGTTTCCGTCGCCCTGTTGATCTGTACTTGAAGCAACGATAGAACAAGATCTTGTTTGTCCCAAATCGAAAACTGCCCTTGCAGTGCTGCCACAACAATGGTGTGCATCATTCTTTACATTCACGAGTCACGTAAATCCACGGTGTCAATGGTTCGTTTGAAACTCGGGTCCCGACATGCTGTATTGTGTTTGTTTGTCTGATGACACGAAAATTTTATGCTAGTGCGCCTTTGAATATTATTTTTTTACACCGCTTTCCTACGAATGGTACCACGCTGATTTCATGCATAGATTGCGTACAAGTTCATTGTATCACCGAAGAAGCCCCGAGCGAATTGTGTGGATAGTTACTTGAGTCACTAGTTTCGCGGAGAACTGTGGGTGGCTGTGCATCCCGGGCAAGAAACGCACTCCCGAGCTAGGTAGCGGGATCGCACTTATCGCACAGGAAGAGCAAAGAAGATCCACTAAGCGTAAGGTCAGTACTGGTGTGTAGTACAAGCTTCATTTCCGGTACCTTCAAGCTAGTACAGTTGATGGCTGTGCATGGGTCCGGATGGGACATTCGTACCCCCGACCGAGAGTGCGGAGTCTGTGCTCGTAAGAGCACCGCATCGCTCGGTTTGCCAAGGTTTTGTATTCCGTTCAATCCGTAGGTTAGAACTCTGCTGCGGAAAAGTCGTGAACATGTAAATTTTTATCACCTCACTGGTGTAGTCGGTCAGGAGCTCTCTGAGAGGTATGCGCCGTATTTTCCCCTTACCTCTCAAAATACTGATGAGTCATCAGTTGTCCTAACCTTGTGTATGATCCAATTCTCACGCCAGAGAAGGATCCATGATCGAGAAATCGTCTTGAACTCTGCTTTGGCGCTTTTCATCGGCGGTAGAAGGATTCGGGCGCCTCCTCAAGCGCTCAGTGCCGTCTGCCGAAGTTTCTAACAATTGAACCCGACGATTTCTTGCGGTTATAATGATCCGGCCCATCCGTGAAATATTTTTGATTAAAGATTAGATCGTGCAAAAGACTCAAAAATAACCCAGTCGATTTCAATTATTGTTGCCTGATTCGGACGGGGTCAAGAAGGCTATATGTATAAGTAGTGAGGATGTGTGCCGAGCAGTCATCCGTAGTCATCCGTCTCCCCACTCCAAGCATGACTAGATCCAGCAGACACGCACCCACTGGCAGGAGTCGCAAGATGCTCTTGCAGCGTCACTACCGCTGGAATGAAGCGGAAGACTTTTTGCAATTGCGACAGCTCATCAGAGCTATAACGCGGGAGGATCCTCACAAACGCCACGATATTCTGATAAAAGGTTGGTAGCTTAATATAAACTCCAGAGATTGAAGGGTTTTTGCTGACTCGAGAGAAGCTGCCAATACTATAAGGCAGCTTTTTGCAGATTACCATTCACTTCTTGCCGAACAGGCAGCTTCAACTTCGGCTTCGACTAGCACTGCTGGTAGTAACACTGGTTCTCCCATGCAATACCCTGCCTCGGTCCATCCAGGTGAGTTAGCTATTGGGCGTCGTTAGAATCTTGCTGATGATGAGCTAGTGCCATATGGTCCTACTGAGGGTTGGCTAGTGAACTATGACCTCCCGATGCCTACGCATCCAGATGTACCAGTGTTTTCTTCGCCAGATATAACACACGGCGACACGCACTTATATCCGAATTATGCTGCCACGAATTTGTCGAATATGGATGACTGGGATATCCCATCTAACTACCAGTCTGGATAATTCATCAGAATATATTGTATACTTCATAGTAGTGATAGCCTAACTTATTAGATATCCTGGCTTTGCATACTACCTGTACTAAAAGATGACTAGATCTATGATCATATCGGCTCGTTCTTATTGGTTAATTCGAGATCGATCGTAGTGAACTACGACGAGCTGCAGCGCTGAGGCGCAGGCGATCGCGGACTTCCAAACCAAATGCCACAGGCTTGGCATACGCACACAAGCCTAATCACTCCGATCATCCCCTTTGTCACAAAGATACTACGGTCACAGCTTGGTGATAAAGCAACGTGTAGTGGTGGAGCACAAAATGCAAGCGTCCCGTCTTCATCTTGAGTTATACCAAATGCGGCTTGTTCATATCGACTCGGACTTGATCGTGACTTTTTTAGATTTCAACCATTTCTACTAGCTGTAAATGCAGGTACAAATAACACAGAATAAACTTGGCCACGCTGATCGGGCTCACAAGCGGAAAATAATAGTAAGGCCGATGAGAACATTATTGCATGAGCGCCTCCGGAAATGTGCGTGCGCGTCAGATAATAGACGGTGAGTCTGTTGTGCTGTGGCCCAGAATCCGATCATCATTTGTCTGGGTGCCTCTTAGGACGTATTTGCAACCACTGACATGACACTGACGTCACTGTTTGTGTGGTAACAGATCCGGCGGACCTGCATGAGTTCAGGACGCCAATGTGATAATTTTGGGATGCTCGAATTCAAAATTTCCATATGGGTCCACCGCTCGATGGCTTGCATCAATACTTATCTCTCTCATACGCCCCCTTGCAACAGACTCATCAGCTTGTTGCTTGAGACCAGAAAGTTACCAGGGCATACTACAAGGCTAGCCCTCACATTTCCACTGGGGCGATGCTAATGTGGTGGCGTACGTCAGGTTTCTCCCGACTTCAACTCGAAGAAATAACAACAACAAGAACGGGGGTTGTTGTCATATATACGATCATTCTAATCATGCGATTCAAGATCGTACCAACGACGACTCGTTACCACCGCGTGTGAGACCATCATCAATCTGGGTTTTTGGAATCGACTTTCTCCAGCCCGAGGCCCATTGAAAATTGCACCTTACCGGATATAGGCTCGTGATGGAGATGTTGTGATATGAATTACTGTGTCAGGTTGTGCTCCATAACCTCCGCAAAGTTCGCATTGCATCACATTTTCGTGTCGAACCATGCACCAATCATGTATCACAAAGTACAAATTCCGTATCGTAAGGTGTAAACTATGCATCGCAAATCGACAAGCTTTGCATCACCGAGCACACCTTTTCGTCTCGCAAAGTTCGCGATATATTATTTCCTTGACGTCGACAATAATGCAAGCTACGAAGCTTGTGTAGCACCAAACTTGAAAAGCTACATACATTGTTGGGGCCAAATTTATCTCGCCTCGCCTTTCTTACTACACAGTGCCAATTCAGACCTCTGAGTTGACGGCCCCGCTAGTCTCCTCCGCCTATTTTTTTAACAAGGTATGATTACGCTGGGTCACCGTATGAGTTTGACAGTGAGATGCTGGGAGGCCTGAGGTATCATTAAAATTTATACGACCGCAAACATAAGCCGACACCTGTTACATTGTAACATTCGAACACCCCAATATCATTTTCTGGAAAATTCAAATCCAGCCTAGCACAGGTACACCCGTGGATCGACTCGAACACGTACCTGTATCTGCACTAACCCGCGGTGTGGCATTTACCCGCGGGTACACATACAAAAGATAGTAACACTACGTAGGTCTTGAAACCATGACAGGAAGGCATCATTTCCTGAAAAATTCGAATCTGATTGGCCTATCTAGCTCGGAACTAGCCGTCATGAATGCAGCTAGTGTGAGGACGAGTGCGGTGCTACTAACAATTTGAATAGAGAGCCAAGTACTCTCGAGTTGAACCGCATTCGACGAGCGAAGCGCACACTGTGACTGGACTCTGGAGTCAAGGCCTTGAAATGAATGTAATCACGAGACTCACTAGTCACGTGCAAGGCAACACCGTTCGAACTGCTTTTCCTTTTGCTTTTTGGGGCTCCAGTCCAATGTGTACACCCGTACCATGGCGAGTGCGGTGTGGCTTCAGCGACCCGCGGGTTCGCTTGTGCTTAACCCAGTGTCCGCAACTTGCCATGTCCATATCAATGGGCGCTGGGTCACAGTAATAATCCAGTTGAAATCCCTACCGATTATTCAAACCAGGCCACACGTCGCCAGCGCTGGCCGTTCTCATCAAATATAACCTTTCTTACAGGTAAGCAGCCCTAGACCTAGAACCGCCAAGGGTGGCAACCTCGGACTTGTTCTGCTGCTGCCTTCCAGCGTCTCATCATAAAGCTATGGACGCCTTGCAGTATGCTATCATCAAAGAGCATCGATCATTATGCATGGTGATGCATCTGGAGTCATGGGTGGGTGAAATGGACAGTTATTTGTCTCATCTTGTGCTTCATATTGCGTAGTACTGATTGATTTGAAGCCTGGCAGTTGTGTGGCTACCATGACATTTCGCCTGTCAACGCCCACAAACCTTCGATCTTTCTTTCTCTGTTAATACTATGTTCTTCATTCTGTAAGTTACCCTCCGCTTACTTATCAACTCAGCGTGCGTTATATGGCGGGCTTGTACAGGATCTATAAAAAAAAGTGGAGTCAGCCGACACAAGCCGAAACCTGTTCTGAACATGTGACTGCATTTAGTGTATCAGAAACGCTTATCTTGGTTTACATTTTACTTCTGTTCCACTAATCACGTTGTCAATCACCAGCACCGTAAGCTCACCATACATAGACAGGCGGTGTTGATCCCCAGTGAAAACCCACTATGGCGTGGCACGATGGGATCTGATTATTTTCTGATTGTAACATCGTTGATAGGGTGAAATAGGGTAGATTATGAAAAGCAAATTGTAGCCACATTGTTTAGCGTCGTTCCTTGCGTCACTTTGCATCGTCCTTACATTACAGTTTGTCGTTTTGCATCGTTTCTTCCGATCCTTCAGAGCTTCGCATCATATCGCGCGCACATTGCATTGTATTTGCAGAACTCTCACACAATGTGTGATGGTGTGGCATGACATCATCATTAACATTGTATTTGAGTCGTACGACTTAGTCATTTTCATCTTATCTTCTTACTACTACAATGTCGTCTCCCTCTGTACTATCATCATTTTTTATGGAGTCTCCCCACGCCAATTTTTTTGTCTCCCAAGGCCATACGTGTAAGTGGTATTGTTATCATTCATAAACAGGCTTGATTTTTTTAACAGGAATCGAAAGGGTGGGTATATGCGTTCGAAGAGCACACATGGGCACCCGCCAGTTCCACCCGAGTCATTGGAGGGTCTCTGGCATCTTTTCTTCGCCAAAGGCTGTCAGTGTGAGTCTTCTTGCTCTCATCTTTTGGCCTGCTTACTGGACGCTGATGGTGCTCTGCTCTGGTCATGGCATGCTCTCAGACGGTGCGTGATCTCGTCTTCCGAGCCTTCTTAGCGAACACTGACTCTCTACTTAGCGTTCCCCCATATTTCACTCTATCTTCGATGGATTCACGCACACATTGTTTCCTATATTCTTTACAGTGACCCGTTAATATCCGCAGGGAAACGGGTACAGGTGCGAGTACGACTGCCCACACCCATAGGTTTACCCATCTGGACGTTCCAGCTGCTATGCGCCCTGCACCTGCCTGTATGCTGCCGCAATACCTAGTACTACTCATGTCATACACTGTCGTAGCATGTCGTTTCTCGTCATATCAATCCATGTATTCTACTGTACTAAATTATATGGTGTTATATGATTTTATCTGAAAATTGAACGAAAAACTTATGTCGTCGTCGGAGATCGTGCCCCATCATGCAATATATGTGATTCCTACCGACGTCATATGTCTGTCTCTGATTTTTTACGTAGGTGAGAAAAAAAAAAACATATCACGCCCGTTCTCATCGTGCCACACCATAGTGGGGTTGATCCCCGACACCACTATTTGGGTAACGTTTAGAATATTCTAGATATGCGTTCCAAACCCGTACCGCTCGCACAAAGTCTACCAACTTGGCCGAACCTCCAAAGTTAAGGTTTAGAACAAAATATATGTAGAATTTGCGGGAAGTTAGCCATTTAGTGGTTTTTAGGTTCTATAGAAAATAAATGTCATGTTTGTCAAATCATGCGTGAAAAACCGATTCCGGTTGCCGACTCATGATATCGATGTGTCAGAACTTTACTGTCAGCCATGATCCGACCGTTGTCCGACCGCTTGAACACTACGATAATACGAGCAGGCTGCTGGCTCGACTTCTTATTCAAAAGTTGTTATCAACTCACATGATATTGCTTGACCGTCGTTGTGCGCTATCTTCTGCAGAGGCCGTCCCACACCTGAAACGTAGGGCGCATATGGCACCCTCCTAGCCTCCACCACGAAATACTCAGCCATTTCGAAAGTATCTGCATATGCTCCCGTGACTGTTGTGTCGCAAGCCAGGTGACGCATTGAGCTTGGAAGGAAGCTGTGCTGCGTGCGTGCTTCGACGTTCGCACAAGTGGTGGACCCACGTGGAGAAGGAAATCAAAATCATCGAGGCTGTTCTGTGGGGCGGCTTAGGCGAGGACGGGATCATGCGTGAGTGTTTTTGCTGAGACATGAATCATAATACTAATCGTAGGTAGCAATCTTGGCCGCCTTTGCCAATGTCACGGGCTACAACAGGTACTACTCAGCAGACGAAGATGTTGACTGCATTGTTCGCCGTGTATGTGGTGATTGAGCCTGGAACGTGTCAGGCGGTGCGAAAGGTCTACTGTTGTGTCTTTAAACATAACCTGGAATACAGGACTGTGAGCAGCGCTGGGGTCCAACATGAAGAAGACATGGGGGAGCCCGAAGTAGCCATAGTAGTTCTGAATCTCGTTGCGCAACGACGGTTTGAATACCTGAGAGCCAGATATACGAGCAGACGACGTGGTCACTTGCCGCAGAAGCTTCATCACATTCTGCTCTTCAGGAGGTTGGACAACTTCAAGTTGCTCTCCCGTTCAAGGCAAGACGTTGCAGCACCTCCGAAGAGACACTTATTAATCGACGAGCAATTGTGTTGAAGCTGGCCTTCCTGACCGTGGAAACAATAAGCACTAGGTAGAAACTGGGCCAAATACAATCGCCGTCGAATTTCACATGCCAGATAATCGAAGGTACCGGGGGCTGGCGTGGCTGAGTGCCGTTGCATCTAGTAGTTGGGGTCGCATCCTCGCTTTGTGCCAGGATTCCCAGGAAGATTTTCATTGGCATTAATGATACGTTGACGGATCTGTGACCCTTTGTCATAAGCTAAGACCTGCCAGGATATTATGTACTCGAGCTCAGCCCAGTCTAGTGCTGCCACTCGTGGAACCTCTGGAACGATGACATCAGCCTCGTTGACATCTCTTTCGCTAGCGAGTAGAACAGTACTCAATTGACAACATCGCTCACGCAACAAGTCCCGAACTTTGGACACCGAATTTCTTTGGGATCAGCAGTTGTAGAACACACACTTGTTTCATAACTCTCGAAACACGCAGCTGTTTCGCGGAGACGATGATTGAGAGTTTTATCCAGACATGAGTCCACACTTGGACCGCCATTTAATTTCGCCTATGGACAGTTCCCAATTTATATTCATTTTAAATGAGATCACCACGCACATTATAAACATTTGAGCGAGAATATTGCCGCGACGGTCATTTACGATTCCGCTGACGGGGTGTCACTGTTAGTTTCCTCGCAGTCCGTTAAGTCATTCTTCTTCACTCGCATGTGTTTCCCCACCGATACATTTCCCGCTACGTCGTTCGCATTCGCATTGCATGCGAGCATCCGAATCAACACGTTGAGTGTCGCATAAACTTCGGGATGTTCCCGAAAGAACGTATACACAGGTTGTGCCCCCCACCCTACGGAATATCCACGACCAGATTGTACGTTTTATGCAACCGACCTGTCGCGGCGATGAGGTCTTGCCCGCCCTGATTTAGGCTGTGGTGGGCCTAGTGGCAAAAATGAAGGCAGGGTAACTTGATCATCGTTATCTAACAATGATAGAAAAACCAGGATGACAGGGTCTTGGTCTTGGCCGAACGATTGCAAACGGGACGCACAAGGTTCATGGAGGTGATAAGAAGATCGACGGAAACATCATGAATGACACCTTTCCGCGGAATTAACCGAGAGCTATATAGCACGTTTTAAGGTTGGGAGAGTCAGTAGTGAGAAATTAAATGACAAAACTCTGGCCTCACTCTCAGGGAAGTGGTCAACTTTCGACTCATCCCCGAGTTCACAGGACTGACTGGTACTTGCAAGTTTCTTTCCAAATGAGGCGTCATTCCATTCCTCTAACAGCATCGTACATCATTCATTAATTGCACCTGCTATCTTTCCCTGCGATATTGGCACGTTCTCATGTCCGAGTTGTGGACTCAGTGCTGTGTGTTAAACGAAGGATTGGCTGTTCCTTCTTTACGGTCTAACAAGGGCAAAGATTTCTCAGTGTCAGGTACTGAGGTACGAGTCCTAGTACTGCCAGCCATCGATCACTTATATGACGTCGGTCTTGTATTTTCTGACAAAACAAGTCTTGGCCCGACTCTTGGGTCCATCAATTAAGCTCCGTTACTAGGCTCTGGCGCTCCAACGCGCAATGCTCAACAAAGGGACTGTACTGTGGTGCGCATTTTCTGTACGAACACCTATCAATCATCTTGCAAGCCTATCGTTGGCTCATACTCTACCGTGGCAAGCCATGGACACTGGAGCCAGGTATATAAAGGCCAGCTTTGCTACTAGTTTACACAACACAGGAACGCGATGCGGAGATCTGTTTACGCGAGTTCTCACTGCCATACGTGCGTTTGGACGAATGTCGAAGTCCGCTCGCTTGGATGTGAATACCATCAAGCACATGTCCCCGAAATGTGGCAGCTATTCTTGACGATCATCAAGAGACATCTCCAGCAGGGTCGACGTGATACCCGCAACCACGTAGTATGTCAAGCACGCATGTGTTCACCTGCCATCATACCGCATGCAGCCCTGTGTAGGTGCGTAACTTAACGATTCTGTTGGACAACAAGTGGCTGTCTGCTCTGTTTGTTCTTTATAGCTGATTCGAGTATCATTTTTTTTGCTTTACTTCTCTGTCCTCCATGGCTCTGCTCTGACAGCCCTTTGTACGCTTTTAGCGTGTGCTATCTAATCCATCTTGGTCTTTAATATCTGTCAAGTGCTGTAAACTGTCTATCATGTCAGCCACCGAGCCACCTAGCGCTGAATTTCATTTGACCAAGTCATCTGTCGGCAGCACTGTTCAACCTCTTTGGTCCGCGCCATCCCTAAGGCACGTCTCGCTTAATTGAATGTGTGTGTGTGGGAAGCGCATGATGTATTTCGATACACTAACGTTATGGTATAGGTCACGAGGTCTTGTTTGGAACAAGGCAAAGTCTTGGTGGGGCAAAGTGACGGTTCTCGCTAATAGTAGCTTCGGCTAAGAGCATTTTCCCCCTTGTGGACGACGAGTACCACGAGGTGGCGGATTTTGATCACGTAGCCAAAAAAAATTCACTACCGAGATCATGTCGAGGGTACAAAAAATTGCTTTGGAGTGTTCCATGACCTGTGAAACATGAAGAGCGCAAAAAGTGGTGTGCTGGAGGAGCTACACACAGAAAAACACCCTTGACGATAACAAGTTGCTATTAGTGATTCATGTGTATAATCATGTACGTTAGATAATAATTGACACACACTATGTACATGTAATGAGATGAAAAAACGCGCTGCCATGATTGGCAACTCCCTCCGCTATCGATCACTGCTTGCCTTCACATTTCCGCTTCCCTCAGCATTAGCGCCCTCTTCAGCGCTCACCATACTTGTATCATCTGGTTGCGGTTTCGTCCGCGCCGTCGTCGTCTGCGAGGTTGAAGTCATAGTGTACGTGCTTATGGGGAACTGCGTCCAGATGACAGTCGAGAATATTCCGGGCGATGTCAAAGATCGGTCAAGATCACAATTCTCTTTCAACAATACGCGGTATGCACAGGTGACAATCACCAGGACGTTGCAGACAATAAGACTGACCGCAGCCTAAACAACTATCAGACATTTCTGAGGGATGCGATGAATGGAGGTTGCCTACCCTGACATGCGCGAAGATGAGCGCAGTGCCGAATAACATTGTGGGATAAAAGAGCACTACAGAGAGAGGGATGGTCAAGGCAGTGATTAGAATCGAAGTGCCGAATGAGGATAGGACCAATATTTTTCTGCTACGCGAGAGCCCTACATTTTTCCAGAGTTGTAGTGGCACAGCGACGAGAGCACAATCCGCAATAACGTCCGCTATGGAAGTCAATGTCTTGAGGACGATACAACCATTAAATGAAAAAAGAGACACTGACTGATCAGTTGCGAGAGGGCCACAGAATCAGACATTTGGCACGCGTCGAATATGCATATGTTGATCTTCTGAACCAGCAGTGCGATCCACATGCATAGAAATGATAATGCAATGAGATAAGAGATCCATTTGTGGACTTTACAGCCTGAATGGTTGGAAATTCTGATGATGGAAAAAATCATACTCATGCGTGCCGCCCTGGACAAGTCAGTCAGCACTGGTACGTGATGAATAAGTTGTCGTGTGCACCACAAAACGGAGGTGAAAGCCACTGCGAGGATCCAGGATGGTACTGATATATATGTGAGGCAAATCTTGGAGGGAAAAGTCAAGTAGTGACTAACATTTTGGCGAGGGATAGACCCAGATGCATGCCAGGCAGAGAACTGGGGTCAACAACAGTGGTTAGTTTACCGAATAAAGCAGCATGCAAGAAGAGTTTTACCGTCTGAGATCAGCGAAAGTGCTGCCCATGCATCTTCCCACCAGATGTGATGCGTCCAACCTCTGTAAACAAGCCTGAAGATGGTACACGCTATAGCAATACCGTGGGATACACCTCCCGTGACTTCCAAGGGATACTAATAAACAGAAGAACACAGCGTGATAACTTTTTCAACTCACCGACCAGTCTAGTGGAGGTATATGATGATTCCATATTTATCTGATAGAACAGGGATAAGTGTGAGTTTTATATGCAAGCGTTAGAGGTCAACCATATATGCGACACGGAAGCATTCCTTGTGGACGTTTATCTGATTATCAGGATTCAAGATCGCCCACGGCATTTCTAGTCAGTGATGACAACTTGCAGGGCCACCAAGACCGACCAATTCGCATGGTCTCACAAGATGTAAGGTGCCTGTTACGATGCCATGTCAATCAGTCCTCGTCTCATATGCTTATCCCCCGCATGAACATATGCTGACCATGCGAAGAGAGGCATACTTCTCTTCAGCTTGTTGATCAAAGGGTCACAAGATGAAGCCATCGTCGTAATTGCATACGGATATGATAAGACGTAGTGGACAAAAAGGTCGTGCCATCAAGGGGTAGGCTATCGTCACGCATAAGCTACCCTGGCCTTGGGAGGCTCGGGTGTATATGGCCGTTTTTTCGAGCCTGCGTTGATCGTCCTCTTATCCCAATTCACTCGACGGTCGAGTGACAAGAAGTTTGCGAGTCCAGGTGAATGTTCGTATCCCTGAACCAGCATGTCAGCTGTCATTGACTCACTGGCAAGTGGAAACTTAGTACTCAGTCCATTGTTGGGATCATTACTGATAAAACCGGGAAAGCCTCGTTGGCGGAACCTTGTTGAACAGAGGTCAAAAATCAGTCTCGTCTACAAACAAAGTTCTTCGCTTACAAGTCCAAGCTATATAGCTATAATATTGAATTCTGTATATGTAGATTAAATAGAGATTGTCCCTGTACATGTGCTTCCGACAAGCAAAAAGGATAAAAATACCCGAAAAAACTGGCTGCAGTGACTGTGCTTGGGGTGTTACAACACAATTGCATCACCAGGTAGCGAGATGCTGACAGCCGGGGAACACACTAGTGAAAGAAAGATGCCAAGTCCAATTCATATTCTCTCGTACATGCAGATGTATGCCTTGCTCTTTAAGACTTCGTCCAAAGAGGATAGCCGCACAGTGGTATCACTGATATATGCCCAGTCTCGATGCGGTCGATCTGTGTGAGTTAAGCCCTCAGATTCAGTTCCCGATAACGTCGACTGTTTATCATCCTTCGTGGCTGAAGGGAGGGCAGTGTACGAAATGTAATGACCGCCGAGCTATGGATTCAGTAATGAGATATAGACTCCCTGGTCGATGACAGTCGAGATATGATTCTCACCATATTCCCCATATGTACGACTACGGCATATAACCTATACATACACCGCTCAGAACGTTTGCTCCGACCGCGAACATGCCCTGGCTTGGCATCTGCGTACTCTTCCCGTTTGGGTGCCAAGTAGGGCGCAATGTCGAGATATTCTGGAAATGACACATAATCCTCGAGCTTCTTGAAACTGGAGGAAAAAGACATAATAGGAACTTTTGACATTTGCTGGAAGCGTTTCAGATGAATGACGAGAACTGGCGGAGGCGTGGCAATGAGGTAGCGTTTGTATGCTGCTCGCATGATCACTTTCTTGGACGGAGGCACACCCGTGGAATCAGGAACTTTGGAAAGTGGCTGTAGTGGTACGCGAGGTGTTGGAGAGACTGTGAGGTTCTCTTGAGAGACGTTTGGTGATACTGCCGGTGATACAGCAGTGGAGGAAAAGTCCGAGTAAGCAGATAAATTAGCAGACACCCCACTTTCCTCATCAGAACAGTCTTCGCTCTCCGTTGCGTTAGCAGGGTGTTTCTCCTTGTCATGCTTTGATGTGTGAGCGTGCAAAGAAGAAGCCTGGGATGTATCAGTTGGTGACCTCGTAGTACTGGGTCTGGCCGTCTTGATAGACATCGGTGACTCCGGAGCGGTAGTAGATATCGATGGGATAGGAAGGCCGCCGTAGGTTGCAGGACGAGGCGTTGATGTAGAGGGTAAATGATCATCGTTCGACAGCTCCAAGGAGAGTGGTAAAGATTTAAGAGAATGGGAACCATTAGAGGTATCAAGAGTTGCGTCACCCGAGGATGATCTTAGGGTATCATGGCTATTGGGGGTATCATACAAGGAGGTGGCAGAACTTGAGGGAGATGTTGACAACCTGGGAAGATCAGAAGTATTAAGCATCGGTGTGTGATTCCCATTGGGGTGTCGCGTATGGATGGGCTGATTTTCATCGTCTGAGCTCTCGTTTTCAGCATCGCTGTCAGTGCAGGAATCGGACTCTTGATTCTGGCCGCGCGACCTAGGTTCGTAAACGCCATTGGCGATCTTCCAACAACGATGACATTTGACCATGTTCTCCCCGTCGAGAACCTCGACCGAGGTAAATAATCTCAAGCAATCTTCTAGACCGCCTAGCTGAGGGATCTTCAAAAACATATTCTGAACGGTGGAAGGACCCGTACTAGACTGGTCCTTCGTCTGCTTGAAGATGGAAAACGGACTTGCAGCTCCTCCTGGACTAACATCGGCCAGGATGTCGCGAAGATAAGCTGCTTCTTCAGCACTCAATTTTGGGGGCCTGGGAACTTTTGAACGTTTGCTTGTGATGGAGTGAGCAGGTTGTCGGGGGGAGAGAGGAAATCGGGGTGCGGAAGAGAATGAAGGTGAAGGTGACGACTTTTGCACCGGCGACCATGACCGCTTAACTGCTGCTAGTTGCGCCTGCAGTAGATCGTTGACAGCACTAGAGATGTCGGCTCTCGTTCAGCATTCACGTCAGGAGAGTCGATAGGCTGGACGGTGGGTACTGTAGCGCGAAGATATGGGGATGGAGGGTATAATTCGTCGTCCTTTGCGTTACGTTGGTGCGAAGCGTCATTTCTAGCTTTCTTCTGTTCTTTCGAGCGACGTCGATCCTCCCTAGATTGCTTGGTGAGCCCAACTGATACACTAATCCTTCGCCCAAGCTTTGACCAGCTTTCCGACTTCTCCCTTTTCTCGCGACCATTGCCTAAAGAAGGCTCGCTAATCTCTATGTGTTCGCGTCCCTTGGGTGGGGCTTCAGCTTCTGGAGCCCCGTCGCTACGTAAGTCGGGGGTTACAGCAGGCGAATTGTCAAATTCTGGTGGATGGTGAAGGGCAGTGTCGGGCTGATGTTCAATGTGTAGTTCGGGTTGAGACAGTGATAGGCCTGTTGCGATAGTAATTTCGTTATTGGGTTCGTGGTCCGTATGTTTGTCCACCACAGCAGCCACCTCGACATCCGCCAAATCAATGCTACGTCGTCTATGAGGATCTACGACTTCTGTGTTCTCCATCGAATCTCTATGCGGAGTAGCTGGGACTGAAGAAGAACGTTGGACAGGAATGACGCTAAGGGCCGTCCCGGATATATTGCGCAGTTTCTTGGCGAGCTGCTTCAGCTTGTCCCGTTTACGTTCGCGAGCATAGTCCTCAGCCTTGATGCTTAAGCTGAGGTCGTTGAAGTCCTCATACGTATGGGAAACATGTTTGCAAGCCTGACACACCAGGATGCTGGCTAACCTACCCCCGAAAAGCATATCAACAAATGGCGCTAACGTCTCTTCCTCTGGGGGAGATGGATCAGCATCTGGTGCGCTGGCGATTTGTCCCAGTGGGGATTGGCCAATATGCACACGTTCAGGAGTGTCTGTTTTCAGCGATGCATGTGCCTTTGCAGAAGAGTATTTTTTCTTTTTATGTTTGATAGAAGGTCGTCGCTTTTTTATGATCTACGATACGTCAACAAGCGAACATGCAATATAATCTTACTTCACTCACGTCAACCTCCTCCATCTGCATTGCATCAAGTAGATGTCTAAGAAATTCGTGCGCATCTTGCTGGCGAAAGTCTAGATATTGATCGTATTTCTGGCCAACGGACGCTAAAAGTTCTCTAACATCAAGCGATGAGCAATGATTGTGGTTTAAGCGGACCAACGCTTACTTTGGCTTCAGGTAATTTCTTTGCCGGTCATCTTGCATGGCCCACGCCTGCCGCAAGAGTGTCACAAACAAATCTCCAATGGGTAATCCGGGAGTCCAAGGCTGCTCATAATGACCTGCTAGACCATGTCCATTTGTCAACTCAGGTGATCGGTGGGATGCCACTGGAATTGATGCAGACAGCTGGACTGCGGGAGGGATATCTTGGAATAAGACAAGACGAGATAGATGTTGTGTAGCGATCAGCTATGGAGGAAGTTATTAAAATATGTTCATCGTTCAATGAAACAGACGGCAAAACGAACTCACACCCTGCAACACAGAGTTCATGAAACAAGTATTACCGTGGTTTAACAATCCCGGCGGCAGTAGCGCGTTCTTCTCTCGTTCTTCTCGCGCTTTCCGTGCTCGGTAGATTTCCTGAGGAGTGAGAGACTTTTGCTTCGCCATTATAGACGAGTTCTAGTTGTGACCCGATGACAATTACTGTGAAGTCCAGTACGCTGATAATATCGACTAGAGAGTTGCGCTAAGGGATAACTTGGCGGAAATAAGAATCCTCTTGTAAAATGAAAAGGCCGAATAGATCAGGTCAAGTAGCGCTGCGCCGTAGGTGTCCTTAGATCGCGGCGCCGGCCATCAATGCATAACGATACTGCGTACCGTCAATAATGCTGACACGTAATCATTGAAATCCATCTGTATTTGGCAAGTGAACCCCTCAAAAAGAGGTCGACTCATCTAATGTCTACCTCACGCAGCTAATAGTCATTTAAAGCACTCTGCAGTTGTCGAAGGAGTGTCCCGTTCTCCTCGGCAGTCCCGACAGTGATTCTCAAACATCCATCACATCCAGCCTCTTTTCCCCTGAACCTCACTACAACTCCTTTGTTCTCGGCGAGCTCCGTATAAACCGCGTTTGCCCGAGCGTTGTCAGGAAGTCTGGTTTCTTTATTGAGGATAGGAACCAACAAGAAGTTTGCATCATTGCCGCCAATAACGTCTCCTACACCGAGCGCAGAAAAACTTTCGATAGACTTCTGTAGCTGTTTCCGTGACTCTACGAGCGTTCGACATTTTGACCACATGCTCTGAACTGCCTCTTTGCTCAGCGCAGCGAGCGCTAACTGAGCAGACGGAGTGGAAATGTTATACGGGGCTTTTGTGTTTGTGAGTACTTGAATCAATGGCGGCTGTGCAAGGGCGATACCGAGCCTGAAGGAAATCATTGATGATTCAATACACATACCGATGAACAGGTACCTACCTAATCGCAGCAAGGCCAAAGCTTTTGCTCAAAGTTTGCATTACGCATAGATTTGCATAATCTTCGATTAGGGATACAGCGCTGGCACCCTCGCTGGCAAAATCGATATACGCTTCATCGACAACGACGATCCCTTTGAATGACTCATAGTCCAATATTGCTTTGACAGCTGTCAGACTAATCAAAGTACCCGTAGGGTTCCCCGGGGAGCAGAGGAAAATAAGCTTGATAGAGGGGTCGGCCAGGATGGCCGATTTTATCTACAAGTCGTTGGCCACTTGAGAGACCATGCAAAATGTAACACTTACATGATCAATCAGTAAGCTGAATCGACCGTGATCTCCACCCTCTCCCTCGTTGCCACTCAATTCGAGGTTACAACGGACTATCCCGATATCATTCACTTGCGCGCAAACAGAATACATGCCATAAGTGGGTGGGGTGATCAGAATCTTCTCGTTTACGGGTGCAACGCAAATTCGCATCAAGAGATCAATGACCTCGTCAGATCCGACGCCCAGGAAGACATGGTCCTTCCCCGGTAGCGATCTGAGGGATGCGATACGAGATTTTATCTCATCATGAGACGGATCAGGGTATCGGTTTAAATCTGCGTCTAGAGTCGACGAAAGTTCCTGCTGGATCTGGTTGGACGATCTTGGAATAGAGTGTCCGAGAGCGTTTTCATTTGCATCGAGTAGGATTCCCTTTTGGTAGTCATCGCGTGCACATCGGTAAGGGTGAAGAGCAAGGATATTTGGTCGAATAACTTTTTCGATATCAAAATGCGCAGGTGTTATTAGAGCGGTAGAGGGGGCCAGCCCAAGGATCGGCATGATGAAAAGGTGATATGAAGAGATAAATGCGCTGAAAGAAATCTACGCTGTCGACCGAGTCCGAGTCATTCTGAAGGTTCGGCAAGAATGCCGCAAGATCGAACATAGCATACGTAAATTCCTGCTACCTTTAGGTTTCAATTCCTGTGGATATATAAAGTATTGTTTTTTCACGCCTGTCGTATGTTTTCGCTCACAGTAAGGCAGACCCAATCATCCACGTCCAGCGATCTCAACCGTCAACTGATCACACACCACACCCAGGCTGAGTGCTGTCCGATGCGTCCGATAAAAGGTATAAGTTACGTTCGGTATCGTATAGCCACGATTGATGCCGGGTATTAAGTAGTGCGCTTTCGATAAGGTCTGTCCTATACCTTTTCCAGTCTTCCAATCAGCCATGTTACTGCTGCTGCTGCCTCGCCTACCCATCTCTGACAACACACAGTTCGTCCTCGGTGTTACGGCTTGTCTTGTGGTCGTGGTAGCCATTACTCAGGCTTATCGCCCTAGATCAAAGAATGGCTTTCATCTCCCACCTTCTCCTCCTAATCGGAGACTTATGGGACACTCCCTTCCCCCTCGCAAGTAAGGATCTTCACCTAGTATCGTTCTTGAATGCTAATCATAATCATGTCACATCGGTGCTCAGTCCATTTCTTACTGTAGCAGAATGGATTGATGAATACGGTCCTTTAATTACTATTCGCGCAGCAACTGAGAAAGTCGTTATTATTGGTCGCTACAAAGTTTGTCCCTCTACCCTGAGTTGTGATACCCAGGCTCAACATTTTTCTATAGGCAGTGGTAGACATTATGGAGAAGCAGGGCGGAATGCTGGCTGATCGCCCTCCCATGAATGCTGGACAAATGCTTACCGGTGGATTGTTCATTAGTCTTGCGGGCATTGGGGATAGGTTCCGTCGGATGCGTAGGTTCGTAGTCTGTGTGCCGCGGTATGAAAGTCATTTGACATTGCAACGTGATCCAGAGCCGTTCATACGCATCTCCAACTAAAGCAGCCGAGGCGTATCAGCCTCTGCAGATGTCATTTGCGAAGAACACGGTTCTTAACATTCTTGATGATCCATCCAACTTCCATAACCACGTGTTAAGGTAAGCACTTTTCTAGGTCTGGTATATTACTTTTGCTTACGAATATTTTGAAGTTATGCTGTGATGACGATTTTGAAAGTGGCATATGGAAAGAATACACCGACGTCAGCGACTGACCCCGAAGTCAGAGAGATCCGTCAGTTTATGAATGTATTTACGACAATCGTACGCCCTGGCACTTATTGGGTGGACACGATACCCTGGCTCAGATACCTTCCTTGGTACGGCAGAGAATTAAAAAGAGGGTTTGAGAATTCCCAGAAAGTCTACTCTAGTCATATGAACCGCTTGAAACAAGAATTGGTACGCATCTGTGATCTGCCAGTCTTCGCATGTTATCTCAACTGTCCCGCAGCAGAGTAATGTGGACGTCGGTCATTCGTTCGGGAGATATGTGCTAGAAAATGAACATCTCCTTGGTTTGTCAGAGCTGGAGGCGCATTTTCTTCCTGCCAACATTTTTGCGGCTGGCCTCGACACAGTGAGGCCTGGTTGATCGTTTCCGACAATATGTGGCTGATATCAAGAGTCAGACTGTTGCGACAATATGCACAGTGCTAATGGCAGCTGCATGTTTTCCCGAGGAGCAAGCTAAAGTCCAGGCTGAGCTTGATGAGGTTGTAGGAAGGTACCGTGGTAGGCCTGTAGTATTTTATTGCAGTCCTGGCAGTTCAATGATTTCTTCATAAAAGCACCGACCTTCGCTGACCGACAATCCCTTCCTCTCCTGCACGCCTTCATATCCGAGGCTTTCAGATGGAGACCAGTGACTCCCAATGGTGGATATCTTTATTGTCAGTCCCATACCTGAAGTTCACACCATTCGTACTGCAGGGTTTCCTCACCGAACAACTGAAGACGTGATTTGGGCAAGTTCTCTTGAAGTAATTTGTCGTGTGAATGATAATCTGATGTCCGCTTGGCAGGAAAACTATTGCATTCCCGCCGGAACTACGGTACTCGGTAGCAATTGGTAAATATCGCCCTTCAAACTACGAATGCCTTAACAATTACTTCGTCAGGGCCATCTCGCGAGATTCAGAAGTTTACCCTGACCCTGACGTGTTCAAGCCTCAGCGTTGGATCAATGATCAAGGTGGTTTGAGAGACGATCTCACATTTTTTATCTATGGGTTTGGTCGGCGGTAGGTAGTGTCGTCTTTCGGGATATATTCCCTTTGATCGTCCTTCATTCTAGCGTATGCCCCAGTATACATCTTGCGAACAGGTAAAGATATCCTTCTATGTACATGATCCTCCGAGCTCATTTAGGGCGGTACAGATCGGTGTGGATCAACTCGGCCCTTCTGTTTTGGGCCTTCCAGCTCACTCTAGATCCTACGAAGCCGCTGAATGACATGGGCTTCATGGTGACGCCACATATCCCTTGCCATATTGTGTTCACACCGAGGATTCTAGATGCAGAGATCAGGGGCATCATGGATATTTATCCTGAGGTCAACTCAGATCGAGCAGTCGCTATGTCTGTGTGATATTTCAATATTCAGAATGCTACAAAGTTTGTGTCGTGTAATTGTATGTCGTTTAATATCGTTGATCAATCAGTTTTTCTTTGTTTCGGAGATCGTGTGCAGATATATCACATTCCTACATAGGGAAGGAGCCAAACACGTGCCTTTGAAAGTTGCCTTGAACAATAAATCTAAGAAGGCACTACCCTCTATACTTTGACCAAGCCATCATCGCCAGCAGTGGCCAGCAAATCTGAATGATCTAGGTGAGGGCACCATGAAACAGAATTGATGTCATTGACATTGTGAGCTCCAGATATCCTTGCTAGCAGTTTCGCACTCAGAGGATCCTTGGAATGCTGCATCTCCTGAAAGGGCTTGTCAGTCTTGATGCACCAGAAAATGAGTGAAACATACAGTTATTTCCCAAATATTGATTTTACCTAGCATTTGACCAAGGGGTAGATATCCACTTGAGTGTCTCCAGGGCTCCTTGACTGCCTTACAGTGTTTTGACTCTGTGAGAGAAGAACATAATCCATTGGGAGTGCTGAACTGCTGTATTAGATAACGGTAATGACACAAAGAATGTTGTCGGGGTAGAGAGATTCCATCTGGAGTGATGCCGACATCCTTGAAAATGTGATGCTCCTTGTGAAAGGTATGCAGGGCCTTATCCATGGCATCTAGATCAGACTTGAACAACAGACCAGATAGCAGAAGTCGAGAAAATGATAAAGAGCTCTAAGCACACTTTGGTCACCCCATTTCAGATACCTCTTAGGTTATATTATGCCTATAAGGGTTTTCACCTAGGGGGTGCTTTTTGGATGGTCTGGCCAATGTCTGCTGGTCTTTCCCCAAGTACATAGGGTCCAAAATAAAATATGTTGGACATGGTCCATTGATCAAAATAATTTTTGTGTGGGAAAGACCGCCAGCCAACATTGGACCATACATACATGGTATTTTCCCATGGTGGAGGGGTGTCAGGGGTCCTCTTACCACCCAATTTTTTGCACCAAAAAATGAAAATTTTGGGTGCGTTCTTGGCACCTAATATGCAAGCCAATGGGTCACATAATGATTATAATTACTATTAGATATGTCTATGAAATAGTATTAGAAAACACAAAATGATCATTCATTTACTGCCCCCCACCCACCATCAGCCAAGGATCTCTCCCTTCTGAAAATGATCATTCATTCATGCCCCCCCTCCCTCAGCCCAGGATCTCTCCCCTCTGAAAATGATCACACATTTACCTCACACTGATATGTCTATAAAATCTCCTACACCTATAGAATCATCACTTGGGGATCACACTATTCAGATATTGATCCACCAATGCCTGGTCTCAGCTACTTGCCTACACCTACAGAGTCATGACTTGGGGATTGCACTATTCAGATATTGATGTGCCAGTGCCTGGTCTCAGCTACTCATCTATGCCTACAGAATCATCACTTGGGGATTGCACTATTCAGATATTGATCTGCTAGTGTCTGGTCTCAGCTACTTGCCTACACCTAGTATTATCATGGCTCGGCTATGGTCAGCTCCGGTTTGGCATTTGCTAGTTTGCCAGAAGTTTGGCAATTATCGTGAGCCAAGCCACTGATTAGTGACTTGGTCTGATTTGTAAGCCATGCAAACTGGTTTCAACCAAAAATGTGTGAACCTTGGCTTGAACTGCTTTAAGCTGGCTCAAGCCAGTCCAGGCCAAAATGCAAAAGTGGCAGTTGGGTGGCAGAATATTAATCACTTTCCTCTCAGTTAGTTGATTTCACGTTATTTTCTACTTAGACTATTGTATACATCATGGATAAGGTCCCTACTCGAGTTGATGGAAGGTTTAGGCTGGGAGATGTGTTGGGGTTTGGCTCGTACGGTATGTCATTCCCATATCACTGACTACATGTTGATTCAACATTTGGACTGCATTTAGCTGTTGTGTATCGTGCACGGAATATCATCAAGGATAACTCAGTCACCATCAAGCTTGAACCTATCAACCACTCATCTTCCATGCAGCGTGAATATTGCATTTTGAAAAACCTTGAAGGTGGTATTGGGATTCCCCGTGCCCTTTGGTTTGGTAGGGAGTCGGCATATCACGCTCTAGTTCTTGACCTCCTTGGGCCATCACTGCATCATATCTTCCTTGCCCACAACCAAAAATTTAGCTTTGACACTGTTGTGAATCTAGGAGACCAGCTGGTCAGTCGGTGTGTGTATTGCCATCGCACGTGCAGATCGCTAACCCCATCTCCCAGATTTCATGTCTTGAATATATTCATTTGCATAATTACATCCACAGTGATATCAAACCACAGAATGTTGTGGTGGGCCTTGGCGATTTGAAGCACACTGCCTTTCTCATCGATTTCGGCACCGCAAAGGAATTCTGGAACACATCGACCGGAGTTCATATACCATTTCACCAAGGTCAACATCTTACCAGCACTCCTGCATTTGCATCAATCAATGATCATTTGGGACTTGAACTGGGTCATCATGATGACCTTGAGTCACTCACATACATGTTAATATACTGTTTGCAGGGCTCTCTTCCATGGTTGACCAGTGACCAAGAGAAGCTTTCCAGCTCTTCCATACTTAAGCGCAAAGTCAACACTACCATCAAAGTTTTGTGTCAAGGAATTCCTGTCCAATTTGCAACAATTCTCATTTACACGCTGTCTTAATAACCGAGGGTCTTATATAAAGTCGTGTAAATGTAATGACACCACAATTACACTTTGGATAAGACTGCTTGCCAGTCCTCGATTAACACGGTCTACGACTTTTCCTATTTCGTGGTAGATAACGTGTGAGTTCTTGGGAGGCTCGCTAAACTAATCTTTTTATAAAGATCAACCTAGCCGGAGCTTTACTTTTCTTTATTGAAACTCAAATCTCTTGTCTAGGAATAAGCTTCTAGACACGTAATTCGGTTTCTGGAATGTATTTGCCTAGGAAATCTCCTTCTAGGCTCTGGACTTGGATACTGGAACTAGTGAGACGTGGTCTCAAATATATGAAATATGACCAAGATCGCTTGGTCTATGGACACCTGACTGTGAGACAATGGTCTCAAATATACGATATATGTTCAAGATCGCTTGAACAAAGGGGACTATAACTTGACCAAGATCGCTTGGTCTATGGGACAACTAGTGAGACGTGGTCTCAACAATATGATAGATGACTAAGATCGCTTAGTCAAAGGGCACAGAGCAATGAGACAAAGGGGTCTCAAAGACAATATATATGTGACCAAGAACACTTGGTCTATGGCACTAATAAGTTTCTAAAGTAAGAAACTTATAATCTCAAGGGAATTCTTTTCCCTGCACTTGTCTCACTTCAAAGGGACTAACTTTGCAAGTGAAATATCTGAGAGGCAGATTGCTACAAATGGGAGATCATATTTTTTTTGGGGGGAGAATGGGCTCTCCTTATATACATTTTGTGTGGGAAAGTAACCTAGGTTCACAAACAATAAAAAATAAGGAGGACCAATCAAAATATTGGGTCAAACCCAATAAAAGAATAAAATACAAGTGAAAGATGGAGCTATGACATCATTGTGGAGCAGAACATTCTGGAATGTGGAGTAATGACATCATAATGACATCAAGAGTGACATCATTGTGGAGCAAAAGATTCCAGAACCTTCCATGAGTGAGTCAGAGTGAGTCATTGTGGAGCAGAATATTCTAGAAGGAAATGACATCATGAATGATGTCATTGTAGAGTAGAATAATCTAGAGCTTGATGACATAATATCTTTCAACAGAATACCTGCAGGAGTATCTGTGGAGTCTTATGACATCATAATGACATCATACCCTATGGGTACAATTTTATGAAGTGTCAGGTGAGTCAAAGCATCCTAATGAAAAAGTAAAGTAAAGAAACACTAGAGAAAAGTAGGTAGCAAAAATAAGACAGTTGGCAGGAATTGAAACACAGTCAAAAAAAATAATGCAGTTGTCAGGAATTGAAACACGGTCTTTTTGGATAGGTTTTTTATTGGCTTTGTACTTTTCTCTATGGTTTTCTCTAGCCAAAGTGAATAAGCCAAAGGCAAGGCTATACCTTAACCTTCATTTCCCTTCTCACATCAACTAGGTCTAAATGTGATTCCCATCTCACATTAGACTTTTTCCGTCAAAACGTATTCAGATCATGAAACTTGGGGAAAACTAGAAATATGGACCATGGTTTGAAACCAAGGTATGGGTTGACTAGTCTGAGGACTAAGCTAGCAGACTTTATCTTTTGAGGGTCACCTAGTATTCATGTCCATGCATGATTCCCACATCATGCAGGACAACGCGTGCTCTCGCATTCTCAGAGGACCCTGACTACAACCACATTTGTTCCTTACTTCGTGTACTTCATTCTACATCACCTGCTCCAGCAAGCACACAGCTGGATTTCGGCAAGCCTGATGTGCCTACTACACATCCCCTTCCATGCTATGATGAACCCTGGGAAATAAAGGCAGTGCCTTCAAGTCCATGCCTGCCGCTTTGCAGATCGTCTTGTGTGTCAGTAGTCCATTTTATGGCCTCACTTTTGAACTGACATCATTGCAAGTTTACGCCCACATAATCACCCCTCCCCATTGCGTGCAACTGCCTCAACTCCACGCCGGAAAAAGGCCTAGTTTATATATCATGACACCATTATATAGTGTTACTTGTTACTTGTACATATGACTGTATATGCATACTATGATGACTAATATCAAGATGGTATCTCATTTCTCCAACTCCCATGCTCAACACAACCTCTTATCTTTCAACATGCTGCAGGCAGCAGTGCAACTCAGCAATGAGAGACTCATGGTGACTTTCTGAAGAGTCATTCAGCCTGAAAATGAGGATCTGATTTCTGATTTCCTTGATCATTCAGTTACATGGTCACCCATGGGCCACAGTCACCCACTGTCTGCACAAGGACCTTATCCCATCCATTCTGTTGCGATCTAGAGAGCCTCTGGGCCCTCTGCTGGAGTCAATCGCCTCTAGTAAGTCCCTATCTCAAAATCACATTAGTTTTTTTGCTCCTCAAGGCTCTCACTCATCTGACTTGCATATAGCATTAAAACATCAAGGCTACTTCGCTAGTGTGTTGGCATGCTCTGGGGTTTCCCATGGTGAAAACCTATATAGACGGTAATTCTGACATTAGATCCTTCAGCACCACCATGCCTCCTCGACAGAAGAACACTTCCTGGGTTGCTCCCAAAGCCGCTCCTGCTCCCATTACTGCCACTCCTCTTACTGCCACTCCTGCTGTCGCTCCCATTGCTGCTGCAGCAAATGTGTCTGTGCTTCAAAATCCCCCAAGACGTCATCAGCTTCCTGTTAGATTCAGAGATAATGGTTCAAGTTCCACTGCAGACAAAGGGGAATCCTTTCACCTTGAGAACATCTCCGATGATGAGGAAGACAAAGCGGCCAACCCTCCTGCACTCACAGTAACACCTGTTGTATGCCCTAGTCCACTCCAGACTGCAATGAATACCGCCAGAACTGACCCTCTGGCCACTGGTGGCCGAGCCAAACCACCTAAATCCTCTGCCGACATTCATTTCTTCTACAGACAGGACCCTGTCACTCAGTCTAGAATCTGTAAAGCCTGCAAGTGAGTATTGTATCTGCAGTCTATCATTTTTTCTAACATAATTTGCAAGAGAAATCCACACTCGTGACAATACTCATGCTGTTGTATCATACCTTGCTACTACAGGCACTACAGGTCGTCAGACACACACATTTAATGAGCATACCATCATTTATTTGGAAGAAGCAGAGTGCAACCACTGGCACATCCATGCTTCATCGCATTTGAAGACATTTTTGGATGATGGCTGGATGATCGCGACCTTGCATCAACAGCTCAAGGATCCGGCTTACACCTTGGACTCACTTGGTACTCCCCCAAGTCCTAGCTCACTCACCAGTACCATCCTGTTAGCTCCAGATGATGTACTGCCTAACTTTACCCTGGACAAAATGCACAAACAGATTGTGAGATTTATCATTGCCAATGATCAGGTGAGTTGATGCACACTTTCTACATACTATAGTCAGTAATTGCTTTCAGGCAATCAGTGTTATTGAATGCCCAGAATTTTGCTGCCTGATCCATCTTCTGCGGCCATTGCTCAATGAGACTGATGTCTTTCATTGAACTAAAATACGTGAATTAGTCATTGATGCTTTCCACGAGCACTTCAATGCTTTGAAGAGGGACCTTGCAGTAGGTCCACAGTTGTCAAGAGCCCCGCAAAGCATCTTATATTCTTCAGGCTGCCCTGGGGAAGGTTTCATTCACATCGGACCTCTGGTTGGATTCTAATCTTTGCTCATTCATGGCTGTTACCGCCCACTGGATTGCTAGGGCAGACCATAGTTCAGTCCTTGTCTTGAATGCAGTGTTGATAGCCTTCCATCACATCCCAGGAAGTCACACTGGAGAATTGCTAGCAGAAGTAATATTGCATCTTCTAGATTGTGCCGGTGTGACCAAGAAGGTTAGTGTTTAGTTGTGCCGTGTAGCATGCTCTAACTTTGTTTAGACTGGTCATTTCACCTTGGACAATACCTCCAACAACCAGGTTGCCATGCGGGAGCTGTCACACAAACTCAAGTCCCGGGGGATTGATTTCCCTCCCATTGACCGCAGAATCCTGTGTTTCCCCCACATCATTAACATATGTGTGAAGCACATCATCGAAGAATACCACACAGCTGACTATTTGCTTGTGCCCAACTATTGGGTCATTGGCAATCGCACTATCATAAAAGCAGAGTATCTCAAGGCTGTGTCAGGGAAAGCTATTCTCAGAGCTAGGGACATTGTGTGCACAATTCACGCATCTAACCAGTGACATGATTTTTTCAGGGACACCATCATCACAGGTAATGAGAAGGAGTGGTTTCAAGGTGACTTGGGTGCAAAACTACAGCTCCCTGTTGTCGAACTCCTGCTTGATGAGTCAACTCACTGGGATTCAGTCTATATCATGCTTAACCATTTGCGAACCCTTTGCCAGGTAAGACATCACCCACTAAACATCTGCCATGACTAATAGTTGCCTAGGCAATAGATTTATTCTTTGACTCTCTCACTCAACACTCTATCAGCAAATTCAAACTGAGTTCGATGGAGTGGCAGTTCTTACAGGACGTTGAAGTAATCCTAGAGGTCAGTTTTAGTATATTCAAAATTCATGCTTCATCTGACTGTGTCATATCAGGCGCCCCATGCTGCCCAACAATGCATGTCAGGCAAACGCACTCCCAAGCTGTCCGGTGCATTTCCAGCGTTCGAAATGTTCATCGAGCACTGGAAGCTTTTGGCCCAACATGTCCCACACTGTGACCCTCTTGTCCAGATAGGTTTGGATTAGGCTGATAAGTATGATGAGAGGATGGGTGCCACAAATGCCTATGCAGTTGCTATGTGTGAGTCCATCAATATCTTTTAGTAATGTATGGTTGCCCATGTTTGAGTTCATCAGTCGTTGATCCTAGTATCCAAATGTCGTGGGTTTGGAGTCGTTGGAGGGAACAAATGAATAAAGATGTAGACGAGCATATAATCCATCTGGTACATCTACCATGCAACTTCAAAGGTCAAACTGATATTATCTCATGTAGATGCATCAAAAGCAAGCTGAAAATGGCTCAGCATATGTAGGGCCTTCAGCTAATGAAGTAGTACTTTGAGAACAACCACACATGCTAGGCTCGCGCCTCTACGGACTACCTGACACCAATGTCCTGCCGTGTCATGACAGCATTTCCCAAACAGTTGAGCAAGAGTTTGAGGCCTACGCTATGGCTAATCTTAGCCCCAAGACAACGGACATACTTGTGTTCTGGGAGGTGAGCATCCTGCGTCTCCATATGTTATACCTTTCATCATTGACCATGAGGTGTTGACCAGGTTGCAGAGACATCATTTCCGACAATTTTTGGCATTGCAATGGACCATCTCCCAATACAGGCCTCCGCTGTTCCATGCAAGCGAGTTTTTTTATCTAGTAGTGAAACTGACACAAAGAAACATAATCGCACAAGCCTGGTCCTGATGGAGGCTCTGCAGGTGGTAAAGTTCCTCCTGAAAAAAGAGCGACTCAACTTTACCAAAGGTTGGGCGGCATCACAGAAGGATATGGAGTACAAGACGTTGCGCGAACAACAGGAATTCAACACTGTTTTGACATTAACTAACAGTGGCATTACAGGTGATATATGCAACAATCTTCTCAGAGCTATTGCAGAGGATGAGTGTGATGACATTGATGATTTCCCTACTACCTATAAGCTATGATGTTTGCTTTCCCTACTTATCTCTTGTTTGCCCTATCTTTATGTGTTCTAGCTGCCTAGCTGTTTGCAATAGTGAACTTGTTCATTATTTGCCTTTCCTTGACAGCCTGCACTTCATTTCGACAGGCCAAGTGCTCTCTCGGTCTTTACAAGTACTGGCTAATCACCTCTACTCACACTTTGCAGTGCACCAACACTCATCAAACATTGCAGATGTCCGTCCAAACAGTTTGGACTTCTCAATTTGGCGATCTTTCACCACTTTGCCCATCCGCCTCTCGTAGTCTTCAGACTCACGTTTCTCACCATGAGATGTAGTTCTGAGTGCATGACAAGTTTGGGGCTGGAAATCAAATGTTGAGGTGTGAGTGATAATCTAGTATCTGGCCAAACTGACAGCCAAGGATGTTCTCCCAAGCAACAGCCATCTCGAATTGTTAAAAACTAATGGAAGCAGAAGTTTGGGCGGAAGGCCGGGTGCCTTTCAGAACATATTGGGTATACATACATCAAGGCAGCAGGTTTAATGTACTGGGCACTGACTCTTGTCTTGATGCTTATGATCCACATGATCAACATTGGGAATCAGGTACGGTTGCAGCTTTTGACCCCATACATATCACTGATCGTTTTCCAAGGTGTTCTTGGCCAAATGGGGTGAATCCTATGAGGTCTGGGGCATTCTCAGTACTGGATCACAACTCGTTGGGCTATTACACAATTCTTCAGGCCTCCCACTGGGCATCACTCACAGGAGGGATTTTCCCTGGCCCCCTCATCAAGGCGCAGAAGGTTTGCGAGCATTGTAGGTGCTTTACTCTCTGTTTTACCTTAAGTTCCCTAATACTCTTTGAAGCATTGGCATGGCATCCAACGAAAGAAGTCGAACTGCACAGAGTGAATGGTGTCTTCAAGGCCAAAGAAATGTGATCTGGAGGTGTGGTTCCCATTCCAAGGCACATACAAGGAGCTCCTTTTCTGCTTGAATTGCACGGACGGCATGGACACATGGTTCCCATTCCAAGGCACTTACAATGAACTCGTTTCCTGCTCTAATTACACAGATGGTGGTTCCCATTTCAAGGCGCATACAAAGAACTTGTTTCCTGCTCAAATCACATGGACGGCATGTTCACCTCACCACAAGTTGTCTCGTAGATAGTTTGTATATCCAAATTGCTCAGCTGAGCTATGGATTCAACTACAAGGTGTGTTATTAATCTTCTTACGTTCTCATGCATTCTCAATGTCTCCCCACCTCCTCCAGCTGCTTTGACACCTACACCTACATATGGCCATGGTTATTCCTCGCTGCCACAGCCTGCTTTCCCTCCACCCAACTCTTCCTACATCACACCACCCATCTATCCCCCTATATCATTCTTTGCACCCACCCGCCTCTCCCTCTCAGACTCCGGATGAAGGGCACGTTCCAACTGCACGAAACCAGCCAGACGGAGCACGAGATGTGTCAGTATCTGGAGTGGGAGCTCCATGTGGATCCAGTGACATTTAGGGAGTTTGAGGACATGGTCAAGAAGTATTTGGTATGTCAACAACTTTACCCTTCTCACATTCTTCCCTCATCATCCCAGACAACAACTCCTCCTACCACAAATCCCTTCCTGCCTCCTCCAGCCACTTTGGCATCTACACCTACATATGGTCATTGTTATCCTTCACTGCCAAAGCCTGATTCCCCTCTGCCCAACTCTTCCTACAGCACACCACCCACATTGTTATCATCAGCGGCATCTCCTCCAACACCCCCAAGTATGGAGGACTGCACGGCTCACATCGTTTCAGCTTCCAGGTATCCCAAAATCCCCCACCCAGCTCTTCCTACATCACACCACCCACATTGCTGTCATCAATGGCATCTCCTCCAACACCCCCAGGTATTGAGGACTGTCCGGCTCACATCATTTTAGCTTCGTCTTCACCAGGTATCCCAAAACACGAGCCTGTACGGCTGTACGGGTAAATTTGTTTCTATTATCACCCGCTACCAATTTTCTGTAGTACATTCTCATCATGCATAGTATATTTATTCTCATCCTATCTCACCACTAAAGAAACCACTACATATCGAGAGCATGGACTTGTGTCATTTCAATACAATTATATATAATATTATTATTAAAGCTGGCTTTAAGACCTTAAATGCGGCTCCATAGACTGGACCAAACTACTAATTACATGAGCTATAACTACATACATGGTTTAGCTACCTACAGCTCTGCTCGCGGCTAAAGCTGGCCACAAGCCAGAGCCGCGGCAACACTACCTATGCCTACAGAATCATCACTTGGAGATTGCACTATTCAGATATTGATGTGCCAGTGCCTGGTCTCAGCTACTCGCCTACACCTACAGAATCATCACTTGGGGATCACACTATTCAGATATCAACCATTTGTCCACCAACACCTGGTCTCAGCTACTCGCCTACACCTACAGAGTCATTACTTGGGGATCACACTATTTAGATATCAGCCATTAAGCCACCTGGACCATGGTGAATGAGATAGCCCCACAATCAATTCAGGGAAGGACCACAGGGGATGGGATAGCCCCACAATCAATTCAGGGAAGGACCACGGGGAATGGGATAGGCCTGTAATCAATTAAGGGAAGGACCATCAAGCCTCTGGGCAAGTCTCTGTAGTTGCTGTGAATTCCTTGATATATAAGGCAAGAGTCTAAAAGCGGCTATTCCCCTTCTAGATATTGTTCCGTCCATTTCACTTAATACATATGACCCTCCCTGAGTTCTCCGTTCTACTCTAAAGGGGCCGAGATAGCGGGCTTTTGTCTTCCGATTTAGCTCTTTCTCAATGTGGGTATTACGTACCAATACTAGATCTCCTTGCTGATAAGCCTCTTTTCTTAGCCATATAGCATATCGTCTTTCAAACTGCTCCTTTGACTTGAACCTAGCTTTCTTCAGTGTTTCTGCAGCTTGCTCCAGGTCGTCCAAATGTCTTTCTAACTGGTGTATTCAAAGTGCTAACAAATCAACCAAAGTCATCCCACTTGTAAATCCATCTACCATGAATGTGGCTTCTGCTAAATCGAATGGTAATACTGGGTGCACTCCGTGAACAAGATAGAATGCAGAGAAGCCCGTTACTCGGCTTGTAGTTACCCTATCTGCGAATAAGGTTTGAGGGATCTTCTGGGGCCATTGCGTAATGTTATCGCCACATGCTTTGACTAGTGCTTCTCGCAATGTGAAATGTCCTCTTTCAACTACTCCATTAGCTTGGGAATTGTAGGGTGAAATTGTGACATGCGGGATATTCACTTTTTGCATAAGGGCAGAAAATGTGCCCTGTACCTCAGGTCCATTATCAGTGGTTACCTGTCCTATGGCTCCATACCTACAATAAATATCTTCCCAAAAGACCTTGGTAAGAGCCTTGGCAGTAGGTGCTTTTAATGGTCTTCCTTCTACGTAGCGAGACAAATCATCTCTAGCCAATACAATATACTTATAGCCCTGGGCTGGAGGCATGTGCATAATATCAATGTAGACTTTCACAAAGATAGTGGAAGGAGTAGAAACTATGATAGGAGTGTGCATCTTGGCTGTATTTTGGATTTGACAAGGGTGACATGATTGTACGTGATGCCGTACATCTGAAAATAAGTAAGGCCAGAAGAATCTAAGATGGATGGTCTCCCACGTAGCTGCTTCGCCCCTATGTCCAAGCTCTTCATGTGCCTGATTCAGTATAGTTGCACGCCTTTCCGGATCAAGTACCACTAACAATGGTGGCCTAGCCTGCATTCTTTTATACATTCTTCCATTCTGGACAAAGAACTTGACAGCCTTCTTAAGGAACCTCTTCTTTGCTGAAATACTGTCAAATGACGGAGTTTCCAAGGTTGTAAGGAATTTGAATATATCCATTAGGTTCTTCTCCTGAAAGCTTGTTCCCATGAATACTGAGGAGAAAGGCATCTTCTTTTCATCTAAGGATACTGTAGTTCGAAAGCATGCTTGAGAAGTCCCGGTAAACAGTGCTAACTCATCTAGCCATGAATCATCTTGCGGATCAATACTTTCTCCCTCTCCTAGACCTCGCCTAGACAATGCATCAGGGCCCTTAAATTTTGTTGCAGGTACGTGGATGAGTTTGAAATCAAATAGGAGTATTCCTTGAATCCATCAGTTGATAGCTGCATTTGGCTGAAGGTCTGGTTCATTAAGCATCCCCTTGATGTATTTTGCATCTACTTCCACGTGGAGAACTTTCACTCCTATGATGTATAGGCGGAAATGACGAAGTGCTCGGGAAAGTCCGTATAGCTCTAACTTTGGTTGTGAATAGCGGGATTCTACATCATTAAATGGTAATGATCCATATCGGGCTGGCCGCTTACGTCCATTCTCATCTATTTGCAATAAGATAATTCCTGCTGCCATGTAACTAGAGTCTACTGATAAGATCACTGGTAAGTCTGAACTATAGTCAATTGATCTTAAGGCTGGTGCGGAAGCTACTAACTTCTTCAAAGTCTCAAAGGCTTCCTTCCATCTTTCGTTCCAAACAAATTCTTCATCTTTTTCGCCATAGCTCGCTTAAGGGTTGGGCTAATGTTGAGTACCCAGGAATCCATATTCAAACAGTACCGCAGAGTCCAAGGAATGCTCTGGCCTCTTTAGGGTTTGTTAGGTCTGGCCAGTTAAGGATCTTGTCTACTTTCATCTTATCTGGAATACATCCATCAGGAGTACAAGTCTGTCCTACGATTAGAACTTCTGGGAGACACAGCTGAATCTTAAGGGCTGAAAATGTTGCTCCAGCCTCCTTAACACGGTGCATAATTTGGTGGACATCCAATGCATGCAACCAGATGAATTTTTGTATTCCGGGATTTTCATGTAGAAGAGCAGGGTTACCTTGCTCGTCAGGAAATGTAGTTGTAGGTCCTTTAATAGGAAGATCATCTATAAAAATGTTGGCCTTGTCAGGAATTTCGTCTTGAAGAACAAAGGTCATACACTTTTGGAATTCTGCAGGAGAATTAGTGAACCCTGTAGGAAGCAAGGTGATGCGGAGCAGGCCCAAAGGGGTTAGGAATGCAGTAAAGTCTCTGCTCTTTGGATGTAATTTTTTGGCATCGAATCCCCAAAATAGGTCAAATACTGTATAGCATTGAGCTCCTGCAAAAGGTTCTACGAAATCATCAAGAATAGGGGGTAACCCAGCGTCGCGAATGGTAACCTTATTCAGAGGCTGCAAATCATGGACAATTCTTAACTTCCCATTTTTCTTGACTACACAAAACCATCGTGATCTATATGCTGACTGACTCGCCTCATAGACACCTGCATCTATCTTTAGCTTGAGTACTTCTATGACCTTGCTTCGTATCCCCGGTGGGATAGGTATATTCTTGTATTCCCATGGAATATGTGGAATAGTAGGGATAATGTACAGGGAAAAGTAAGACTCTTTCAGAGTACCTTGGTCAGTGTCTTCAAATGCTAGAGCATCCTGGTGCAGCCACATAATATGTCGAAATAGTCTCTCTTCTTCGGGATACAGAAATCCTTTAGAGTTGATGTTCAAAGCCTCAAGTCTTTCTAAGGTAAGCTTTGTAGTAGGAGTTATATCAGGTGGATTAGGTATTAGGGGTATAAGAGTGTCTAGTGGGTCATATGGAATCTGCCTAACTACTTGGGCTTCTTGAGGAAACACTCCTGGAACAGGCCGTACTTTCTTATCTACGTGCTTATACATTGTCAAGGAGTTGGCACTGTCTAACATGCCTGTTTCTACAGGGTCAGAAGGGGTCCAGAACATTCCTTGAGTATCCTCCTCACTAAAAGTCATTGTCCATATTGAATCTCCTGGCTCAAAGTGATTCCCAATGTCATCGGTCCATACCGTTATGTTGCTTTCTTTATCAATTTGTGATTCTCTTCCGGCTGTTAGGCCATATATGTCATCACTTCCCATCTCATATTCCTCTGATTCAGTGGTGATGTCATCTGTACGTATATAAAATCCTTGATATGGTTCCTTTACTTGGGTTTGCGATAATTGGGGTTCCATTTCCACAGGAAAATCCTTGGCTATGGGTTTCATGACTTATAAGGTTTGGATGCCCTTATTTGGCTAAGACTCAGGTGGGATTGTTGAATTCGGATTTGCCTAGATTCTGAGAACGCGGACTGGGATTCTTCGGTTGTATTTGACAAATGAAAAATAGGGTCACGAAATACTATTTCATACACCTGTAAATGCCAGACAATGATATACTATAGTACCTGAATATGTATTCTATAGTTCCTGTGGCTATTTAGAATTCAAACACTCAATGTATTGTAAATGACAGGCTTATGTAGTAATAGCACAAAGTTTACTAATTATACTATCACGTGACTATACTTAGGCCCGGATGTCCTAAGTGTAGACTAGCTTACTAAGCTTCTGAAGGTCCTTAGATTTCGAACGGGAATTTGGTGAATCGACTTTGGATTCAAATTTTTTGTATGTAAAAACTTCAAAACAAACTAAGAAATGTTGTAAGACTAATACAAGGTATGAAAAACTAAGAATCAAAAAACTAACTTCAATCAGAATCTTCGGACAACCCAAATTCTTGGTTTCAATGTAGCTAAGTATAGAAAACTAACCGTGTGATACTTGTACAAATTCAGTCAAAAGCATGTATATAGATTTTTAGCTAAGGTCTCAGGAGACGAGCTGACAGATGAGAACTACAAGCGAAAATCACACGTCAAACAGAATATGCCTAAGTACAAACTAAGGGAAAGGGCGTAGCAGGCTAAGTAAGGAAAAGAAATGTAACTAGAATCAGATCTTCGACTTCTTGGAATCTTTTAATAAAAGGTGGATCAGAAAAAAAAGAAATGAAAGGAGGAAAGAACACACCAAACACACCCGCTTTTATTCTAAAATATATGGACCCATGCGCTTTGTGTTGAAGCAGCACTGGTGCTGAGATTCTGCTGTGCACAGAAGGTAATTAGTGCTGGTGGTAGGAACAACACCTGTACCCACAAGATCGTTGAGAGAATAATTCTGTAAGAGCTTGTGGATGACATCTTCGTCCGGAAGGGAGATCTGTAGAAGATTGTCGATCAAATCAGCGAGCTGGAAATATCCAAAGAAGTGGAAGGTGCCCAATGCGGTGCGAAGCATGGCCGATTCTTCAATGGTGAAGAGGGGGTTAGATGAAGGGCAAAGTTGGAGGAAAAAGGAGGCCCGGTCGACAGTTGCCAGGATACAACGTACTCCATCGACGATGACAATGAATAAATGTTCGAGTAAGGTTTCTTGCGACTGAGTGGGAGTGAGCGTACAGTGCGTGAGTTGTAAAATAGTGCACATGGATGTGCGCATATTCTTAAGTTCGTAGAGTCAGGAATGTAGGCGCGTGCGGCCATGGGGAACGGAAGCAGGATATTCGGTAGTGTCATAATGAAAGATAGATGAAGGGCAGGCAGCGTGAAAGCTTGTGAGCTCATTACCCAGTTCGCGCGTCGAGTGCACAGACATTGCGATGGATAAGAACTGGCATGCGCACATGAGGTGCATGACCATTCGTTCATCATAGGTTCCGGTGAACGGAAGCGGCTCGTATGGAAGTTGCCTGTAGTTAAGTCTGAAGGCGACGGGCGTGTTGCGAGGTACGCAATCATGCGCCTTGTCCTGTTCTTTGAGGGCGTCAAGTCCGTGGGTAAAGACGAGATCAGGATCGATCTGTGGCATGGTGCGACACGAGCGCAGGTTTGCGATGTCGTGCGTGAGGTAGGAAAGTCATTGGAGTTGTGTTGGGGGAGGGGGTGTAAGTTTGTCAGTATCGTCATCCGAAGGGCTGTAGAATGAGTCGTTGTCGGATTGAGTCTGCATGCTTGAGTTAGTATCAGATGTGCGCATAAGTCCTTTGTTAGATTTAAGTACCTCAGATTCTGATCTGGCTGGATCGTCCTCAGAGATCTTAGTCCATCCTTCTACAGGCTCCGCGCTTCCTTCATTGTCTTCAGTCGAAAGAAGCAGGGCACACGCACAATCTTGATCGGCAGGCGCAGCTTCGAGAAGCGGCTCCAGCTTGATGGGTGGGAAAGCTGAGGCGATGCGGGGAGGAGTAGGAGGTGGAGTGATGGGCTTCTTGAGTTCTTTTCGGCGCGAGTCTTCTTCATCCGTTGATCCAGCGGCTTCTTGCTTGAGCCGGTCAATGTTGTGGGCATTCTGAGTTTCAGAATTAAAATTTTCCAGGCTGCCGTTGGGCAACCTGGAAAGGCCTAAGCTCCTTGGAGGAGGCTCGGCGAAAAGTACAGTAGCATCCTGCAAATACATAGAATTTAAATAGATTTTTATAAAAATGAAACTTACTGGAGGAGTGACGGAAATATCCGGAATGTTAGTGATATCCTTGTCCGACATGTGGACAAGGTCAGCTAAGTCGATGGCCGTGAGTTTCTTGTCATGGTGGTGACGGACGTCACTGTCGTACTCCGGGAGGAAGGGACCAGATGAGACACGCTGAGCAAAGGCCAGCGGAGTGGGTGAACGGATTGCTCTAGCATCTAAAGGAAGTTGAACCATGGGTATGGTAATGTTACCATACTGGGAAATAAGGTCCGGCTCGGCAAACTTTGTACTAACTACTAAACTAGGAATGAAATCTCCCATGTGATCAGCTTCTTTTCTCAGCTCTTTGTACTGCGAGCTGTTAAGTACCAAGTAATCGGCGTGATGATTACCATTGATCGAGTGAGTGTTAGGCACGTTGGCATTGTGCCTAAATGTGTGATGTCCGGGATATGCGACACGAATATGGTAAGTATTTCCGGCATATTGGAGCATGTCCTGGATTAGGCTGGAAAATTGTGACCTGTGCGGCCAGCTGGAGGCATTGTAGATACTGATGTGTTGTACTCATCCATACTATCCCCTCCCTCTTTTATAGATTTTTTTACAATAGTACTATCTATGGTACCATTCATTAATTCCATACAATTATCTATCATTTTAGATACTTGTAGTACAATGGTACTTTGAATTTCTTGCAAGACCCATCTGCAGTCCGTGTGAATTTCCATTTTTGGAAGCGCTATTTTCACAGCTTCTGGAATATTTTCGATGTGAGTACTATTTTTAGACCCTTCTTGGTAGAAGGTGTTAATTTCGGACATTTCTGTACATGTAATGTTCCAGCTCTTTGCCCCATGTTCTCGGCTCCGGTTATTTTTAGATGGAACTACTAGAACTTCTGACGTCTGATCGTTAGTAGGACTACTTCCAAATTCTAGCCAAGTTCCTGTAGGGCGCTCATGTATAGATACTGAATTATGTATTTGCCATGGTCTCCCTAATAAAATATCAAAGGGAACTGTATCTCCTACATAGATTTCTGCAGTTGTAAGTACTGAGCCTATGTTAATGGGCACCTGAGACACGAGGCCCTTAAGATGTCCTTTCCCGCTGTTTGCATCATGTAATACTAAGGTTCTGTTCCGGTTGATCGGGAGCTTAATGAACTTCTCGAACTGTGTGTTCCGATACTATATTTAGCTGACTTCCGGTATCTATTACTGCTTTTAGATCATTACCAAGAATTTGAATAGGCAGTTCTATTAAGGCTTCTTTTGTTCTCGCTTCAAAACTTTCTGCTACCCGGAAACTTTCGGCTTCAACATCACGCGCTTCACTCATGTCATACACCAGGTGAACATCTTTTCTAACTACTGTTTTTGGCTTTATTGACTCGGCCAGCAGCCCAGATAACTCTTTTGAGACTCCAAGAATCTCACCCGCTGTAAGTTCCACCGGTACGTTTAATATTCTATTTAGAACCTTCTTTGCACTGATGCCATCAGCGAGTTCTGACCTTCTTATTCCCGATTTAGATTCGATCACCTGGCCGCCATCAGGCATATGGCCTGTTAGTTGATTTTTAGGTGCATTTCTTACTTTCTCTTTCTCCTGCCTATTAACTAACTCCTTGTTTTTCCGTCTTAGCAGTGCATCGTCCTCCATGACGACATCATCGTTCTGCGCATCGTACCGCGCCAGTTCGTCCTTATTTGGAATGGGCGGAAAGTTTTTATTGGGTGAGGGTTTGCTAGGTAAGTCTTTTCTTCCTATTCTTTCTACCGGCTTTGGAAGCATTCTGGGCCTCATAGGTATGTTCTCTTTTTCTTCCCTGGGGTTTCCCTGGGGAATCCTTACTGGCTGATGATCTTTCTTAGGTTCTAACTTAAATTCGCGTGCCTCAGGGTACCATTGGTACTGCCGAGGGCGCAATAATTCTTTCAGGCATTGGGTTTGGCGGGTGCGCTGCATTGGAGAGTTTAATGGGCTGGTGCTTTCCCATTGGTGTGTATTGTCTGTCTCCTCGCAATTCATAGTGCTGATGTTGTTCTTTTTTAATTTCCTCTCTTACTTCCCACCCTTTGGGTGGGTAGACTCCATCAAACACTTCTGTCCGCTTCTGTGCGCCCTCCTTCTGGGTTCGGTAAACTGGGTAAGCTTTTGTTCCATTTTCTTCTGATTCTTTGTCTTCACTAATATATTCTAATGCCCAACAGTTCTCACTTGAATCCAAAATCTCGACGTCATTTTCCCATTTTATAAAGTGAGTTTGCGCTGTTTTCTTCCAGTTTTCGAATGCATTTATTAATGTTTCTCCACCCCATCTTCTCAGGGGTATTCCTCCTGGCAGTGCAATCCGGCCATTCTCTGCTCAGATCAAAGATCCTTCTGTAAGTAATTTCCCTATTATTGGACACATTCCTAACTCATGATTCTTATCCCCACAGCCAAAACAAATTATTCTAGGGAGATATGGGGTAGTGTAGTTAGGGGTACTTCTTGTAGGTAGATTGTATGTATTATTAGCACTATTATCTATATGAGTGCTACCATGGTTTGGTGTGAATCTTGCACTGGGAAATCTACTGTCTCTAAGTCCATAAAGATATTCCTTTCTCCTCCTAGACACTGGGCTTTCTAAAATTCGTGATACTACAGGATCTAAAGTAATAGCCTTGTAGTATAGGGTGCTATAGTTAGCATCACCTATTTTCATCTGCCCGAGTTGCTGAATTAGGTTTTCCACTTCCTCATGTGAACTTTTTGAAGCACTGCAGTGTCTATTGACAGCTTTCCTTGTCTCACTACTAGGGGTTTCTTCATCGTCTGAGCTTAGATTTTCAAAGCGAGTCTTACGCATAGTAGCCTTTCCCAAAGGTGAGTGCTTCCTATATTTTGCTCGTTTGTAAGTCTTTGCTCGCTTTACATCCTCCTCTTCTGAATCTGAATCCGAGTCCGTAGAACTATCTGAATCTTCACTGTCTGAGTCATCTGTATCCGAGTAGACAAGATCCATGTCAAATCGATCCCGCTGCAAGATCTTCTCTGCAGCTTGAGTTACTTCATCAAAGGAGAAAGGGTTTGTCATATCTCGTAATGGTGCATTTGTTAGCAGCCAGGTTTCAATCTTAGTACGTAATGTCCTGGGGATTCCTTTCCAAAAGTAGGTAGCATGGTCATTACTGGAAATCTTATTCTTGGCTAATAGCCAACCTCCTATGGTTACGAACTTGCAAGTATACTTCTTCCATTCTGACAATGTCTTTATAGATGCTGTACGATGCTTGTTGATAAAGGTAACTAGGCTGTGAACCTTATATCGCTTGGCATCCTGGTCTGCATCAAAGAGACTTATGAAATCTGCCTTAAGCTGAGCCCAGTCAGGATTTCTGTAACTTGGTAGAATTTCTATGAGTCGTGAAGTGGCCGAGGAACAGTATAACGTGACATTTTCACACATGTCCTGGTCAGTGGTGATATGATATTGATTGCATAACTTCTCGTAGTGGCGAAGGAACTTCTTGACTTGGTAATATTTTCCTTTAAATTTGGCAGGGGCGTGCTTGGCTCCTGGCAAAGGTAAGATAAGCAGGGCATTCTGAGGTTGTGCTGGTTGAGCAGGCTGAGCTACTAGCTGAGGTGCTACAACGACAGCAGGGTTTGCTGGTTGGTTACTCATTGGTAATGTAGACAGGGGTTATGTTGGTGATAATATGTGTGGATGAAGACCAAGGTTGGTCTGGATGTACTTGGATGACTGAACTTTCAATATGAAACCACCCCTCGCGGTGGGCTCCAATAATGTCTTCTTAGATAGATGATCTATAGATGAACACCTACAAAATCAAATATCTCCATGGTCAGTGATTCAGACAAATACCAATGACTGATAATGTGGTCGTTCGTGGGTGGCCTGTCAGTATATCCAAGCTACGGTCAGACAAAGGTACTCTATGATATCAGTATAGAAACACTAGTCAACCCAGTGGTATGGTGTTGACTAAAAGAAACAAGAAACAGAAACAAAACTAAGACTAAGCACAATCACTGGTGCTAAACAGAAATGAGAACTAAGACTAGGCACAATCAATGGTGCTGTATTCTAAACTTACTATGAAACAGTCATGTGAAGATGTATTGGTCACTCCCACAGCGCAAACAGGTAGGATCAAAGGTCAAGACTTGTCAAAAGCTTCCGTAGAACTCTTAGCCTAATATTGAATCTGCTGCCAAGGAACTCACGATGAGTATTAAACAGAATCAGAAACGGACGTCCTTGGATTTCAATACCAAGTCCCCTATTCAATAGCTAAAGCCTATCTGACAAATAACAATCCTGGCTCAGTATACTACTCCGATGTGTGAGGTCAAGCGGACAATAATCAACTTCTGAAGTCTCCCCACTAAGCTACTCTGAGCCTTTAGCAGACGTAGAGACAACACGAAGAATCCAAAGATAAGGCTCAAATGTATTTGCTACAATCAAAAGTATGTTAGTATCAGCAGCAAGAAACAAACACTCAGTATATATTCGCTAAAATCTATAACACGTTAGTGACACAATAATAAACGAGCACTCAGACTGTTAGCTTTCAATGGGTAGAGAGAGTGAAACAGATAGAGTGAAACAGATCCCAAGCTAAAGAAATAGATAGGGTGGAACAGAACCCAGACCAGAGAAACAGAGATAAAAGAAATAGATCCCAGACAAAATGAAATAGATCCCAGACTAGAGTGAAATAGATCCCAAGCCTAGAGAAACAGATAGAGAGATAGAGACTGAGACATGCGCACACAAACACAAACACTCAGAAAAACAAGAGATTTCTCAAAACAAATAAGCCAGGCCTTGCAGGTTGTTGAGCACAGTGAGCTCAATGGCTCCTACTGTCTCATCAATGTACCTGACAATGTCGAACAACTCTTTGTGGTTGTTGCTGATGCTGATCACACACAAACCTCACTCGCAATTTTATTAAGGGTGACTCTGGGAGTCTGATTGATTGCATTTCAGGCCAAAATGGAGGTCCTTATATAGACAAATCTATGTGGCTGTGCTAATTTACTCCCACGTACCTAGGTATATTCAATTTTCGTTTTCTCACGTACCTAGATATACTACATTATTTGTCATAGATCATAATACCCATGTGAATCGTACGTAGGTGAACATGATTTGTCAGGCTTAGTCATAGATCAGCTGACTGTAGTAAGAGAACATGGTTTACATAATATGTTGAAACTTGTTTGTATTTGGTGTTATTTAGAGACGTAGCATATGTCATAAAGCAAAACCGGGTAACACATGTATTTAAAGTTTCCTGGAAGTTCCCGCAAACAACATACACGGAAAGTATTTTTCATGGAAGCTTCAGATGCGTGAGAATCTAGCTGAGTCATCTTCGAGCCAAATAACACAAAATTCATTCCATGCAAAATTCGCGAAAAATATTCACTAACACCACACAGTCATGCACCAGACCAGTTTGGTG